ACGCAGAGGGAGCTGAACTTGAATCGGTTTGGATTTACAGCCTCAATTTCACCTGTCTGGAGTAACCCCTATTGTGGCTCAGCATCCCTTACGCGTTAGGGAATTAGAGAAACGGGACATGGAATAGCGCGAATACTCTTCTGTATCATATTAATAAGCGAAATTATTTAAGGAATTGCGTTATGTTTTGTTTTTGGCCTACCGACCTTCCACTGCCAGTTCCTAAAACTGAATTATGCATGTCGCGCGTCCGAATGTGGACGATGCGATAAAATGCGATACGGTGGTGAATGTATTTTTCACGAGGACGTGAGAAGATGGTGGAATCTATAGATACACAGTGGACTCTCTCATAACTTAATGCAGAGACATGTAAGTCAAGCGAAATACAAATCACGTAATAAGAACGGCCATGGCAGTTTCCCTCCTGCTACATGTGTTAACAGTGACAATCTTCAGTTGTGCCGACTCTTGGCCTTCCATAAACTAAAAAAAAAATGTAAATTGTGAGGAATTTCATTTTGCGTAGTACCATAGTCACTTATAGTACAGTAACTAAAGGGGTTCTTATAAAACGAAAAAGGCGTCGTTTTCATCGTGAGGGAACTCGAGCTAGATACGACACTGACTAATGACGATTAATGACGGCCATAATCGATGGGCTTGATTGCTTACCGTAGTGATATTTTTATAAATCAACCACTTGGTTAAAGAGGGAAAAAAAAGTATCTTCTGCTTCTAGTTGTAAGGAGTGACTGCCAATTTGTGTCCCATATTTGTACGAATGTCTGCGTTGCTAAAATACACCAAGTGGAGAAGTCAAGTAAAATAAAAGGATGCTGCGTCGACGTTCTTATGGACGCGTCATCTTTTATCTGGAAAAAAGAAATCAAGATTGGTTATACCTGTCTGATACACCACTATATATATATATATATATGTGTGTATGTGACACATGGATGCTACAAGATGACTTAAAGTACCTGCTTCAAGTACCACTTAGTAAACTTTTTACCCCTCAACTTTTTTACATCACTCACTTAACCCCTAAAACTTCGAGAAGCTCCAGAAGAAGAGGTATAACTTCTATATATATTTTTTTTCCCCCACCAACTTTTTGCGAAGTTATTCACTGATTTCTTTTCTTTACTCCTCAACATACCGTGAGCAACAGTCTCGACAAGTGGATACTGTACCTAGACAGTCTTTGAAGTAGTCATAACCTCTGGTGCGTTTGAAGAATCAAAGAAACTGACATTTAAGTAGTTATTTTTGGGGTGTCCATAGATGTCGAAAAGTGGTATTTATTCCTTTGAAAAAAAAAGCTTCTTTCAAATTCACTTTGAGCTCTCGCTGTTCCACAACTTTGTATGCCAGCCTGTTTAACATATGGAAAAGTATACTTTGTGATCCTTGCAATTTAAACTTTGGCGCGTGATCAGCCTGACAAAAGTAGTCAACTTTTATCGCATATAGTCCAGCAGTGATTAACGTTATCAAGTTTTATATGGTATAATAAAAATTTAGATGAAAAGCGTTAACTAAGTTTTTCACAGTGTAAACACACAAGTCAGCCGAAGTGAAATTCTAACCTCTTTACGTCGACTGGCATTTGGAATCGAAGGGACAACCGTACAGTTGTAATATTCATGTTCAATCATTTTCTCATTTAACTGACAAGTTTCTCTGTGTGTATATATAAATCTGATAACGTCAAAGGAAACTTAAATGGAAGTTTAGCAACGTGCAAGGAATCTCAAGTAGGCAGAGCTATGATCAACTGTGCTATAATCGATGTGGTCAGGAAGGCTTGGTGTGGATATAAGGTAAAGGGATTTTACACCCATACAGCTTGCAGTTCCATGTCTCAGAATGATCCTTGTGCAAAGGTTATCCTCGTCCTTCTTGTGTCTCTGCGGTCTCTGACGAAGGCAGAGATTCGGAATAGGCGAGAAAGTCGTGACGGCTGCGCCATCTCGTGAGAACCACGACGAACTATTTGGATAGAATTGTTACCTACAGCAGCGTTATTTAAAATCAGAATGCAATTGTGAGAGATATATTTGTTCTACTAAACAGGTAAAAGCTTACGGCAATAATTCACGTAGTTTATGAAGTTTATGTACCTGAATTAAACAATTTTCCTTTTCTTTTTATCAGGATTTGACTACAATCAACAGTTTGGTATATCTATGCTACGTGTACAAGAATTCTGCCATTAAGGAAAGATAGGATTGGACCTGTTTATTAGTCTCTCAGTGCCCTTAAAAGGATGGAGCTTAATTAGGTCAGATTCCAAGAAAGCTCTTAAGGTCAGCCAGAACTATTAAGGGAATTGCTGTAATTTATCCATTATAATTGTATAATTGAATCAATTAATTGTAGATAGGGTGACACTTGTACCTAAGTATTATGGATATTAGTGAGGATCGGTGAGTACACCTGGAGAATAATTTGTGAAAGTTCAAGAATTCAAAAGTGCATTTTCGAGGTTATTTAGCATAGAGGATAAACCGCTGTCAGGAAAATATGTAAATTCAAAATGAAAATCCACGAGGTACGTGCTACAAAGGCAACTTAAGCAAACACGATAAAGCACACGTGTCTCAGTCAGCTGAAAATACTGCACCTTGAAACTTCTTTGGATAAGACGTACGCAGGGATGTATCCGCGCTGAAAGATTAGGAAATAAGGACAACATTTCTGTATATGAAGGATAAAGAGAGATGGCAAAAGGTTAAAAAATAAGACAAGCACTATCTAAGAAAGAGGTTAGGTTGGACGTTGGTTATTTCACTGGTGACGGATGGGTGACCGAGTAGAATATTCAAAAATAGGATTTCACGAGGAGATACAGAGAAGAAGAAGGACGAATAGGAATATAAAATGGCTGATGAGAGTCCACTTTAAAAAGCTCGCTTGCACGAACGTGTCAAAATAAAAGTTCGTATATTTCCGGCAGCCCGACAGACTGATTTCTCATGGGGTTGGTTTATCGAATCACAAAGTTTATATATATTTATGTGTACAGATAGACTTTTTCATTCTCGTTATGTTTACGCAGATACTATATGCTGATACTATATCCACATATGGGTATATAAGTGTATGTATATATATTTTATATCTGAACCACCACGTATACCGGATCATCGTTTCAGAAGATGGAACAGGATTTGTCGAACGCTTCATACATATCCGAATGAAGATAAACGGACCAATCTAAAGGGGCTGACCTCCCGCTGATCCACGACCCGAAAATGTTGAATGAAAAAAAAAAAGCTTATAAATCCGAAAATGCTTTTCCTTTAGCAGTGAACTTGACCTGTGCTATCACTTACGATCCAACATTCGTATACTACCGTATTTGCGAAGCCTAGTCTATCTGTATAACATACACTTTCAGAGTATACCCTGGCACGATTCCAACTTAAGTATGCAGGTTTTTGTAATGCCTTAAAAATTCGTTCACGATAACAATAGATAACAGATAAACGTGGCTGTTAAATGTAGTAAAATCTAATGATTGACTTTGGATTTTTTAATTCTAAAGCAGAAAATTCCAAAATTTTCGTGAAAAGTATCTAGTATTTAGAAAGACATGCTTTATACAAAGTCGAAATTGTCCACGAAAAACCAATTGCGCGTGACGAGAGTACACTATTAGGTAGACACCCAGTACGTTATACCACGTTTTCATGATAAACGTGCATTTTGACTAGATTACGAAAAATCGATAACACAATAAAAATACGTAATTAAACGAGCGTCCCGTATAACGGAGCTGCGCTCAGGGCGAGTGTCACGATAATAAACCGAGCGGTCAAAAACTTTTCAGAGAATCGATTTAATGTCGAAAATCTATTTTAAAGTTTCTTCGGGCTTTTGCCTAACAAAGTTTTGCCAGTGCGAAATTGAGTTTGTGCAAAAAAACGCAGCTACTCGGCTATCCGGCAGTGCCGAGCGACTATTTACACGTTAATCGAAACAATATTAAATATGTATCTGACAAATATTGATACAATCCATTAAAAACTAAATCGCCAATAATTAATGTAAGTTTATTGATTTTCGAATTGATCGTACTAATTATTATATGTTAGATTGAAAAACGTTTCAAGATTTATGTTGACCTTGACACGTCTAACTAGCGATTTATCAGCTACCCTCTGATATTTCCTGATAGTGGTAACCCCCTAGGCTATTCACGCTTCGATGCCTTTCTACGATTAAATTATCCAATAAAGCTTCAGACTTGCTTCCCATCATTGTATGTGCATATGTATATAGCTTTGTTGTTCCAAAGCGAGACCCTCCTTCAAATGAAATTACTACGTCACGTTACAGCCCGATAATTATTACCCACGAATCAGATATGAAATTCCTCATGCATTCCTACCTGACCCGTGAACGCAGAGGTAAAATGTTAATGAGGGTCTATAGCGTTCGAATTGTCCGTTTATTGCGAAATTCATTATCACGAGCATCCATTTTATTCGTCCTATTAACGTTTAGTTTAAAAGACATTACATAACCTGTGATTAGGAAAATAGTTGATTATAAAATTATCAACGGATCGATCGACAGTGAATTAATAAAAGAGCAATCGAAAATTTTAACACGTCATTGATCATTATACTTGACGTAATTTCTATAACATAATTTACTACCGTTCATCACGATCAAAAGACTGCGTGAAAGTTTATAAAGCTCTGGAGTTATTGAACACCCATTAAACGAAGACGAGTATCCGAACTACTTTCCATTGTTCAAGATGATCAACTTCCGCTATATAAAGTCCCTATAAAGTGACGTATCGTGCCAAGGAAAATGAAGTTTCCCTGTGCAGTCCCTTCGATAGGGTTGACCAATATAATAATAATTTCCCAGTTTGTATTAGCAACTATGTAGGAATTCAATACGTTGATTATGATGTAGTTGAATTGGTCTTCTTTCTCCTGATATACTTTGATTTGAGTATTTTTAATTATATTTTTCAGGCTACTGGCCATTCGGTGTGGTGTGGTGCAACATATATGTAACCTGTGACGTACTTGCATGTTCTGCAAGTATAATGCACATGTGTTTCATTTCCCTTGGACGTTATCTGGGCATTCGTAATCCACTACACACAAGGCATATCTCCACGAAGCGACTGGTCGGCTTCAAAATTGCAGCGGTGTGGCTGCTGGCTATGCTGGTCTCCAGTTCTATAACAGTATTAGGTAAGTTGTCCAATAATACTTGAATGACATTTTAGGTCGTCCTGTACTTGCGGTTTGAACCATCCTGGAGCTTCTATCAACTGTGGCCAAGAAATAAATTATCAACTATTGTAACGTGCTGATCCAGTATTGACTCAAAGATTCTCACTGCCAAGATATAACCATGGGAGGAATGTCGAAGAGAGAAGAAAAGTGTTGAGGAGACTGAATATTCAAGCGGAAGTCACATTCTGATTGGATTGCTTTTTAAATTCGTTTCAAAAGTTCCAGCAGTAATTGCACCCTTACAGTCTAGTGGACTACCATCGGAGAGTGTTAAACTCCGTAATGACGTATTCCTGCGCCTTTTTTTGCAGCCTCACAGCCTTCGGGAAGTGCAACTATGAGCTAAAGGGCCTTGAGGTACAAAACTGAAGCAGTAATCGCAAAGTGTAGCTTTTATACGCCAGAGGTTCATAGCCAGCTGTAACTACCTTACTCTTTCTTGCTAAACTGTAGTTCAATGACGGCTGAAAGGGCTGCGCACATTCTTAGCTGCAGTGCACTTTGAACTTTCTACCTTCCACGCGCAGCACAATGAGCCATCAGCAGCTTTGATCTCGGTGGAGAGAAATTTTCTGCTTCTTTTTCAAAATAGTCTTTCCGACGTTCGAGTATAAGAATTTCGAAAAATTCTTTTCAGATTCCACTCCTCGATGATGGATAAGGTTGGCGTTACACGTTGAAATGTTTTCTTCACTTTTTCTCCAGCTAGTGATTGACGTTGAGCTTAACAAAAAGTTAATCGGTTATTGATCCTCCCCAGATAATCCCTCGACTCGCCTTCATTTTTATATAATCTACAAAAGACGTACCGAGCGCATCGAAAAAAATTGCATTGAAGAATTTCAAAAAGCTGCACGACAATTTTTCAGTCGACTTCGGCCTCCCGACTGAACTTCTTCAGCACCGAGCACGTGTCACGTAAATGGGAATATCATGTGACAACGTTTAAACTGGGACACCCTTTACATATGGGTTGTATGTCTTAATAATTTTCAATGTTTCTCCTCCAATATATTCCCATATGAATTCTCCAGCGCTTACTCGTTTCGCCGCTAGGGGCGCTTGTCTATGTTCGTTAAGAGGATTATCGTCCTATCCTACAATAATATAAGCCAACTGATATATTTAACCACATCGTATACTTCCTTATACTGGTAAACATGATAATCTCTAAAATTTCCATTATTCGGTAATACCCATTGATGAATTCCTCCTGTTTTAACCATCCATATATGAACCTCATTACTGACAGGCATCACTGCTGTAGGCACTGTAAATAGCATTCAGTACCGATGCCATTATAATCTCCATAAAGACCAATTTCTGTGTACTTTCTCTCTTTTCTTCCTGCCACAATGTTATTACAGTTTCCGGTGGAAGACTAAATATAGCATTTCGCACCCTCTGGTGGTGCAAATGAAGAACTAGACTGGGTATTGAGATGAATGTATTTCGTGGGCCCTTCCTAGAATGAATAATATACAAGTCAAATTTATTTGCAGGTTTAATCAACCCCCTGAACATCATGCCGGAGCCAGGTCTCTGCGTGATTAACAACAGGGCGTTCTTCGTCTTCGGATCTCTAGTCGCCTTCTACATACCCATGATCGTCATGGTGGCGACGTATGTACTCACGGTGCAGCTCTTGAGGAAGAAAGCACGTTTCGTCGCGGAACATCCTGAGAGCGACCAGTTTCGCAGACTGGGGGGTCGCTTTGCGGCAGCCAAAACGTCGACTACCCCGTCGAGGTCTTCCAGAGCTTCGACCTTGTCCACGCGACATTTGTGGAGAACTTCTGGAAGCAATGCATCGAGCAGCAGGTAAATTACAGGACTCGTGTAAAATATTACACCTGAGAATTGACCTGAGAACAAACAAAAACGAGTATAGGTCATTGGGGTAAGAATTGCTTTTTGATATTATCATTGAAATTCTAATTGGCTGATTATACTCTGTTCGAAGAAGGAAGGTGAACAATTTAAACGAATAAAGTGAAAATCTTGCTTGGGGATTTTTTTAGAGAACTACTGATAGAACTTGATGCCTCATGTGATATTTTAGAGAATTGTACAATTTTTACTAAATGATAGTCAACCTTACAACCACAGGGGTACGAGTATGAGGATGAGTGTGTCTCAGCCACAGCTAAGCTTTGCGGTGAATGGTGCCGGAAATCCGGAACGAACTAGTGCAGCGGTTACGAGGACGAATGGGAAAGTTGACCAAGGGACTCAAACTCCTGAAAACATTGCCCGGGAAACACGAAATTTCACGCTGAGGTCTCTTAAGCTCCAGCTGAACGTCACACCGACAACGCTTAACCTCAGGTAGGAATTAACGGTATATTGTTTATTAGCCTGAGCTAGTAGAGACACCCTGAAAGGGAAAAGTGTTAGGTGTACGTGTTTACAAGTGTTTCTCAACCTATTGGTTAATCTTGAATCCCGTGAAATTCCACACAGTAATCCTCAGACAATACTGCAACTTAATGGGTATCAATAAAATCTTTTTTATCCTGAAGCCTAGATCAGCCTGAACGATAATCAAAGATACACGAGTAACGTGATGCATCGTTTCTGCACTTTATTGACGTCCACGTATATTCCTTTTTTAATCCCACCAATAATGCACAACGTACGTACAGGAACGGTAGAAGTGGGATAACCTATAAAAATATTACATATCCAATGCAGGCGGAACTACCCGTCGTAAAGTCGCAACGGCATCGAATATGTTTATTGTGTCGTGTATTACGTATAGTAGAGCAGCTGTTTGATAGTAGAAAATATTTTTCCATCTTGGTTGTCTAACGAGACCCGAGGAAAGGACAAAGATTACAGTTTCCATACAGGGCTTGTGGTTATTCCTTTAGTGCTCCCCATAGGCGTAGCACTCAGGGGGTAGAAAAATGTTTCGCTAAAGGAAAGAAGAATAGAGATAAAAAACTTAAAGAAAAGAAACCGTAATGTAATTTTGCGATAAGAACAATTGTATTTACCTTGCAGTTCACGGAAAGCAAAAATCCTTGAGGACGCTAAGAAATAAAAAAAGAAGAAATCTTACACGTAATATCACTATAGGTATCGTGCGAACTCACGCGTTTTATTACTCCTGGACGAAATAACAAATGGAAGAGATAAAAGGTTGCGTAACTTGAATCCCTATTTTCATCCCCGATGGCACTTATCATTATATTAACGGCATAACCTTGCTATGACAGATATATTGAGCGCCACCCAGTGTACATGTAAATTTGTCCTGACGCGTATTTTGCAATTTCGCAAGCTACCAGAATGAATGGCCATGCACATACTTTACGTGAGTCACACAGGAAATGAGTAGAGGAGGATTTTGGGCCAAGGTTAAAATTATGGGGTAGTTGACTTCCTTTTTGAAAGTGAATTTTGTGCACCAGCGCGAAGGTATAGATAATGGATATGATATATTTAGGAATTTTATCTTTTATTTTCTTATCTCTTACTCTTCTTGTTATACCTTTAGATTCATTTGTTACACGCCAGGTCGCTTTCCAATTGCTAATACCGACGACTGATAAATCGACAGCGCAAATGTTATCGACGACGAAGCTAACAAAGTTTTTCGTGTAATGAAAATCCGCGGAAACAGTTTTGTCGCTTTGGTTGGCTAGATTTACTAGTTCAATTTACTAAAGTTACAGTGTACCTAGTATAGCTTTAGTGTAACAAGCCAAATGCGAGTTAGTACCTTGAAAATATCTGGATCCTATTTTCTCGAGAATTATCTCACCAGCTCCTAGTTATTCCAAGCTTAGAGTTAAATATGTCGGTTGACAAGAATCATGTAACCGAAATTGAACGAGTCCCGGTGAGCGAACATAACCTTGATAAACTACTTTCCTGAGACTCGCTGCTCGTCCTGAACAGTGAACTGGGATAATAAACTAGCACGCTTTCGTGAATTGACATTATGCAACTGCCAGGGACTTTACGACATTCTATCTTCGAAATAATAGAACCACGATAACAGAATTGAGAGGTATAACCTCAATCTTCCAGCAAGCTTACGCTATATTGCTCGGCTAGCAGTGGAGGTGAGAAATCGAGATAAGAATTACTTGTTAAATTGAATGTTCAGGTTCCTGGCCGGGAGAACGAAAAGAAGATCACTCGCGGCTAATGCTGTGGCTACCGAACAAAAGGCCAGCAAAGTCCTGGGATTGGTGTTCTTTACTTTTGTCCTCTGCTGGGCGCCATTCTTCATACTGAATATCATCTTCGCTGCGTGTCCACGCTGCTCTGTATCGGGACACGTAGTGGACACGTGTCTCTGGCTGGGATACGTCTCGTCCACGATCAATCCAGTGATCTATACAGTCTTCAATAGAACCTTTAGGGCGGCTTTCATACGTCTGCTCAAGTGCAGATGCTCCAGGTAAAAGCTTTAACATACTGTAGACTTTGACGTCACATGCACTTTCAAACCTTCTGAGATTGGCTGCTAGGGTTGTAAGTATTTTCTGGGATGACTCGCGGTTAATTATAACCTGTAATAAAACTTTTTCAGGTCAACCAGACCTCCAAGATATCGCTCCGTCACCGAGAGCGGACGGGGCGCAATGGGATTATGCACCCCTGGTGCGCTACCATTGGCTATCAGTCTTCAGGGCACACCACTGCTCACTCCAACACCTAATCCTGCTGCTACTCCTGCTTCAGGAAGTTCATACGTCACAATGATGCACCGTACACCAAGTTCTCTCTATAGAGATACGTTTCTCGTGCATGAGCACGATAATGACTGCTGAACTTGAACCTCTAGTCTAAAGATCTTTTTTCTCAAAGGATTGTTCCACTTTTGCTTTTCATTTATTTTTCTCCCTGTGCGTTCGATATCCGTGTATCCTTTACCATGAGAATTACTTTTAACAACTATTCTGTTTTAAAAGACAAATAGAAAATGTTAAGGAGCTTCTCTCGAGGTGCCGCTGTACATTTTCTGTATTTTTTTTTTTTATAAATTATTTTTTTAAACAATCTACGATGCTATTCAATTTTCCTACGTAACTCCGCGCAAAAAGATATTGATTGATCTTCAGTTAACGGCGATTGTACAGTAAACTCATTTTTAAAAAATATTTTTAACTGTCAAGAATTGAGTTTCAAAATTTGCGTGACAATTTATCAATGCTCGTGCTCAGTTTGCATGGATGGAAATGTGCCACAAAGGCTTTTAAGTAATTTTCGAAAATTCTCGTTCGACGGAAAATGTGTAATGGCTTCCGCCTCTCCATTGTTCACACGATTATTACGTGCCATTGATAACAATATAAAACTGTTTTATTCAATTAGTATGATGTAACAAAAGAACAGCACTGTCCACGTTCATCAAATAATATTTTTAAAATATGTCAATTTATATTCTGAAACGTATTATTATCGAACAGGGAATATCGGATGTAATTTCAAGAAAGATTTTTTAAAAATTGCCACTCGTTAAATCTGTATTTTCCTAAACCCTACTTTAATCAAATCAAGTCGAGCTGCGCTCACTGTGAATCATTATGAATAATTAATGTTTGAAAAGAGACGAACGTAGTGTAAAAAATAGATACGAAATTTACAAGAAAATAATTTATTGAAAAATTAAATCAAAGGTACAATTTCCCCAAGGCACTCCTTTTCGGTTTACGTATAATGTGTCCCTTAGAGATAAGTAACGCGAGGAAGACAATTCGAAAAGGCAATTGTCTCAACCAAAGAGTATTATTAAGGATAATTATAGTACGATTCGTCGTAATGAAAGTTTAAGCTCGACGAATTTTAAGAATTAGATGTAACGAAACGAAATAAAGCAATATTATCATTTCTTTATGAGTCTCGGCTCATTCTTCCTTAGTTTATAATACTTTTTGTACTTCCATTTTTAAATTGAACAACTTTTGAAAATTCAATGCTGGAATGCAGGTATGTATAACCGTTCCATCTATTGCATGTGGAGATAACAGATTGCATGCATTATGATATTAACGTGAAATACAATTTCGCAGGTAGAAGGAACCAAGAAAAAGCATTTATAATAAAAGCTGCTCACTTTATGACGAAGCTTGTAAAATATGTTGAATATATATATGATATATATAAATATATAATATATAATATAAGAAAATAAAATCAAATGAATTCGTTTATTTCTACATGTCTTTTATGTTGCACGTTTATTTACGTGAAGTTAACCGTGAGAATTTCTTTTGAAACGAAAAAGAAAGTAGCTATTATATTATACATTACGTATAAAGCATGGCGAGTTGCTGAATCAAAGCTTAAGGGTAAATACAACATTAATTTTTGTTGTAGTAGCCCTATCACTAGATACTAATCAGTGTTAATGAAAATAAAATGATATTGCAATGAAAACTATAAAAATATTAAGTACTGTTATTTCAAAATGAACACATTATTTGTAATGTTTTGAGAATCATAGATTATTCTTAGGTTAATTATTTAAAGATATATTTGTTACTTGTATCTTAGTTTTTCTTTAAGCAATTAAACGCTTTAGCGCTTCTTTTGCAACCGTGGGATTGATTGTCACTAGTGAACAGTCAATCGTGATTGTAATACTTTTTGTAGAGAATACTGTGTTACTTTTAGAACGTAACAAAGAATATTCTTCTAGAATATTCTCAACTACATCATCTTGCACTTATGACATTTTTATTTTTTTCGCAACAGACTTCTTTGGGCCATCAGACTTTTTTGAATTTCTTATCTTCGGACTTTCGGATTTTGATTGTTTACGTTTATTTTTTGGTGCCTCGACCACAATCCTCGTGCTTATCGTATCGTGACTATTTCTCCTCGAATCCTTCTTTTCATTGACTTCCTTCTGCTCACTTCGACTTTGACTTCTGGTTCTTCCACGAATCGTTGTGCCTTGTAGCCAACAACCTGCTTGAGATACCAAATCTTGCAAACGTCTAAAAGAAGTTCGCAAATTCTTCGAATTGTCACTCTTCAGTTGTCCCAACTTCTCACGGTTTAGTACTTTCAACTGCGAGTGATTTTCTTGCTCCAGTCGTCGCTCATCCTGCGATGAATATTCGAGAAAATCGTCCGGGTGACTGACAAGAGAATCTTCCATTTTATATCCCGCAGACTTCCTTTTTCTAGATCGTTTTTCTAGCGAGGGCCTACTAGAACGTGAATAAGGATTACTTTGATTTCTCAATTCATGTAATTGACTCGTTCGTTTCTTGACATTAGAATTATCTGCAATCGCAATACTTCGATTTACACCCGAAGAAGTGAATGGTGTAACTAGATTATTTGAATCTGTAGAAAGCACAGGGTTCTTTGTTGTACGTTTAGAACTTTCTGTGCTAGATATTTTATCAAGTCTATTTTCAGTCATTATGACTGGCGCACGTACGATGACTTTTTCCCCCTTTTTATTACTTTTTCTACGTATATCTCTTTCGTGCTTTACAGATATAAACATTGTACGTATATCATTTTCAAGTAGCGTTTGATTAGAATACGAAGGATTCAAAGTCGACGGACGTATGACATTACGTTTAAATAAACCGTGATAACAAGAATCTAAACTTAAATCCATATTAGTTTCTTCTGAAGACACGTTGCCATCTTCACATTTGACATCTCTATAAATATTTTCCTGTTTCGGTGACAATTTAGATTCTTGGCTGTCGATGCTTGCATATTCCAATTTCAAAAATTCTTTGAAGTAACAAGCATCCTTTTTATATTCAGATGGTTCCATCGTGACATTCAACGTTTTTAAATATATTACGTCTTCCTCCTCTGATTTGGATTCTGAATTTCTTTTTTCTGTTTCCTCATTTTTATCAGCACAGACTGATGTGTTATCATAATCAAAGTTATATTCAGACGAGTTCGGCTGTTCGGACATTGTACGCATAACCTTTTTAGAATGAATTAGCCAACGATCCTCTTCAGACGACGAATCCAAGCCAGTAAGTATTTCAACAAGATCATCAGCTACTTTATTTTCAACAAAAGTGGACACAGTGTCGTCCACCGTGTAGCTAGTTGGACTTTCCAGATCTACACAAATTTGATCATCGTTACTCTCCTCGCTTCTTTCCGAATTAAAGTCTTGAATATCTGCAAGAAAATTTCGATTGACTATCTTCGCATATATTTTCAAATTAATTATAAACTCTCGGTTACAAGATTTTTTAAAAACCCACCTTCAAACGATTTATTCTTCGCGAGGACGTTATCCTTGGATTTATCGAAATTTACGTTTGATTCAATGCTTAGCATTTCACTGAATCTTTTATCACACTGTTGGGAACATGAAGTTCTTGATAAAAATGAATCATTAAGATTTAGACTAAGAATACTTGGACTAGACGATAACTTAGTTGATTTTGATGCTCTTGATAAATTCGATGATTCACTGAGTGGACTCAGTGTCTGCATATTACTAATGTTATCATTAGATTTTGAAATACTTAAATTCTCATTGATATCATTAAGAATCACGTCTTCCGAATCATTTTGGATCTCTTTAGATATCGTATTATTTGACTTCGATATTGTAATGAACTCTGAAAGACCATTACTTTCGTCATTACTGTCCATCGTAGTGTTAGAGTCTGTATCCTTTACAGAATTCTGGAGCGAGATTTGCTCTTGGGAAGTATCGTTGTCGCTATTACCATCGCTTGGCAATGCCAGACATTTTCCATTCTCATCAGAATCATCAGACAGTACAACAACCTCAGGTTCTCTGGACTCAATCATTGGTGCGGCAATCGCATTTCCCGTGTTTGATATATAAACTGGTTGGCGAATCTGATTGTTAATCAATTGTGGCATAATGACTATCTGTGTATTGAGATACCCAGGATTGTTATTCAGATCCACATTGTTCATGCACATGAAGTTTGTTGCATTAATATTATTAGGAATAGGTCTCTCAATATTCATATTTATTATATGAGACTGATTATTTAATGCGATTAAGGGATTCGTGTGTCCTATATATGATGAACCAGAGAACAGAGCTTCTGGTACATTCAGATATCCTGCCTGTGGCACAGAGTATTGACCAATAGCTGTTATTCTTCTACAATTTAAAAGAATTCCATGCGGTCCATGATGCACCGTTACTTCTTCATTCTGTTGCGCCATCACGGCGCATCTAGTACTGGACGATTCATTATTTGCATTCGAAGTCGAACACAATTCCATTATATGTGTTCTTGAGATTTTTCTGGCGGCGTGCTCTGCGGCAACAACAACCTCCGTGTTCTGCTCCACTTCGGAAAACATTCTCGAATCCTAAAAAGTACATAAGCTTTGAAGAACAGTTCGGAATTATAGATGTAGTGTGATAGAGGGAAAAAAGCACACCAAAACAATATCTTTGGCGAAGGTACAAAGCTAAAGGTTTAGAATTATAGAACGCGAATAATTGCCATGTAAAGTTCGAAGAAATATTATTTCTCTTATCGACTATAATAAAAATAAGGTGGTTGTTGGAAGAGGTACCTGAGAAAATGTTGGGAACGCGAGGGTAAATGAATAGGGGGGTAACTGGCCATGCACAAGGCATTAAGTGCGAAACGAGTTACAGTATAATAATATCCCCCGAAACATAACGGACGGCAATCTATTGTACACTTGGTATACTATAATAGGACTCGTCAAAAATTACGACCCTGCACTTGCGCTAAACCAAAGGTACACGAATTATTATTTCAAGTCCTCCTGTTTGGCCAGAGCAATTTATACGATAGCACTTAACGAGCTGACTGTACTGCTTTTAGAAAGAGGAAGTAGAAAGGAAGAGTAGCTAGTACTATTAATGTTTATTGTAAACATGCACAGGCGATTCACGATTTATTTGAATTGTAATTCACGCTGATAAAATAAACAGCAGATATATTAGCGTATAATTTTTCACGTTTGTTGTGAATTGGAAAAAATCGAGAATTTATAACAGTTGTTATGACGCACTTTCTTGCGATCTACACAGTCGCCATGATGGAGTCTGTCAAATAATTGTATTTTCATAATCACACGTTCTCTGGGGACTTTGATCTACTTGAAAAATCGGATATCACGAGTTTATCGTATCAAAAAATTGACTTGACTAATGAGAAATTTTCTTGAAGAATGTAGAATTAAGGTTAGTTCTGTATTTGTTGACTGTCTACTCATCTACAAAATGACTGTCCACACGAAATCTTTTTCTGACGCAGACAATGGATTAATGGTGAATTAATCGTATAGTGTGAAATAAAAGATTTATTGTGTTCGCTGCTAACGATATTTATCTCACAATTAAATGACACCAGTACTAACCTCATTCATCCTGTCGATGGAGTCACGGTAATCCTCAATTCCGTGTCTGAATGTATTTATCGTTACGCACGAGGTCCTAACAAGATAGGTTAAAACTGAGGGAAGTTTTAATACGCGGGAAGTATAATTCGTTATTGTGGAATTAAGCAATTTCAGTTTGTCACGCGTAGCTACGGCTCTACGTTTCACTTCACTTTATTTAAATCATGATTTAACTGTCACAGCCCTATATAACTTGGTGAGTGTTGTGTCTAATTCTTACAAAAATATGATCTTCGATATGTACGATATTCCCTAAATCTTGTGATTCAAACGCCCAGAAAATATCTATGAGAATAGATTACTAGCTCCCTCAAGGTAAACTGAACTTATTGGAGGACACTATTTCATTATACAAAGATCGTAGAAAGTCAATTATGAATATAAAACATAGGTAATATTTTCTATAAATTGTTCAGATCCAACTGTCTTTTATTTCATAAGATATGAAGTATAGAATGAAGAGTGGAAGTAGGAAGAGAATAACGTTTTTTTTAAATAAAATTAATAAAGTATTATCAAATAGTATAACATATGTACAAAGCATTAATAATAAGTACGTATAAAAACGCGTATGGACAGAATCGTATATCACAATTTTTAAACACGATCAGTCCCATCACTGAGATTTTAACACCGTTCGTGTTAGCAGTCAAATTTTTAAATTATTTACTAAGTCAGATACTACAACAGATTTGTTACTATCGCCTGGCAGGGATTTCCCATTTCTCCTAGGTCTCGTGGCGGCGTCCAATAGAATCGCAGGCATAATTTCCTTGCCAGCAATAGTTCGGCGACGAGTGCTGCGAGTCACCATTTTCCCAGCGACAGAAGGTGCATTAATAACTAGTTTCTCAGTTTTTACTGTAGTTCGTGGCTTTGCCTTGTAAAACCTAGAATTGCGTCGTTTACGAGCAGCTTGGGCAGACTTCGTCTTCTTCCACTTGTAGTAATACTCGACGATGCTATCCTGTGACAAGAAAACATGAGATAAATAAGTTTTCCGTTCTTCGCGAGTCTTTCGATGCATGTAGTCAAAACAAATTGCCTTGAAAAATTAACTCACCGTATCTTTTCCTGGCAACAGATTTTTTCTGATTTTATGGAAATTCTTTCCGTAGCGTACAATTCCACGAATGAATAGAGCCTGTAACGTATAGAATTTTATTAGATTATACAACTCTGTGATGAATAAGGTAAGATCTTATTCAACCAATTTGTATACTCACAATTTCTTCCTCGGACCACGAAGTAGTTAGCGTCTTCGGTAAATTCTTCTTTCTGTATATCCGTGCAGCTGATAGCGGATCGTAGCCGACTTCATACAAGGACTCCATCATGAATTCTTCAGCTTCTCCTAAGCATGCATTTTCCAATGCCTCTTTGTTTGGCACTCCATCTTTTATTTGGCTAATGGTGATTAGGGAACGTGCCAGTAGCATATAAACCGAGAGCCACTGGTTGTTCTCTTCGTCAATCGGAGCCCACGTTTGCTGTTCTTGAAAAGATTTGTACTCAACTTCCGGATCAATGTGCATTTGAAGCTCCGGTAGTTCGGCTAGTCCATCAAGACGTTTCTGAGAGAAAAGAAGAAAAATTATGATTTCGTTAGAAAGCTTACAGCACAGCAGGATGAATATGAGGTTTGTTTGAAGACAAGTAAATTTTCTTGAAATTGATTTCTTCAAGTAACAATAATTGAATTGTTGTAATCTTGTAAATCATACCTTACTGTAATCTTCCTCGATCTTTTTGATGTCCTGCAGATCCTCCATTTTCTGGTGATTTTCAGGAGAACTTCTTTCAACTGAAGTTGACGCGTTCAAGGACAAGAACTGAATGATTAATGCTCTTCTCCAAATGCCCAAATATATATAGTCAACTGTCGCGTGCTACCCTTGCCGGTAATTGGACACGCGCCCTTTTCAAATTGGAGGGGGTATTTGACTGGTACAAAACAACCAATCATAGCCAGTGTAACAGTGCTCTACGCCAAGACACCATTTTTAAGAGAATCTTCTGTCACCATTGCCCTCACAGAACAACTTCAGAAAGATGAGCGTTGTAGATGGAATTTATAAGTTCGTCAACTCTTGGAACTTTTAAAGTAAATAATATAGACTCTAACGCGTTGCATGAATTATATCAGTAAAGAAGAAGAGAAGCCAAGAATTCTAAAGAAGCTAATAGAGCTAACCCGTGAAAAATATCGCGTGTCTATGTATTTCCAGCTTCAGCTGGAAAAACGCTGTTAAAAACTCAAACGTCCAATGATTAAATGATACTTGATAACTTCGATTTTTAAATTCTCTGCTATAATTAAAGTCTACCTGACAAACGTTAGTTTATCCATATTAGCCTTGTATGTATTACGTATTTTAATTTTGCATATTACAAGAGGCTGAAAAATCTTTACACTGCAGAGGAAACAATATAAAATTACAAAGTGATGGTAGTTGACAAAAATTTGCATAAAACTCTAAGAAAGACTTTTCATCTGTGAGAATGGGACGTTGCTGACTCACCCTTCTTCGGCATCATGCGTAAACAAACTACTTTCGAAAATACATGTCACAGACAGAGCGAATGACTAATAAAGCTTAAAAGTTCCTATAATCTACAGCATGTGAATTATTGCCGTACCTCAAACAACTTTGAATTTCTTTAAAACGAAGCTAGCCTAATTGTTGCGTTCAAGATACAAAAATGTATTTCTACCCGAAATTATTCGTTTGCTACAAACGTGTCAGTGCAAAATTACATGCTCAATGATTATCTGCGTATAATAATGTTTATATTTTTGTCACAGCCGCGAATCCTCTCTGTGCTCCGACGATTAAGACCAGTACAGTCTGTAGCAAGAGTTACAACAAAAATCCTGTTACTATTATGACGCCTTAAAGCTAATTAAATGTGTCAATCGAATTCATTTTGACATATGATACTCACAAGAAGTCAATTTATTTTTCTCAACTTTTCTACAACATGTCGTTGGAAAATGCTGTTTACTTTTTCAGGCTGAATCTTTGTTTTATATCTCATGGTGTTATGTATCTCCCATGAGGAAAAGTGTATGTAGTATTTTTGGCATAAAGATCTGTAATCATTCAGACTAGATAAATCCAAGTTTGAAATTAACATTTGGCTCATTACATATTATAATGATTTTATAAAGGCATAAAATATTCATTAATAATTATTTTTACAATCTAGAAACAGCGGAATAATAAAATTTGCGTTGTTGCCATTTATTCAGGTACATAGAACGGTATCCGGTGTAGGGTCATGCGTTGTTCTCCAAAAATGGCGGTGGAGTAAGCGTCCTTTTCACTCATGGCACGTAATAATTTCAAGACTAGAGATGAAAATAAATTTTTAGGAACAAACAAAAGTGGTAAATAATTGTCTATATAGAATACTAATACATGAAATATTTTTTGAAAATCAAAGTTAAAGCTTATAGTATTCCAAAACTTGTGACGCTCAATCTCTTTCTCGCATCTTACGTAGATCAATTTGTGCGATACCTAATTATCGTTTAAGTATAATCTATATGCAAAAATGAATAATTAATTTAAATGGAATTATCGAAAACGAGCGTTCATTTGATAGCAGGAGAAAATAAAAATTTATTTTTGACATTTGAGGTACATTTATGTCATTCTTCGTTCCAGTATTTCTTAGGTATTCTGAAAATAATTTTAATTATCAGTTATTATTGGTGTAATAAAAATGTCATTCATCATAGGTTAGTGATTATTAATTTATTAACGATTTATTGCCTATTTGTACTCAATCGGTAAACAATCTTCAAAAGATACTCCGAAAAGAAAATTGTAGAAAGGTAGTTGAATTTTTTGTTTATTAATTGATGGTAGCAAATGAAAAATATTCTGAAACAAAGAAAAATCTTATTGTATACCTAAACGCTATATCTCAATAATAGGAATATACATATTTTAATGTTACATACATACGTATGTTAACAGCTTCTTGTCGAATACATAAATGGAATATAATTACAAATTGCTGGATGACGGATAATAAATAGTCAATACTTTTACAGCCGTTAATAATAGTAATTAATAAACGTACATCTTCCTAAGGTTACGTATCATTTTTGTAATTCTTTGTTCACCTAGGTACATTCGATACATTCAGTTAATGCTAGAAGTGCACGAATGGCAATTCACATGATTAGGTACGAGATCTTAATTGGTAAGCAAATTTCATCGTCTACAAATGATCGCTCGTTAATTACTGTGACTTTTAATTACCCAAGTGAAGTATTTAGCGGGTATGATTACATGAGTAACTGACGTTACTTCGCTCAAGATAATTGGATAAAACGTTGTCGCACTATAGGATCATCTTCCAATAACGATACGATATATGGAATTTTTTATTAGATTTTTTTTGCATAGGTGTTCATCACCCCTATGATTCAACATTCTAATCGCGTCTTCGCCAAGTAAATTTGGCTCTCTGACTTGTAGCTTCTATGGGAAGGGTTGTTACTGCTGGGGGATGAGAATACGGACAGGCTGGTTTGGTACAATATGGATGGTACTTGCACTGTTGTGTAGGATGCGAAAATACACAGCCTAATTTCGTACAAGATAATCCAAATTTACATTTCGGGTGTTTATAAGCACATTTGTCACCAAACTTGCATGCTGGAAAGGCGCTGAAATTGAAAGAAAAATTAAATACATAAACTTTCCGCGTTACGTTTAATGAAAATTGTAGAATTGTGAAAACAAAAAGATCGTTACCTGCAGGGAACTGCTGGGTGAGAAAACGCACATTTACTTCCTAAAGTGCAATTGGGCCAATAACGGCATTTTTCCCTGGATTTCTCAACTGTCTCTGGCAAAGTAGCGTCTACGGAAGGACGCACATCTGTTCCGAGAAAAAATAATTATATGTTTAACATTGAGTATACAATTTTATATTATATAAGAATATAATTTTTATTACTTTTAATCGCTGCTGGAACGGCCACTGTGGCGGGTTTTGTTTTTGCTGGACTTGGCGAACGAGACCTGTTGAATACTATTGGACTTAATTTTCTTCGTTTCCTCGGTACATCTTCTGTACCTTCCACATTTTCAATGTTACAATTTTCATTGTTCTCTTCGGTGCCTTTATCCTCACTTATATCAAGATCCTCTTCGATGTCCGTCAAAGGCAATGTATTGGAACACGATTCACTTTGTACATACATGTCGGTCTGTATAGTATCAAGTGTAAATTCATCACCCTCGTTTACCTGTGATATTAATGAACATAATATAGTAGTGCAATCTTAACAAAATCGAAATCGGGAATTGCAAATTTCTATTACCTCCATTTCCAAACGTTCCTCATCGTCAGAAAGATTCTTTTGTTTACTAATATTATTGTTATATCCATTTAATGTAACTAAAAATTGTTGATTATCGTCATTCCTTTGAAATAAAGACATCAATACTCCCTTTTGTTCATCAGCATCAGCTTGCGCTAAGTCTACAACGTAAAAGAAATAAAGTTGAAATTACTTTTGAGAACTTGTCTGATCTACTCGATAGTCTGAATCAAAATGATTGAATTATGTACAAATTATTTATAATTGTACAATTATTTTTAATACTCGTACTTACGAGACTTGTGTTGATTTTGAAAGCAATTCTTGTTACTAATATCCACTCGTATTTTCCGCATGACCAACCTTTTGCTAGCATTCAAATGTACTAACAGATTCTGATCTACTTCTCGCGAACTGGCTGGCTTGAGAGGTTTTACAAGTGGCTTCTTATCCTGTCGAAAGTAAGGTTTTAATAAAATAAATATCTTGCCAGCAAGATAAGCAATCGCTGTTAGACATAAAATAGAAAATAAATAGTGTGCAGCATCTATATTTATAATTAAGTAATTGAATATCGCGAAGGATAAGTGATGAGTGAGGGTAAACGATTTGTTTTTTGTTGGTCAATCAATAGCAAACATTTATTTCCAATGTACAATTCCATACGTTAGTGTAGAGTAATAAAAATAATAACGTTTCATATAAGCCTTTTCAAACTGTTAAACACTGCGTATCTTATTTTTCTAAACCTTCAATAATAATAAAATCCTATGGTGCAAACGTTATACTTGAAAGACACTTTGCATATCTTTCTTACTGCAAAATGTTCTTCGATACTGTAATTTTATATAAATGATGTAACAGATATATTTATCTTCTGCCTTTTATACTCACCGATAACACAGGCTCTGGATTCTTCTGTTTAACCACAGATTGATTAGCTTCTGCAACTGCTCTTAACAATAAAGATTGAGTAGCACGTTTTTGTGCTGGTGGTAACGGCCTTAAAGGCCTTGGTGTAACAATAACTTTACTCGCTATTTTACCATCGTCATTACTATCATCCTCAACATCACTTGAGATGTCCTTATCAAATTTCTCAGGAAGTTTTAGTCGCTTCCTTTCGGTTCTGTCAGGCATTGTTCGCTTTACAGCTATTATGTGTGATTTGAGTGGACCAACGTTTATAACAGATTGAGCATCATCGTCAAGCTCATCTTCTCCACCAATATTCAAACAGTCATCATCCTCACTGCTCTGTGATGTCTTTGCTCTGTGAACACGTCTGATGTCTAGCGCTTTGAAATTATTCTTCACAGGTCCTAATCTATTTTTTATGTTCTTATTAGTCATAACATTACTGATTCTTTGCGATTCTACTGTTTCCTTAGATTTTGCAGTAGGATCTCTTTGAACTTTGTTATTAGTTGCAACGCCTAAACGATCCTTGACAGTAACAGCGGATTTCTCAGTGAACTTTAATTTTAATGTCGAAGTCTTGTCCTTTGACTCTATGGTTTTGCTAGATTTTTCTTCCTTGGAAATACCCAGTCGATTTTTAACGTCGTTAACCTTGTCGGAATCTCGATCTCGGGATTCGAATTCACGATTTCTGCGGAAGACATCATCGTTATCAAAGGTTCTTTGACGGGAGAAGTTATTTCTGCGATTATTAACGCGTTTTTCAGACTGTCGATAGCGAGTATCAAAACCCATTCTATCTCTGTGAACTTCAAACTTTTTTCTAGGAGATACTATACCGAGACGATTTTTGACAGATACTACTGAAGTTATTCTTGGTTTGTTAACGCTGGACTTTAGTTTTTTTCCACCATTATCGTCAATGTCTTCTTCTTCCTCGTCACTCAACTTTTCATTATCATCTGAATTTTTAGAACTTGCAGCTTTCAAAGTTTTCTCAGTATGATTATTCTTATCCAATACATTAGTGTCCTTTTTGGCAAATTTAGAAAATACATTCACTGCCTTTGAACTTATTTGAGTATCCGTCGATATACTTACAGTATTATTCAAGGAATTCTTTGGTTCATTGGTCTGATTTGGAGCTTTTTTTATGGAGATAGATTTATCGATATCACGATTTGTTACTACCAATGTGGTTTCTAATCTGCTATCAGAGGCATTTGTGTTTTTAATACTCTTTTCAGTATTTTTGCCCTGATTTTCTTCAGAACTCTGATCAGATGTTGAAGATTTTGTTGTAGACTTCTCAGAGATTTTGTCTTCCTTTATCAGTTTATCTTGAGGCTTTTCTCCGTTCGGATTTATAACTTGATCATCTAGGAAGGTCGTGGCACTACTTTTACGTTTCCTTCTTTCCTCTTCCTGCTTGACTACCACTGTTGGTACAAACTCTCGTGTGGTTTTCTTCTTTGCAACTGTGACCTTTTGTAACTTTTTTAAAACTTGATCGTGTAACCATTCCACAAACGGAGTTGTGCTGTCTTCCAGAAATAGATGCAAATCCTCATGCATCTGTTGCCGAGACTTCTTGTTGACAACCATTACCAGAATATAGTCTGGTAACTCTTCATCATACCGAACACCAAGCTCGAGAAGTTTCGCACGAATAGCACTCTATTAAACAAAATAATAAGCATTAGATTTTCCAATACATTCACTGTTTTCTGTAAAATAAAATATTCAATGTAAACTTTTTATGAGCGTGATACATTAAATAACAATGTTAAGTCATTTGCGCTAATTATCCACTTAATCGGATAGTTCAATCGACCCATAATACCGAATCATATGTATAAATTATAGGATATATATATATATATATATATATTTCATTATAAAAATGAATGTGAAAGTCACAATTTTAACTACATTAACAAAAATTATGTTCACCCTCAATTGGTTGGTGACTTCGATGCCACGAATATCCATGGTGATTCGTTGACTTTAGTCACCGATAGAAATTAAATGATTCTAGTGTCATTAAGTCGGCGAACTGCACATTTTTTCGTATTCAAGGAACTTGTTAAACGACAACATACAACGCCATGTTGGTTAAATGATTTCATTGATCCAACGTAGAAACGAAACTCAATTCAGCCTGAAATCCGATTTATGTGCACAAATCATGTGCTGCAACAAACGGAAGTATTAACTAAGCTTAAGAAATAGGTATCAAATAACTTTATTAATGCATACGTTGCATTTAAGTAATCATTCGTAAAACGTGTCTTTTTTAATTTATCATAAGAGAATATAAAAAGAAATAAATACGGAACAATGATAAAGTGCATTACTTTCATATTTTTATCATACTTTCTATAATTTTCAGACCTTATCAAAAGTATATACTGAAGTATTTATTAAAAGAAATTCATATATCGACATATTGTTCTTTCTAAATTTAATAGTCTTTAAGTTAGTGCAACGGAAATTAACATAAACAAGGTATTTCCATGTTTCTCTCATAATATATTATAGAAATTATCCCGTTTCTATCTTGCCGGTATTTCAAAAGTGATCGTACACAAAAAGAACGGAATCTCGTAGAGAAAAACCATAATTCTATGGGGAGATTTGAGAATCCCTAGTGGGGATTTCCAAATGGCAACTATTGGCAGTACTGGCGGTACATACGGGAGGTCAGTGCACGTCACGCAGTTATTATCCCGAAGAGATAAATTTGTGAGAATTTACGAATTCGGAGTGAAATACGTGAAATTCCTGAGATTCTCTCGCGGCGGAACATTGCAGAGCAGTGCGCGAGGGTCTCAGGTCAAAAAGACGACAGACTAAACAAGGTGTGATCCTGCCTGCAGGCTCGTCTAACGCTGTTGTGTGTACCTCTTGTTCTGTGTGATATTAAAACACACGACCTTACTGTGGTGCTGGTGGTGTTCCCTCTTCTGGGATATACAGATAGACTGTGTGGCAGGTTATGTCAGCTGGATTGGCAGGTGCTGTTTCAGATCAGGTCAGTCCATCCCTTCGCTACCATCTAAGGCTGCTCTGCAGCAGCACCCATTTGCCGAAGAGATACCATCTAAATTTTCGATGTTTTTACATGCTACGCGATGCAGCGGATGAAAGGACAGACTAATAGCCAGGGTGAGTGTTCTAGGCAGTATATCTATCATAATTTTTATTATTTTTGCATAATAAACTAACTACAACCAGTTGCTTCGAACTGCTGCTTCAAAGGATGCTTAAACACATATTTTCTTTGTCATATTGTTCTTCATATAATAAAGCTTTGAATTGCTATTGGAATACTCTTTATCAGTTGCTATTATAACAATTAATATTGCAAAATATATTTTTTAAGGTGTACATTGAGATAATTTTGATTTTAGGTAATGAATTGTATTTCATACATTTGCAGCTTATAAATAACATTATTATTGTATGTTCATTAATGAATATCGAGTATTCCTTAAACATGAGGTTTTTTATTTTTCTTATAAATTAACTGATTCTTAGGAATAGATTTCTTACTAATATATATACACATAGTACATCTGTAATACAGTGATATGAATGAAATATATTCAATATGATTTTGATATATTAAGCACATAAGCTTGAAGTTAAAGATGTTAGCATAGATTGTAAGTAAAAGTAGCTTTTAATTGCACTTTAACATTTGTGCATCAACATGAATATGTACAGTTTAATATCCAAATACAAGTATAATTTGTAATAAAACAATACTTTAATTCAATGTAAAAGATGATTTGAATTGATAAACTTACAGAACATGTTGTAACAATCATATAATGCTGTTATGTGGTAATAGGAATTTATGGCTATATATTTATATCTTACCATTGATTACATCAACGGTAGTACAATATGATAGTGACCTTGCTTTTGTCTGTGGCAATTGTATTTAATACCAAAGTTTCTCAGCTAATATAAGATCATAAAATTTCACTTGACTCTGATTAAACCTTTTAATGCTCCAGCTGTTATATGTATAATAAGATTTCCAGTTGTGGCAAAGTATTTAATAATACAAAATCTCTAATAAACATCTAAAGTCACATGCCCTATGTTCACTGAAGATTTCCATAATGGTTTCGCGTAAGTTCATAATAAATTTTCTACCATATACATCCGATGTATCATCAGCAGAAAGATATTCAGTTTTCTTAATTCCTGAATGTTTTTTTTTATGATCAACAGTAAGCAATGGTCCCAAGGAGCACCAGCAGCAGCAACAACAGCAAGCGGAGCACGCTGGTGCAGAAGATACCGGTTTTGATTCTTGGCGAGGAGGCAACAATACCCAACACCACTCGAGCTATCCGATCGGCACCGGAGATCCCTATAGTCCCTATTATGCGGGGACTTCATTCCCATACCAGGCGTTTGGTGCCGGAGATGGTACCTGGTCAAATGGTACAGACCCGGTCGCATTTCTCTCCGGTTACGGAGGTCAAATCGGTCATGACGCGTACGGCATGGACGGGATGTTCTCAGCCAGTGCAGGTGGCGGGTTCGGGACATTCGGTCAGCCAGCTTTCAATTACTTCCATGGAAACGGCGACTACAGTACCTGGGGTACACCTCGTAAAGCACGCTACGAGGACTACTACCAGCCGCCGAGGGGTAATGAGAATTACCCGACTCCTGGCGGTGCGGAAATAAAGACAATTGAGCAGAGTGTACAAGGACTGTCTATCGGCAGTGGAGAGATTCCTAGGCAGGAGCAGCAGGCTCCTCCGAATTCTCAAGCTAAGTTGGACCCTAAGGAACCCAGAAAAATAACATGGGCAAGTGTGGCAAGTCAACCAGCCAAGCCAGTGCCCCCAATGTCTTCTTCCCAAGGAATGAAGAAGAAGGCTGGTATGCCTCCGCCACCGATGGTGCCTGGAAAACATAACATGGATATCGGAACGTGGGGCGAAGGCAAATCTTCAGCACCACCTCCAAAAGCTCCTCCGCCACCACAAGTGCAACCTCCTGTACCTCCGCCACCACCTCCCGTTCAAAGACAGAGGCCACCTCCACCGTGCTGGGCTAGACAGCCAACACCTCCGCCACCGCCACAGCCTCAAATTCAAATGCAGTCTCAACCACCTCCACATCAACCGACACAGCAACAACCTCAGCTTCCACCGCCGCAACAACCTCCCTCGCACCCTGTGCTTGATGAACTTAAAGTGAAGAACGACTATAATCCTGTGGATTTCGATCAGACTGCTCCTGGAGCTAGGTTCTTTGTCATCAAGTCTTATTCGGAAGACGACATCCACAGGTCCATCAAGTATGAAATCTGGTGTAGCACAGAGCATGGAAATAAGAGACTCGATCAGGCATACAGAGAAGCAAATCGTGAAGGTGCGCCTCTATACTTGTTCTTCTCGGTCAACGGATCTGGACACTTCTGCGGTATGGCTCAGATGGTCTCGCCAGTAGATTATCAGAGCAATAGCTCAGTGTGGTCGCAGGACAAGTGGAAGGGTCAATTTCGCGTGCGTTGGATTTACGTGAAGGACGTTCCTAACGTGCAACTACGGCACATTAGGTTAGAGAACAATGAGAACAAGCCAGTGACAAATTCAAGGGACGCCCAGGAGGTACCTCACGTGAAGGGCGTCCACGTTCTTCGCATACTCCACACTTATCGTCACTCGACGAGTATCTTTGATGACTTTGGACACTACGAGAGAAGACAAGCCGAAGAAGATCAGCGTAAAGTACCCGTCAATCCTGTGTCGCATCATCATCCATCAAATAATCATCGGGGCAGAGTACATCCCGGCGAATTGTTACGTGAGCAGCAGCATCAGCAACAGCATCAGCAACAACATCAGCAGCAACAGCATCAGCAGCAACATCAGCACGTTCATCAGTCTCATCCACACCAACATCAACGCAAGGTAAGCCGAGACTTCGTCATCCATATGAATTCACCAAGATGCCAAAGCAATGATGACGCTAATTACGGTAACTTTTATCCTGACGTTAACAAGGGACAACAAGTGAAATAGTTTTTTTTTAATTAGTCTGTTCTTTGTCCAGGATCGTGAAGGTGGTCGCGGAAGAGGCAGAGGTGGTTCCCGTCAGTAGCGACGATTACAAGAGAGAAGCATAATACTATTGATAATAGTATTCAACTTGACGGATGAACGCTCTGACTAATTATCAACTTATCACTTACCCTCACTCATCCACTTTTAATGCCCCCCTCCCCCCCCCTCTCAATGCCCTTTGACTCCTCAATTTTTCCCATCCCTGAGAACAAGCCACGCTACCTCCCTGAAAAACTACAAACGGGCTTCTAACCGCTGTGACGGGACTCTCGTCGTTGAAGGCTATTCCCTTTCGTTGAATGATTAATCCGTATGATAATTAGCGTTGCGTTAAACATCATTAATATTATGTAATGATAATTACTGTGAGCAAAATAATTGAATTTTAAGGGATACATCATCGGGTGAACCTGAAAGACGGTTTAATAAGCGTAAAGTGTGGTGTTGCGTGCGATTTGTGGAATGGTGTTTCATAAACGTACAAGTTATTAAAAAAAAAAAAAAATGCGTGAAGAAGAAAGGAGAAAGAAGTAAACTACGATCATGACGACGACAACGATGATGATGAGGATAATGAAAAAAGAACAAGACACGGAATGAAGGATACAAGAAACTATAACAATGTGGACTAACCCTTGTAAAACGCTTGAACGTACTTTTGTTGAAAATGAAGAAATTCTATGCAAGGACGATATTGTAAGCAAGTGTCGTTTGAATTAATTACCATTTGAAAACTCCAATGAACATATAATCTGGTGCCTGCAACTGAGAGAAGGCCCTCTCCCATCTTGATTAAGAATGATAAATTAAAAGGAAAAGAAAAAAAAAAGAACATACACAAGGTGCAGGGGCTTGCCACGAAGTTTTAAGTTCATTATGTAATCGCGCTCGATCGATGGATAATAATTGAAATTATTGTCTGCTGATTATTTTAAACATATTCTATTATCTATTGCGAATTATATATAATATTACCTATTATTATATTAATCGTGGATCGCAGCAAATGATTTAAGATTATTATACAACAAGAAGAAATAATATTACAGTTACTCTATTGTAACGTGGATGATTATTATTATTGTAATATTTGATGAGAATTTCACGAGACACGATTCTTATTGTTAATACTATCTGTTATTAATTGTCTTACACTAGAGGGCGCGAGTACACGATTACGTTTACTAGGGTCGCTAAAAAATTACTATTCGAATTCTATTAATTATCAGTTATCTTGCTTTGAATAAGGGTTGGTTTCAACAAAGTTAACTGAAGTCTAACTCGTGAAATTAACCAATTAGATGCCTGTGTTTTTGAAAATTTTAATCAGATTAGCTAATCTCAACAGTTAAATGTCTCACACGTGAGGTATGATCTGCAGGACTAACAGTTTATTAATTTTTATCCTATTTTCTTATGATGTAAAACGTACAGTCGTACCACGTGCTCATAATCTCCATAGCCGCGAATCTGGATGATGAATCAGACATTTCGTTAGCAACGCAACGACTGTTCACGTTGTTGGAATTGATTTGGCACCGTAATAGAATACAAATGAAGATAATAGAAGTCCTTGACATGTCTTCCTCAAAACTTACCAGAAGTGTATGTATATATACATAACAAGACAAAGAAAATCGATGATAGGTCAAAAGAGAAACGAGTACTCTTTGAATATCAATTAAAAAATATATTGTAAAACATTCACCATTGAGGTCCTAGCGTGGGATTGAAGTATGAAAAAAAAAAATTGGTACATTGTCATAAAATTGGACTAAGGAAGTTGAAAGGTTAGGAGAAAATTTTATGAAGCTTTATATGCTGACCCTGCCATGCTAATCACGTTTCTGCCAGGTTCACGTTCATACATTGGTACTTCTGGTGGAAACTTGGGTTTAGATGGTTCTGTTGCATTTTCATACATCAGCTGAGCTACCTGAGGAAAAATCAATGGAATGGAGAATTTATGTGAACTGCTGGTCAAAAGAAAATTAATGAAGTACCTCGAATCTTCGGTCGCGTTGCTTGAAATAGTGGGGCGTTGCGCATTCGCGTGGAATAATTGTCTTACATTCGGGATATTCAGGTCGGCATGATATTACAGGATGACCTTTACTGTCTTTATCAATCTAGAATAATTATCAGAAATTCGAGATTAGATTTACTTGAGATTTTTTTGTTTGAAATTATAAGAATGTGTCTATTACTTGATCAGCCCATTTGATTTCCTTTCTACGATGAGATGATTGGAGTTTCGGTTCATCTTGTGGTTCATATGAACGCAATGGTACCGGCTCGTTCACGGTTGCTAATCCTGGACACAATTCCTCAGGTGGTGGTGTTGGTGGTCTAAGTTCACCATGTTCACCCTCGTATCTCTTTTGAGCATCCTTTTCAAAATCTGCTAGACACTCTCCTGGATCTAACGAGTCCTTGTGCGGTTCCGCTAAATTTGGATCTAGATCCGGTTTAGTGTCTTCGGTATCCCTTATTTGCCTTGCTCTCATGGCAATGTCGTCCTTCAGCAGACCTTTAGCGACGAAATAATTTCTGATTTGGTCTCGTAACTCTTGTGGAAATTTCTCTGGATTCGCTTCGATATATCGATACACGAAAAGATCGGCGCCGTTGATGATAAATCGATGATTGAAAATATTGATTTTAGCACCGATGTAAAAGTCTTCTGGCGTATAGTACACTGGGTTAGTTTTATCGGTACCTGGCTTTGGTACTAACATCGAGTTCAGGAAACATCCAGCACGGCGTCCTGAGTTACGTTTCTCAATTTCACTTATCAGGATTGTCCCATCACTGAGGTTATATTCAAGTATGAAATCGCGATCCTCATCTTCCGGATGCACAGCTTCCATTATCATGGAGTACCTCAGTTTCTTTGGAAAATTGTACAACTGTCGCACCACGTCCTTCTTGGGCGGTTTTGGCATGAAGCTCAAACAACTAGCCAAAGTATCTTCTGGCGTACCAAAAGGGATGTGGGGAGGTGGCTGATACTTTGGTGAAGATCTTTCTTCCTTGACAGGTGGACAGATTCTGGGTGGCTGTACCAAGCCCAACATTCCCGAGTAATACTTCCTGGTGAAGGCGTCGCAGTCGTAAAGAAAGAACCGTCGACCAAAGATAAAAATAGTATCGCCTATCTGAAAGACGTTCGAAAGCAGAAAAGAAATAGTGTTAAAGCAATACTGAAATTTCGCACCTTAAAATCTTGCGGTGTGTAATATTCCACGACTTCCAGATCCCCACGTTCCATATATATTCCAGGAAACGAAGACGGTACGTCCTTCCAATTTTTTGGCAATTTAGTCCTTTTCAGCAACATGGCCACGGGGTCCTTACCATCGTTCGGTCTGTGAATCTCACGAACGGCCACAGTGTCATCAGTCAAGAAATACATGACCTGATAAAAATCATCGTTCCAAATGGCGTCGAACGATAGAACCATTCCATCGTATTCCAGAAAACGACGCCGAGGATCGTCAGCGACTGGTGTTACGCACGAAGATGCTTTGCTCTTGGCAGCACGAAATTGAATGTAAGGATCCGGAGGTAATTCTTCCTTGTCGCCAACGTCAATACCCTGACTGCACAAGAATTCTCTGGTGAAGAGATCGCAGTCCACTGTATGATAGACAACCCCGTATATTGCTGAATACAAGGTAAAATTAATTAATAAAATATTGAGGTTAGAAAATAATTACTTTAAATAATTTTCGTTACCGATATCTATGCCGACGTTCAGATCCTTCCAATGGTAATAATCGCCATGTATATTTTTGACAATCCTTTCACGACGTACCAATTTACCTTGCTTGAATCCTGCATTGTCAACCGGTGGTTCGGAAACCAGTATAGTGTCGTCTTCTAGGAAGTAAATAATATTCACGTGGCGTATACGAAAGTGTTCGTCCGGAGAATTAAATATTCCTTGACGAAAGAATGCTTTGAAGCATAAACACTTTTGTGCAAACTTGGCATAATGTGGCACGAATTGTTGATATGCGTATTCACGTACTCGGCCATACGTTAATGATGGATCGTACCTGGTATTTGTTTATGGGATCAAATATTTTTATAAGGTTTTACTTATCTAGGGCATTTAATTCAATTATGAGCTGGAAATTAATACCCACTGTACAGAATCCAAATCGCCCGCGTAAGCACTGGATGCTGTATCTATTGGTCTTCTGCCGATTCCAATATTCGAGTCTCTCAAGACACGAAAACCATTTAGAAAATTGAATTTCTGCTTCAATTTATAATCCTGCACCTTTTTTAAGAAATAGGTTATATGTTGCGGGTGTGCGTGTCATCCTGAGACAATTAAATAAAGGGCGTAATTAAATACTCACTGTGGAATCGTGACAACTGTATCCAGGAAGTAACGGAAGTTCATGCATTTTTTAAAATTAAAATTCTTCGACAATATGAGTGTATATATATTTCAAAAATAATTCTAATCGCCCATGATCTGCAAACTGTCAAAAAGTTTTGAGTAGAGCCTTTACACTCGATTACACAATCCAGTCAGTTTATTTCCATAACAACCTGAACATCGTATCGATCCTTTATCAACAAGCCGTTGTCAGGGTAGATGTATTTGGCGGTAAAATTTAAACACTGTTGTAAGTTAATTCTACCTTGCCATCAGTAAACTGATACTAAACTCGAATTTAATCTACGAATGACTTTAATTTTTCAATAGGTTTAAAATGAAGAAGGAAAACGTGATGTCCCAGATTTTTATAATTTATTTCTTAATAATTTATTGACAATGGTAGCACTGGATGGTATTTGCTCAATGATTCATAAACGCCTATTGATCCAATCACAAAGTCATAAATTCCCTAAAGAGCGCCATACATCCAGCTGACAGACAAGCTGCGACCGGAACAGTAATCAACCAAGCAAATGCAATATTGCGAAATAATCTCCAAGAGACACCATCCCCTCCACGTGATACCCATCCCACGCAGACAACAGAACCAACTTTACAATGTGTAGTGGAAACTGGTAAACCAGCTTTGCTTGCTAACAGAACAGTGACGGCAGCTCCTACCTGCATGAAGAAAAAAAATAATATAGGAATTTTCTATCAAATAAATATTTTATTAATGAAATTTTGTACATACCTCTATAGTGAATCCTGTTGTAGGTGTAATACGTGCCAGGTCTTGTCCAAGTGTCTGAATGACTCTTCTACCCCACACCCAAAGACCTGTTGAAATTCCCAGACCACCGTAGAGAAGAATCAACAGTGGCGTATCAGCTTCCTGACGTGCGGATCCTTCGGCATAAACAGCCCACAGTGCGATAAGAGGTCCAATAGCGTTGCTCACGTCATTTCCGCCGTGTGCAAAGCTACCAAAAGCCGCTGTGAGTACTTGCAAAAAGGAAAACAGTTTTGAGACTTCCGGCAGCTCTTGATCCTCTCCTTCCACTTCCGCCTGAACGCCTTCAACGTCGGCACCAGCCGCTAACAATAATGGACTTGCACTATTGTTTCCTCGTAGCTTCGGTGGCTCCTCTTTGCTGTTATCATTGGCACCACTTCCGGATGGTGCTTGGGAGATGACTGACAGTGCAGTAGTCTCTTTTCTGTCACAGGTACTGAAATCAGTAGTCTTGTCTTCTGTATTGTCGGATACCAATATTCTTTTTCTTTGCCAAGGTACGACAAACAAATAGACCACGATGCCAGACAAGAGTCCTGCTGTCACGGCGGTTATCGCACTACCCCACCATGGCATCTTATCCAACATTAAGACTAGAAGATGATAAACAATTATGAACGAGGACGATAAGGATAAAATATAAAATGAACTCACGTTTAGGCCCGTCATGCGCCACAGACAATATATTGACAGCAATCGTAAGACCATAGGCCAGAGGAAGAACGTGTAAGCCTCGATCAAAGGGCTTGCTGGATCTTAAAACTGATCTTCTCAAGAGCCAAAAAATGGAGCCCGACACGGCGCCACTTAAGACTGGACTTGCAAACCAGGATGCTGCGATATTCGCCAAGGCTATCCATTTCACCTGGAATTATTAAAACGTGCCACTGACACAGGATCCTATTTTTTAAATATATTCTCTGGCACAATCATTAACACGTCAACTCACCCCCGCTGTACCTCGACAAACCAATGAAAATCCAACAGTGGCACCCACGATGGAATGCGTACCGGATATAGGAAGCCTCAACGCTGTCGCAACCAGCAACCAGATACCAGAACCAGCAAGGCTGGACAACGCACCGATCATCAGCTCCTTCTCGTGTCCTTCGTACAAGGACACATCCAAAATACCTTTTCGCATCGTGTCAGATACCTGAAGCAGCGAAAGTCATTCATCAGATCAACCTGTAAAACATGTATAATTTAATTGCGTGATATTACGTTACGGAGCTTACCTTATATCCTATGAGTACAGCACCAGCAATTTCGAAAATCGTAGCCAATATGCAAGCCTGTGTTATGCTAAGTACACCAGCACCGACACTGGTACCAAAACTATTTGCAACATCATTGGCACCGATACCAAAGGCTAGGATGAACGCAACAATGAATCCAACAATCACCAGCCACAGCAAACTCTCGTCGTAGGGAATGATAGCCATGCTCGTTACAGGTGATAGTCACTTTTATGCTTTGTCTTCAGGCTCTTCAAAATTCTCTTTCTATAGTTACAACAGTCTAAGCCCTATTCTAATTTATCTTCTAAATCTTTTAATACTTTTCTATGACAATCAATTCACTAGCAAACGAGAATTACTCGTACAGAGGAAGAACAGTCTATCCTATTGTGTGTCTTCAGAGTTGATTTTATAACTGCATACATAAATACTTGCTCATTAGAATATAGCATATGCGTCTACATATGTTGTCTGTGTGTATAGATATATAGATACTCTTTCGTTTTTACTTCAATTAATATTTCTTCTTTTTGTGTTTCTCCTTTCTCGTTTTCCTCGTTTATTTTGTTCCTAATAACATCAATTCTGTCTTTGTAGCTTTGTACATGTGGCGGAGGTAGTGTTTCGGCTCAGCACCCGTGTTCTCGAACGTCATGACTTTGACGCTTCAATTTCAATAATTAATATTTAATTATAAGGGTTGTAACGAATTATTGATGAGTGATGCATAAAATAACGGTATTCTTACGCGAACTAAAGTGACGCGATTGACTTCTAGAATTCTTTTCTATCGTTTTCCTCGCGTGAAAGCGAGCCGATTGCTGCTGTTCCCATATCTGTAAATAATTCCAATGGAATTACATCATGTTACATATCGGAAAAGGAATAAAGAGAATTAGTGAGAAAGAAGCACGTCTAACACTAACGTTATCAAGTACTAACGTGCAAAAATATAAACATATTTTTTAAAAATGTACCGTAGCTACTCGACACTACGTTCAACACTGACACCATATTTTTCATAAATTTCCCGTAGTCCGATTAGACAGTAAAAATTTTCTTTAGAATGAATTAACTCAAAAGTCACAAAAATTTCGTTCAAATCTTCCCGATGCGATAATCAGTACAGTAAGAATCTAAAGTGAACAGTCAATTATGCAGTATTCAGATGATAATGACGTTAATTGCAAGTTAACATCGTTAAATTCGACTTGTCCTTTGGATATCCAATATTTAATTGTCCGACACACGTACCTCTTAGAGGATCATATAAAGAAAAGAAAAATTCCCGAAATCACTTCTATGTAAAAAGCACGCGCGACGTATTTTTAACGCACAACCTGTACGTACTGTACCCTACGATTAACTGAAAGAAGAACCGGTGCGTCAGCATAGCGACACATGTAGAGTCACGAGGAAACAGAGAAAAGCACAAACGGTGTAACGCGGCGAACAGAGACGGTTGAGTGTCCAAAGAGAATGGACGACTGTTACTGGATAAAACGTGTAAGGGATGAAATTAAAAAAGCACGCTTTTACCCCACTGTCCATCGTTCTACCGTGATCTCCGACGATCTTCAACTTCACGGTCGTTTCATCCGGATCACGTTCCTCTGGAAAATGCACAGCTTTTACAATCGACGTTTTCCGACCGACAAACCACGTTAAAACCAACCGCCCTCAAGCAAAGACGAGCGACTTAACCCAGTTTGAGAAAAATCTTCGGTCGGGGCACCACTGATCGCATGTACGAGGATGGGGGGAGGGTTGAATATTGATCCATCAGACCGGCCTGTGTGTACCACCCATCTGCACCCCTTATAGAACTGCCTGTGGATCCTATACATATATACAATACCGCAACACCTTGCAATTTTAAGGCCAGTTTCACGCTTGGCAGGTTCTAGGATTTTTATATAAAATATAACGTGGTTTATTTTGAGACGTTTTGAAGACGAGACACGTCCGGTCACTATAACGAGGCAAGAAATTAGTAAGTGATTGCGTAAGGGATGCTAAACTATATAATGCGTATATATGTATACATACGTATGATGGAGTTTTCGTTGTTATTGCCATTTGGGGACTTTTCACCTTCATGTTACTTTTAAAAGGATCGTCGATTGGATGCTGAATTTCTTTTTCGGATACATTTTATGTTCTTTCGTGGCTTCACAAGTTTTCTTCTACACGCTGATGTTCTAAGGAGTTTAACGTGTGACCGTTGGCTTTCAATTTGAATGACGCTGCGCCTGTGAACGAGCTACCCGTTTTACTTCAAAGATAGCAGTGCTGTCTGTTACAGGCGCGTGTGATTAACTTTGGAGTCACATACATATAATTTGGCAGTTTTCATCCTTCGTTTCTTTTTTTAATATATAACTAACATTGAGGTAATTTATGAAAGACAGTGGCACATATTAGAATTAAGCTTATCTTGCAATGTTCCTTTTAAGGAGTTTAACTTTGTCATTGTCTTTTTGACATTCGCTTTTCCTTTTTGTATTGTATGTAGGGCATTATTTTGTAATATATTAAGATTAATATGATAAAAATATGTTTCAATATAGTACAATATTATTTAGTTTATACACAGAAATACATGATAGAGATAGAATAATTACTATTTATTAGTTGTATACTATGTGTCGTTAATCGATTTATTCCTTTTCCCATTTTTCTCTCTCCTTACGTTCCTTCTGAACCTCCTCTATGTATGGAGCAAGATATCTTACATCCTGTAAAATAACAGACAATTATTAAACTGTAAATAGAAACTGTCAAATATAAGAATATATAGCAGAACAATGTAAAATGCTCAGACTTGTAATATATTGCTTATAATTTGTTGTATACTTACTTCGCTGTATTTTGTCCATTCTTCCTTAGGTAATATAACTTTGCAAAAATCAAGTTGTGCAGCTCGAATGAGTCGGAAATTTCGTTCATCTACAAGGTGCTTGGGAAGGCGACGAAGTGCTTCTACCACATCAGGTGTCTCGTTAATGACATCATCACGCATCAAACCTATGTGAACCAACAATGCACAATGTTCAAATTCAATGCTTTAAATTACACGTTAAATTTAATTTGATGATACTTACCATATTTGTTGAAACCAGACATATTATATGCCCATTCTCTAAGAGAGGGTCCTATACAGGAAAAAGATTGAATTAGTTATGTAAGTTTGCACAGTAGTGATAGAAAAATTGTACACGTATAATCCTATATGCAACAAAGTTTATACTTTGTATGACTCTTGGGAGACAAAAATATGCGTAATAATTACCAAAAAGCATGGTAGGAACACGTTTTGCTGCCATTCTAGAGTGTGTGCCTTTTTTACACCGATGAGCACTTTGTACGTCTGCTACACTGTAGCCTACGAACAGTGATGGCTGACAACTTACAATGTCGTTCGAAGCGGAAAATTTGAATTAAACAATGACTTCATTATTAAAATTGTCCTGCTGATTGCTTCATGATTTTTAAATATAAGATAATAGAGGAAAATATTCTTTACTACAAACTACTTGCTTGATATCATATTAAAAGACCAAGTTGATTACAAAGATTCATGTCCAATTATGATATCAATGCGCTTCCAACAGTAGTTTCACTGTAGCGTTAAAACATCTTTAATTACATTTTGAAAGAATTGGAGACCTTCAGCTGTTTAAAGCTCATTATAAACAATATATCTAGTCACGTATAACGCGTATATATAGAAAACAAATTACGTTTTTTGTCTTACGCAAAAAACAGTTGAAATACGTAATTGAAACGTAGCCATGAAAACTGCCTTTTTTCAAACAGCACATATGTTTACGTTCAAAAGATAGTTACTTCGTCTCTAAATAGAGAAAAAGATAAAGCATTTTCATACTTTTAATAATATAGCAAAGGGACAATCTAAATAAATTATTCCGGAGCAGGGATTTTGCCTATAACGGTCCGCGCGCTTTGTACATTGGTCGCCATCATGAAAATGTAGCGTTCCTTTGAAAGTACTATGTTAGTCAGTATAGATTTGAAAACTGGTAAATATACGAAAGAAAACGTAATAACAGCAGTAGGAAAAATAAAATGATATTAACTTAATGATTTTAATGAATATATCAATTAGTTATTTTCGAATGAAAGTGTATTTAGTAGGGACGATACGATTTATACACGTGTTGATTGGGTCTACTTTTCCGGGGCGTAGGGTATGCTCTACGTCCGGGTATATAAGCGCGTTGCGTACTACTTTCAACGCCTCTTCCTCATTAAGAGTAGAGTTGTGTTCACGTGTGGTTGTGTCTCCTTTTTCCACAAAATAGGTCACACAACCCACCTCCATTCGTGAATTAACTCTTCTATAAAAAAAAAAAACAAAAAAAATATAAAAAGTCGAAAAACTTAAACCAAAAAAATCGAAAAATCGTAGCCGAAAACCGCGAAACCCGGTAAAGTGTGGAAAAAAATAGAAATCATTTGCGTTACGAGGAGCGACGTGGTCGGAAGAGGGCAAGCCATATTGAAGGAACCAAGGAACCCGAAACCCCAAGGAATTTCATCATTTTAAAGCAACACGACGTGGGAATAATACGACAATGAATCCGGGAGCTCCGAATTATCCTATGGCCTCCCTCTACGTGGGGGATCTGCACTCCGACATTACCGAAGCGATGCTTTTCGAGAAGTTTTCATCGGCTGGTCCTGTTCTCTCGATTCGCGTCTGCCGTGACATGATCACCCGACGCTCGCTCGGCTATGCATATGTAAATTTTCAACAACCGGCCGACGGTGAGTATCTTAATCTTTATATATCTTCTATAATCCACATGCCTGACACCTCATAATCATGAATCATCATTATCCAGCTCTCCCTTTTTACGCCGTCCCAACACGTGTTATCCATCGTGCCAGGCGTCCATATTGGATTTTACTTCTGCCTTTCTCCCAGAGACGGACACTGCTTGAAATTAGTTTGACGGGTTTTTTATGCTCGTTTACATGTTTAAATTCAAAATTTTTAACAATCCTGAACTCCACTATATTCCGTTATTTTTTAATAATTCTGTTACCCCTCTCTTTTATATTTTTCTTATTTCTTTCACACCTTTTTTCCCTCATGCATGTTATCTTATTTTCCCGCTCGATCTTTCATTATTTCCTTGTCATTTTTATGTTTTTCTTATTCTTTCTCTTATTTGTTCATTCTCTCTTGTACGATTTAATTGTTTATGCGTTGCAAAGAGAATCACCAAATTTTGGTATTACGTTAGTCATGTGTTACCATGTGGTATTTCGCTTCTACGCAAAAATGTAATGCCGCCTATTATCAACGTTGGTTTTGTCAAAAAAATATTCATGCGATAGCAGTTGGCTTTTGGAAATATATTTGCTTTATTACTGATAATTTTGGACGAATCGTACTAAAATACACTAATTAATCGGTTTTTCTTGAATTATGCATGTTTACGAAAGCATGAAGATATTCGTGGCAGTTCTGGAAAGTAGTGGGAGAAATTGGGCTGCATGACGTTCACGATTACTAATACGTATTGTCGCATATCTTTCTTATCTTCTTAATGACTTGTATACATTTTTAAATTGACCACTTTTATCGCATATGATATCATTAGAACGTTAATAGTGCTTCAATAATTTTGAATAGAAATTAATGTTTTCATTATATCATTTAATAGAATTATAAGCAACATGAAGACATTATTAAATTTGCTTTTGCTGATGATAATGGTATGATAAAGTATTATATAGATGTAGAGTATTATTTTTTGCTCTACAGATATTGCGTATTTGTTATCGTAAGAGTCTGCAAAATGAAAGCAACAACCAGATATAGTTACACTGTGTCAAGGATATGTATGTATTTTGAATGTCAGATAGTTGGATATATCCTTTCACTTTGCTTTAATCTCTAGGACTTTGAAGGGAACGTGGAACATGTTGCCTTTCTATCATGACGAATCACTAAAGTATTAATATAAGTTTAAAAATAAAGTGCACTTGGAATAACATGATACGCGAGAGATATTAACTGTTTTTACAATGTCACTATTTGTTTATTTAGTAAATTAAAAAAAGCTGTATTGCTATAATATATATTTATTTTTTCAGCTGAACGTGCTCTCGATACCATGAACTTCGATATGATAAAGGGGCGGCCTATCCGTATAATGTGGTCCCAGCGTGATCCTTCATTAAGAAAATCTGGAGTTGGCAATGTCTTCATCAAGAACTTGGATAAGAACATAGACAATAAAGCCATGTATGACACTTTCTCAGCTTTCGGTAACATACTTAGCTGTAAAGTCGCGCAAGACGAGACTGGTAATTCAAAAGGCTATGGCTTCGTTCACTTTGAAACAGAGGAAGCTGCAAATAAATCCATTGACAAGGTCAATGGCATGTTGCTGAATGGTAAGAAGGTAAGTCAGCACCAGAAATCTATGGCAACTTTCGCCGCATTATAATTCCCAACCAATACAGACTTTCTAAATTTATCTCTGATTATGTCCAGGTGTACGTTGGCAAATTCATCCCCCGCAAGGAGCGCGAGAAGGAACTCGGCGAGAAGGCCAAACTCTTCACTAACGTATACGTGAAGAACTTCGGAGAAGACATGACCGACGACAAACTCAAGGAGATGTTCGAAAAGTACGGCACCATTACCAGCCACAAGGTAATGAGCAAGGACGACGGTAAATCGCGGGGATTTGGTTTCGTCGCCTTCGAAGATCCGGACGCGGCCGAGCAAGCTGTGAACGAGCTCAACGGGAAGGAGGTCGCGGAGGGCAAGTGCATGTACGTAGGTCGCGCCCAAAAGAAGGCTGAACGTCAACAGGAGCTCAAGAGGAAATTCGAACAGCTCAAGATAGAGCGTCTTACGCGATATCAGGGTGTGAATCTTTACGTGAAGAACCTGGACGACACCATTGACGATGAACGTCTCCGCAAGGAATTCACCCCGTTCGGTACTATTACCTCCGCCAAAGTCATGATGGAGGATGGCCGCAGCAAGGGATTCGGCTTCGTTTGCTTCTCTTTACCCGAAGAGGCCACAAAGGCCGTTACTGAAATGAATGGCCGTATCGTTGGATCCAAACCGCTCTACGTTGCTCTCGCGCAACGCAAAGAAGACCGCAAGGCTCATCTCGCCTCGCAATACATGCAACGCATGGCCAATATGCGTATGCAACAAATGGGCCAGATCTTCCAACCTGGCACTGCCGGGAGCTACTTCGTGCCTACCATGCCTCAGCCTCAGAGATTCTATGGGCCGGCCCAAATGGCACAGATTCGTACTACGCCACGCTGGCCAGCGCAACCGAATCAAGTACGACCCAACGCACAAACTGGAAGCTCAGGCTTCGCAGCGATGCAAGGTCCGTTCCGAACTGCGCCTCGTGCACCAACCGCTCAAGCTGGCGCTATGCGTAACGCCCTCTCTGCTAGGCCCATTACTGGTGAGAAGACGTGCCACGACTATTAAGTACACTGCTGCATGCGACTCAAGGATATTCATGTCAATGAGGACTCGCGAATCGCAAACACGTCCTTGCTTTAGGAAGTCAGCCGCATATTTCACGGCGTATGTGCTTTGAAAGCAATGTGTTAAGAGTGTCGCCTCGAGCCCAGTGGTTTCGCTTCAGCTTACGCCTAAAACGTCTTTCTAAAGCAAGCCTGACGTCTTCACGATTCACGAGTCAGTAGATTTTGGTTTCCAAGTAGTAGGTCACTCGTTTGTAATCCCTTTTGTCAAATCCTATTATGTCTCTCTTATCGTCGTAGTATTATCCTATATTCTGTAAAAGTCGCAAAAAGCGATAATTTGAAAATGAATGAGCGCCATCCCCAGATTCAAACGAGATACAAGAATAGTTTGGAGTCTTATGGATGAGTGTAATATTTTCATTCTCAATTATCGTTGATGGTGTAATTTTTTTTTATTCTGCGTGCAGCAGACAGGTTTTTATCATGTGCGATAGCCAGAGTATTATCGCATGTTAAAATCAGACAAGAATTATTATTTCCTGGCTATTGCGCGAGCACGTATCTCACTGCAGTAGTGTCTTTTGATCCAAGTTCGACCAATTGTGCTTCCTCAGTCGAAAGATTGATCAGAGAGAGAGAGGGATGCACGATTCGGCGAACTTGAACGAAAACTCATATGTAACGAAACATCTTTCTATTTGTTCAGGTCAACAAGCTGTCGGAGGTGCGAATATGCAAGGCGGTCGTCCGATGGCTGGTAACGCGGTCGGTGTCCCGCCACAAAGTCGCCCGTCCAACTACAAGTACACTTCGAACATGCGTAATCCACCACAAGCGATGACGATTCCTGCTCCAGCCCCAGTTCAGCAAGCGGTTCACATACAAGGCCAGGAGCCACTGACCGCGTCGATGCTGGCGGCTGCTGCTCCTCAAGAGCAAAAGCAAATGTTGGGAGAGCGTCTGTTCCCGTTGATCCAGTGCATGTATCCCCAGCTTACTGGGAAAATTACCGGAATGCTGTTGGAAATCGACAATTCGGAGCTCCTGCACATGCTCGAGCATAATGAGTCGCTGAAAGCTAAGGTCGAAGAGGCCGTGGCCGTGCTCCAGGCGCATCAAGCCAAGCAGGCCGTGGCTTCCAAGAAGGAATAACCTTTGTACGTCAGGCTATCGTTTTCTTCTTCTTTTATTATTCGCCAATAATGTTGTTTTCTTTCGTAGTCGCCAGGTCTCGAGTAACAGCATTGTATTTTGCGTACATCTCACGAACGTTGTTATCGCTGAAAATTTCTTAATTACCTTATAGAACAGCTTCAGCGATCGCCAGGCTTTGCGAGACACGAGAAAAAAAGCTGTTACTCAAAACCTGCTGGCTATTCGTGAAGGGGTTTTTTCTTCAAGTTTTATGATAATAAACTTTCCTTTCAAAATAATTATCGATTCTTCTTCTCACCCCCATCTTCCATCCACTATCCTCAAGTTTTCACGTACTTCAAACTCGTGATGAAGTTCATAAAAATCATGCAGACTTGTTAAATGCTATAGATCGTTAATAGTTCGATTGTATTTTGCTATATAATTGTTACGATTAATTCATATGTGATGATCGACGCTTATTTTCATTATAACTGTACATCTACGTGACATAAGTAAAGTGTCTTGAACAAAGTGTGCACAGTTTCATTCCATTGCATACATTTACATATAAAACAATTATGATACCATGAATTGTGATAATCAGCATGAAACACATATATATATCTGTATTACAAAAAGTTAGAAATTTCGTCTCTTGAACCGTCTTCGAATATGCATAATATAGATTTCACCTAATTCTACTTGATCCATGTTCGCGTATCAAAAGTACGACGTAAGAATTAATACAAGACGAGATCATCAAGATATTTCCAGCTCAACTATTGGTAACAATGTATTGCTAGTGCAGCCATCCACCAATCAGAATAGTCTGCGATCAAAGTTATGGGCGGAGCATTATTGTGTGCCAAATGAAAAAGCCAAGCTTATTGGTTGGAACGTCGCGCCATCGTTTTGGCTATGGGGACCAATGGGGACGTTTATGGCGGAAGTGACCTCTCGGCAACCGTAAACATCGGAACGTGACGAAATGTCAAAATCTGTTGCTAGTTCAGTTGCGGTTCGAGTCTCGAGAAATAGAGTGACGAAAGATTAGAAGACGCAGACTGATTGTTGGGTGTGCACTTTACTCACTGCTCCATAAAAGGTACGTGGCGATTTTTTATGCGACCAATTGTTCCCGACTCATCCTTGAATAATCTGAATATTCGACAGGCGCAATTATCTCAAATTTCTACGTACTAATTCAAAAGTGCGGGAAGATAGCCGCGTGCGAATCGTGTGTAGATCCTTTTACTGTGTAATCTTATGCAATTTCTATGACTTTCGTATGCATATGGTTGCCGATCCCAGAGAAGCTTCTCGGTACCGGGAAGGTATCTTGATTCGAACGTTGCGAAACTATACTGTATATACGTTTTTTTTGGGTGGTCAGAACAGTTCTTTTTTTTTCGTAGGCAATTGTTATATATTATTCTGTTAGACGATTAGGACTCTACTTTTTTCAATTTTTACATAGGTTTCAATCGTTGTTCATTATGATGGAGACGTGGAATAATTTTATTTGATACGAATGGAACTTTATTAGGTCGTGAGGACATTCCTCAGGATTGGTCAAGCGTGAACTCTCGGTAGACACTTTTATTATTTTAATTCTACGTTCTTCTCGGTTTTTATTACGTGATCTCTTACGGATAGTATAAAATTAGTTGTTCCACTTTTGTCTTGCATCGCGGTGCACGTTAGTTTATCGTTGAGTAGATAAATGATTATCGCGGCAAATAGCGGTTACGGTAGGTTTATCTCTTGATATTCCGTTACAAGTGAAGATATCTTTGAAGGGTACTTGCTAATTCACATTCAATGGAACATGTAATAGTAACTTACAAGTAAATAGAGGTTGTAATCAGCGAAAGAGCCGTTCTTTTCTTTTTCTTCTCTTTCTTTGTTCACAATAGTTAACATGGACACAATACTCTTTCTAATTCATTTCACTTTGCTTTCAGTTTACTTAAAAATGTTCTTCCAAGATTCTATTTTAGCGACTTCAGTATATGTTGGTAGATTAATATTTTTGAATTTGTTTATCAGATATATGAGTATTTAGTCTTGTTTAAGGATTTTCATGAAATTCATAGAACTGTATATGTTAAAGAATGGAGTTATATTTGAAACATGTGTTTGTGGAGCAAGATGCAACTTTCTCTAGGACAGTAAAGCATAAAAAAGATTTTTAGGGTTAGGGATAGTAATTTGTGAAATGGCTTTAACCTTGCTTATTTATCATTTTTAGAATTTTAAATATCTTTTGTTTGAATCAATGAAAGAAAAAACATGTGTTTGTCTACTACAAGGTCATACAAGATTTTAAGTTGGACTTCCAATACTCTTGTTACTTTGAATTTATTACTTCAGTTCTGTTTGAAATATATTTTGTGCAATGGACTATACATATAAAAAATAGAAAGTTTAAAGCAAAAACAGTATGTACAGTTATCTACTATTATGTAGGTACCTGGAATTTTTTTCTTTTGTTTCTCTAAACTATCTAAGCAATATGGCACAGCCTCTCAGGCAGATATATATGGGTAAACCTTTTTGGGACTTAATATTTTCCAGACCTCCTTTTGTTACATTTCTGGACAGAGTTAATACTCTTTCTTGCCCTTTTTATTCATTGCTGCAAGCAGTCCTTCTGGTGTATTTGTTTTAAAATGTCCAGTTGAGTATTTACATTAAGTTTTGAAAGATATATTTGAAATGGCCAAGGCATTTGAAAATATTGTTAGAGGGTAATATATTATAGAGTTGAGTAGCTCCAGTCTCTTTCATAGGAGAAATTTGAGCCTTGTATAAACAGCTCATATAGCACATTCCTTATACTTATCTCTTGCCTCTTGGTGACAGCTTTATGTATAAGCAAATTCATCATACTTTTGAGGACAGTTATAGTAATGTTAATTTAAATAAAGGAAATAAATTTTTAAATTATGTGTATAAATTAAGCATTATTTTAGTTCTACGATTTGAATATAATGTATTGAAATTTAATCATTGCATTAATGAATCATTAATATATGACTCAAGATTTTGAATCTGTTGTACTTTTTATGGTTTGTCATATGTCAAATGATTCTACCTAAAATACCAACTAGCTGCAATAGGATTTTGTACATGCTTGAGAGCCAGAAACTAAAACAGTCTGTGCTCAATGTAGATGCTTCAAAGTTCTCTTATATAACGTGAGTGCTTTAATATTAGCAGACGTTCTATGCTTTTACAAGTGCTTGTAGCTCTAAATTTGTTACAAGTAATTAAGCATTTACTGTTATTTTATCCGTTGAATACAGCATTTTATTAATTGACGTATGTGAATTTTAAGACAAATGTATTTTAATCTTTACAAATTTATTCTGTCTTCTATCCAGATATAATTATTAACAACATTGAAAATTAGATTACATTCTATATTTTGTGTATCAGGTTTCTTCGAATCAGGAAAGCAATAAAAGAGAACCAAGAAATTGGTTTAAAAAAGCTGAAACAGAGTGGTTGTTCGCCATGGCGGATGCAACGTTGGACAATGTCATCTCGACATTGCGGGCATGTTTGCTGTCTGCAAAAGGAGGGGTGTCCATTCATAATCTCAACAGTGAGTAATATCTTCAAAAATGAATTAAATTCGGATGACACCTTAGTAATATGATCATCAATCTTCAATAGAGGACTATGAGAATCTCAATGGATATAAAATTCCTTATCGAAAACTGGGATATTCAACTCTGGAAGAGTTCTTGCGCACTGTACCTGGTCTTAAGGCTGTTAACAAAGGTGGTGATTTAATTATCGAAGCGCAACCGACTAAAGACTCTGTTCACATTACCGACATGATTGCACGTCAGAGAACGACTTCAAAGAAAAAACCAAGAAGAATGGTATGTCAGAAATATATTAAGAAAGTTCAAGGGATAACAAGATAAATCAGTTATATACGCTTATCAATATTTTCCAGGCTGTCAGTCGATATGTTCCTCAACGAAGGCCAGTACCAAGTAGCTGGGTACCACCTGCAATGAGTCAAGCTATATCTAGAAGTCCACGTACAAATAGACAATATCAGACTTTTCGAAACGATCGGTAAGCTGCAAGGGAGAGTCATGAAAATTTATCTTATAGTCTAGCTACTCGATGTCTTTGTTTAGTTTCATTTATATTTCGTATTGTACAGCGTTCTTCGGGCTTTAGTATATGTTTGACGAGCTTGCACTTTACAGGCCACCAACTGGTAATCTACCTTCTCTCATGGCACTTCCAGTAAAACAGCCTCCACCGTCGCCAACGGTTGATAAGCCACGTTATTTGAGATCAACATCCGGTACAATGCCGAGTTCTCCTAGTAAGGTGAGTCCGAAGCTTGACTAACTATTATTTTTTTACAATTTCGAATATATACTATTAATACTATATAAAAAAAAATGAAAGCTTGTGGGCGATCCACGATTAAAGCCTGAGATGTAGGAAACTTTTTCCGTCAAAAGATATAAAAGATTGTCCCTCATAAATGTTCAAAAATATTGGAGCCGTCTTCGACAGACAAACCGGGTCTATTTTCAAAAATACACGACCCTCTGTTCTTCTCGTTCCAGACCCTTCATGCTTCAAGCTCTAAAGTCTTTGCCACCCCCTCGTTTCTCTCTAGAGATACTCAGTTGTCATCTGACCAGCAGTCGAGTAGCAGCTCATGCAAGCGTTAATGAAATTACTTGTGTCGTGCTGTAACTTGAGAAGAGATAAATCTTATATAGTTTATCAGATATATGCGAAGAGATAAATCTTCGCAGCAGATGTATGAAGAGCGTTGGACAATTATTTGAATTTTCAATTTAACAAAAGAAATGCTGGTATTGAATGTAGATAAAAAAGAGTGACCTCTAATCTTTTGTATCCAATTATTAAGACCTTAAATTTTCAAGTTTGCGTAATACAGCGTAACCGAACATCTAGCACGTTTTTTTTTCTAATGTACAATAACGCGGTTCTCCCCACACTGAACTACGTGACTTAATGACAGATTAATGATATAGATATAGTCACAATGGACAAATAATAGCCAGTGACTGAAATTGTTAGTGGTAATGATCATTATTGGTGAGATCATGAACAACAAAAACTTGTAAATTTCGAAGCACCGTGAACCGAATGTTTATTTGTAATTTGAACATCGTTTAATTTCAGCAAATGTGGGACAGAAAAACTAACACGGTGCTAGCGCAAAACCAAAGTCTTAACAAAACAAAGGTCACTGAACCTTATCCAAGAATTGCGCCATTTGTGGGAGAACCGCTACCGCATACTGGACGACCTACAGGCGAACCTCCACGATCTGTGCCTAAAGTACGTTCAAACCTAAGCGAAAGGTTAAACGTCAAACCAGTTGCTAAAAAACAGCCAGTATTATCTCCCCCGCAGCTTTCGCCTGTGCAAGTGACAACGGGATTGGGAAATATTCAAGGAGTCACCTCAACGTCAATTTCTTTGGTATAACTGAAATGATAGATGATCGTTAGAAAAATGATTTATAAGTTGCATCTAACTGGGTATATTGCAATTCCATACCTTACTTGTTTAACACTAATTTGAACTTTTCAGGTTCAGGATGACACGAATCGAAAAAATTTCACACACGTTGGGTCACATGATCCAAGAGACCAATTGAAGGCTCTTGCTCGTACACTCAATCTTTCCGAACCGGAGTACAAGCTTATTACAGCGACGACAAAAGGGAAGAACGATAAGTTTGTAAAAGTACCAGTTTACGCTCAAGTGAAGGTAGATGAATGATTTTATATAATTAACAATTATTTGATGTTCTCAATAATTAATTTTTTCCATATGTATTGTATTCAGGTTGGCAGCTCTTTGAAATACAGCAGCTATCCCAACGAGGCGCATACGTCGGAGGAAGCTGAGAAACTGGCAGCCGTGCAAGCCATTAACGATCTTACGGAGAAATATGGACCCTTCACAGGAATTGCTGAAACGAAAGATAAGACGTTGATCAAGGAGAGGGTTTGCGCGATCATCGAGGCTCATCCTAATGGTATATTCATGCACCAAGTGCCAGTCTATTACAAACAGCAGCACAATGAAAATCTACCCGAAAATTGGCTAAGGATTATCGAGGAGTGCTCGTCGATAATGTTGGACAAGGGTGCCCACAACTCTATGATCCTTCGACGTTCTGTGCCATACGTAGATAAGGTAAGGGAAGAGATTCTCGTTATATCGGGCGTAGAACATAGTTGGAGTAAACTCTCTCGAGGATGGGAAATAATGAAATTTTTTTTTTATAAAGAAAACCGGAAGAGAGGTCTTGCCGTATTTCTGAAACTTTGTAGGACCTTGTTGCATAATGAAAATATTGATCGGCGCTTGGCCTTGAATTCGCATCTGACAACAAACTTTCATTTGTATTTAACCATGTGAGTAGGTTCACAGTTCTACAAAACGCCAATTGTGTGTGCGAGTAAAGATTTCATTATTACATTTTTTTCTCTCTCTACTTTTACTCTGTTTTTGGTTTTATCGATAATTTCATTTTGATTAATTTCTAATTTCAACAATGAATCGTGGAAATTTAGCAGCATGTTCGTAAAAGATAGACTTTTCAATTGCAAGCGTTACCGGCCATATAAATTATAGTATTAACAAAAATGCATATAGTTGTAAAGATATTTAATCTGAAAATCTCAAGAATGCAGCATTACTATGATCATTTCTACATTGGTAAAGAAAACCTTTAAAGGGCATATTTTTTTAACGACCGACAGTTTGATCATTTATAAAGCAAGTTTTATCCATCTAACTTGTCAATTGGTCCATTACCCTTTTCTTATTATCCTTTGTTCTTATAATCACTGTGAAATATTACATGATTGTTCGATTCCGCTGTGTTTCGTGCTTCTAATATTAAACGCGTTGCGTTGCCTGTTTTATCAACTTAATGAAACGCAACAGGTTTTGGTTGATTTACAAAAAATTGTTTAACGCTTATTTGTCTCTGTGATTATTAAACTTAACGCGTTAACTTCCCTGTAACTGTGCGTAACACTTGCTGTGTATTATATGCAGATATCTTTTTGGAATCTATTCGAATTCTCATTGAAATAACATGTCAATATAATAATTCATATTTGTTCACGATAGTGTTCTAACAGTACGAAAGACGTTGCTTTATGAAAATGCATGTGATAGTTATTTACATACGTCACAATCTTACTTAAAAGCAAACATACCTCAATATTATATCAACTAATTGTAACTCGCTAAATACCCTGTTAAATTTTTTTATACAAATTTTGCTTAGCATTACTTTTGCTTATTGAATATATACCAATTCAGGAAATGATATTTTCCATACATATATAGCATAATGACAAAAGCCTTGAATTCTTTGCACAGTTATTCAATGTTTTTTATTATTTTGCCAAAAACATTGGTACACGGGTATCGTGTACGTTGACACGAAAGCTGGAGGAAATTGTTTTATATTTAATAAATGATCCCATTAGAAGTAACATGCTGAAAGAATAAAATAGGGCCACGAGTATATCAAAATGCAGAAAAGAAATCTTGAAGTCTGTCACCTGTACCGTTTTTCTGTAATTTAAAATCGACTCAACGGCAGCTTTTACCTTTTATTTTTGGAAATATTAGTCTGAAGGGACTGATGTCTGCACGAATATTATAAACCTCTGATAATGTCGAATAATGTATATTTTGATTTCCATGTCATTCGCAGTGTTTGATTCGGGTTTCAGATCAAGAAGTGAATGCTAATGTACATTATTTTATCATTAAGGTTGAAGAATATACTTCAAAAATGGATAGGATCCAATTGAATCCAATTGGAATTGCCGCACCCGGAACTCTTCAGTTGCCACGTGAAAATTTCTGGATTACTTTCGTTACTCTTGTGACCGGTACTGTTGGTATATGGGCAAAACTCGTGGGCAGCGATTACAGTGTAAGCTTTTTTACATTCTTATTCAATTTTTTAATGACATTTTTACCTGGTTACGTTAATGTATTATAATGCAGGACAAAGTTGCCACGATGGCCAGTGAAATGGAACAGCACTATGCCCATATGAAACCAAACCAGTCGCACATTGAAGTTGACAATTATTACGCCATATTCGAAGACGAGTCCTGGCACAGAGTTCAGTGTCTGGAATACGATGATCAAACTGGAGAAGCTACAGTACTTTTTATAGATCTTGGAGACGAGGATACCTTCCATTACACGAAGCTCTTCCCACTTGATAAACGATTTTGCACCCTTCCAGCGCAGGTTTGTTAATTATCGAGTCAGTTCGGATGACTGAGGAGCAACTTTATACAAAATTGATATTTACTTTTTGTTCTTTCTTCTTATTTTCACGAATATTTATTACATGCAGGCTTTACGACTGTGCTTGGCTGGTCTGGAAGAATTTGCCGAATGCGAAAGCATAGTGAGTGTAATGGAAGAGCATTTGGTAGCACGTACTCTTCATGCTCAAGTTCTGAGTCGGGGTACCGATCGAGAAGGACCTTTTGCCACAGTTATCTTGCACGATACTCAAGGTCCGGATGACGTTAACTTGAATAAGGTCTTGTTCAAGTTAATCATGGAGCATTTCGCTAATTCGTCGAACTTCTTTAATACGGTGAGTTTCAATAAATGTCTTTAAGGATTTGAGCTATTTGGTCAAACTTTTTTTATCGTTTCAGGAGAAGCAAATAGCTGAAGTGTTCGTTTCGCACGTAGAAGACAATGGTGATGTATACGTACAAACCAAATCTGAAAGTCTCACGTATCTGGTGCATTTATTGAATCGTCTGAACAGCACTGGACTCAGTCAGGATGACGTTAAGAAGAGTAGCGTCAGCGTGATCGACACTACTAAGCTTTACTACGGACAGTCCATAAAGGATGGTAATTGGTATCGAGCTAAAGTAATTGATATTGCGTCGCAGCCATTAAAAATGTTTCTCGTCGACTTTGGAAAAATTACTACTGTCGCTAGGAAGAATCTTCTCTCCTTGGAGAAGCTCTCTGACGTCTTAGCCAAATTTCCATATCAGGTGAGTCTGACGTTTTAACAGTGATTGTGCAGATCCGTACAATAAATTCATCAAACTTATGTAATCGCATATGAATTTTTTTTCTTACAGGCGGTTAAGGTTCGTTTGAGCACTCTACAGAATTCTAAATTAACCGAAAAAATGGTGGCAAGATTGATCGAATTAGCTCCTCATACCGAACCACTACTTGCTAAAGTAGTGAGACCAGGTAACAGAGGTTTACCACCGTTAGTCGAATTGTTTAAACGTATTCAACCAGACAACATCTTAATTTCGATCAATAACACTTTGGCCTTGGAGCCAGAACTGTTGAGGTATAGTATTGATATGTTTCAATTGTTGTTTCACTTTTAACGAATGTATGAGATTTGAATAATTATGACTTGTCTCAAATTGATGTTTATTGTGTTTCTAGAACCGATGGGGATGGCAATAATAACAATACACATTCTCGCAAGCGAGTGGAACGCAGTATCTCCAGGAATATAACAAACGGTGACGTAGATGCACCGAAGTCTTTGAAGCCACCAGAAATTTCAGACATTGGTGGATACTACGATGTTCATGTAACGATGGCTGCACATCCTGGAAACTTCACTGTGCAGCCTTTCAATGACATGATCAATTTGCAAGCAAGTATTTTTTTTTACTTGAAAATTGTTATATTGTTTGAGGCTGCTTGTAACGAATGGATGCTTTATTTTCTTGCGACAGGCTATGATGGTCCAGTTGCAAGAGCGTTGTAGTAAATATCAAGGATCGCCGATGACTCGAGAAACAGTTAAAGAGGGTAGACTCTATGCAGCTAAACATATTGATGGTCATTGGTACCGGTAAGTCTTTAACTAATGTTAGTTAACAAAATTGTCTAATTCATAATTTGATTGTAATTTCGTACTGAATCTATTTTAATTCATAAATTTTTGTTTCTTGCTTGTTTCAGCGTATGTATTTCTAATATTATCAATGAACAAATAGTGACAGTGTATTTTTGTGACTTTGGTGACGTATCGGTGCTCACCCTTGACAAAATTCTACCTCTGACTAGAGAGTTTTTGGAACTACCATATCAGGCAATCAGAGCTAGACTCGTAGGTAAGTCTGTCCTTTGATTATTATATTATAATAGTAATTTTTCACTGTTCCGCGTCGTAGCTACTTCTTATCCTCATGCTTACAATCTTACCGTGTCACAGGAATAAAGCCTACAAATATTGATTGGTCGGTAGAAGATTGTCTTCGATTCCAACAATTGGTCGTGGATCGTGATTTCGTCTCAATTGTAACAGAATCCGGTCCAGATCGTCTCTCGCCAGCCGATACAGTTTTGGGTTTGCGACTCATTGACGTCAGCAGCGACGAAGATATCTTCATTGATGAATTATTGGTGGACGAAGGTCGCGCTTTGTTCATAAATCAGCCCGAAGCATAAACTTGGTACGTTAATCGGGTGTTGATTTATGATAATAAAAATTGACTGATGCAAAAACAAGGTGTAGGAAAAGACAGTCATTGTTAGAACGTTGAATCGTGCGCTAGATGACTTTCTTTATATATTGTGAATAAATATGGTACGACGGGTCATGCCAAAAGAATCAGAATGTAACGAATGCCAAGAGAGAGCTAAGCGAATTGCACAGTTTTACGAAGTCGCGTTTTTCTTTATTCTGACCTCGTAGAACAAACTGATATCCAGTGACAGCTTCTGTATCCTTGTCCAGGAAATAGTTTTTCAATTTATTTAATCGGTATACGATATAGGGGCGATATACGTATGCGAATTGGTTATTATTAATTGCAAAACTCTATGAGATACTTGCAGAGCACTGGATTGTCGTTTGTGGACGCGCGAACTGTGATGCTTTTATTAAACAAAACAAAGATAAAAGATAATAAATGCATACATACTGTCACGCGTGTATGTATGTATTTATATATATACGTATATGCTTTCCATATAAGAGCATTATTTATTTTATACATTAACGTTTTGTATATCATCCCGTACGATCATTTTCGTAATGCTCCTGCGATCACAACTCTTGCCTTTCCTTTTTTTCTTCTTCTTCGATAATTGCATGGAAAGTGATGCGAGAGACGCGTTATAAACTTCTGGCTATTGTACGTCAAACCAAACGTAGTCCTTGAAAATCGTACGTCATTTCATGTTATATTTGTAGGTATTAGTTTACGCCACGTAATTCATTTGATTCCGGTGGAATGGAAACTGTAACGTTAGGCGTTAGGCTGTGCTTGTAGTAGTGAAAAGTATAGTACTGAAACGAAGGCTTCCAGTGATCTTTTTCTTTCGCTTTTTGTATTTTTTTTTAAGGACGATATTCGATCGTGTCGAATAAAGGTCGATGGAGATATTTTGTAATAATTTAATTGTCAATGATAATTTGACAATTGACATTTGAATGTTTCTGACATTAACGTTCAATAACGAGAGAAATAAGGATTTGTTTGATTTCTGAGGAATTATTGGGAATTGTCAAAATGACTGGTCGCGACGTACGATTGATTAATGCTGCTATTTGCTGGAGGTCTGTAACGCGTGATTAATATTTCCTATTCTTTCTTTGTGTTTACGATATGTGAGATTATTACTTGTTACATTGTTTTTGTTACTCTATAGATTCTTATCGATAAATTAAGATTCTTTAAAATGTTATTTTAAGCTGCATTTTGGTTTATCTGGCTGTCGCCAGTTTTATGATTCCTATTCAGATATTCCTAATTTTTCTTTGAACAAGTATATATGTTCAATGTGATTCTCAAATAAAGGTGCCAATGTGACAACGCAAATTGAAGTAACTAATTGCAAGAAAAATAAAAGTTTATTTTTTACTTTGCACTCATTAGACCTCTAGATCCTTGAATTGTTTCTAAATATTTTTCGAGGAATATACATTTTTTGTCCTTTGATTAAACAAAGGAATCAATTTGTAGCAGTTTGAAATAGAAGAAAATGTTTACAATAATTCCTGTAGTATGAATGACAGTTGTTCATAGCGAAGCTTAATGATCAATCTTCTTTTCCTCGCTGTGCAAGATTTTATCATAACTTCGCTACGAACAAATGTTAAACTTATTATAATTATCTCCAATTAGTTCATATCGAATAATGAATTTCCATGTTTATGAAAAGAAGCGTTTGCTTTCTCGTATATGGCAATAAGTAACGTTTCTATGATTGATTGTTTTTACATAATATTTCACAAGTATTTGTTACATATTCCATTATTTACATTGCGCCACGTATTGCAATGATCCAAGGTAACTATATCCAAAGTGTAAGTGTAAGCTTATATGATTTTCTTTATTTTTTGGTGCTATTGTTTATAGAAATCGTTATTACGCAAGTTACTTCTATCTGTGTTGTGTTTTAAAAATGTTAATTTTTGTTTGGACTGATAACCACCAATAAAACGCAGTTCCAAATAAAATCCTTATAGCCATATCTTTATCATTTTTATACCAAATGTTAATACCGCCTAGTACAGATATATGGAATATAATTTTAAGTAAAATGATAATCTAATTACAGGATAGTATGCATAAAGTGTATATATATGCATTTTCGTATTTCTATATTTATTATACTTAAAAAAAAACATTATCAATAATATAATTTTGTCATTATTATAATTCATTGTATATCACTTTTACATCACAATATGGCGGTGCAGCAGACTTTCAAATTATTAAAAGTGACCACAGATATCGTATTGCTCTATTTTTATTAGCTATTGATCTTTAGAATTAAAAAAAGTATTCTTTTAGAAAATATGTAGGAATAACGTTATTCCTTGCTTTCTAATTATAATAATTATCCATCTCCACCATGATGATGTCTGTGTTGCATAGTTACTTCCGAACATTTTCCAATTGTCAATACTTAAATGACCTTTATGTTCACAGTCAGAATTATTGAGAGATATCTTGACGTTTTCGAAAACTCCACTGATACTAGATGCACTCATGCATTTATTTAAACTGAAAATGGCTCAGAATGATAAAGAGAAAGAAAATATTTTTGATTAAACGCTTACGTGATATCTCAATATTAATAATATCGGCTCTGATTGTGAGCTGAGAGCAATAAACACAATTTGCACTATTTCCATATTGTTATTAATACAGGCCTAGCGTACTGCGACTGTCTGTAAATATAAAAAAAAAGTCAAAATAAATAACTACGACGAAAACTGTTTTATCTTATTTATTATACCAAAGATAAACGTATATACATAACAAAAAATTACTGACACATTTTAATTAGTGTATTCTACGAGTCTAAGTTATATAATGCTATACAATTTATTTTGTAATAACAAATTCAAGCAATGCCTTAGGTCACAGTTTTGTCTTTTCAGTCACGTTTGATCTGTTTGTGTGGAACAATTGTTAGTATTACAGAAAATATAAATGGCAACTAAATATACCAAACAAAAATTCTTGGAAAACAGTTCACGCTCTTTACATTGTCGATTTTCAACATATCTTTTTATACGTTTTATACTAATGGCACAAAGCGTAAATATTTTGTTTATCGGAATAACAACTGACTGCTTGAATTTACTTATATTTTCCTTTTGATATTTCAACCTAATTCGTGATCTAGGTAAGAAAATGTTTGAAGAAATGGCTGCTATGAAAATATCGCATCGAAGTCTATGCAAGTGTACCCTGATGGATACAGGTCTTCTACCTTACGTAATCTTACGTAACACTCTTGAATACCAAATTTTTGACAAAGAATTACATCGTTCCAAATATCATAGTTACCAACGTCCGGTTTTGTTTCTATATCTTCAGATTTCACAATCACATCCTCGGTAAAAATAAATTTAGATTCACCGTTCTTTAGGCTGTCGGTTATCCATTTACGAGAACTCTTTAATTTTTTACGCACATGAGTAGAAATTTTATGCTTTTTATATGGTCTCGTAATCTTGTATGTTTCTGGGACTATCTTTCGTCGCCGTAAACTCTTGCAGATCTGTGAACCATTAATTATATCGGTCTTCCAAGTTTCCAAGCCGTGTTCTAATACATCCTCACTTAAATTAATATCGTTATGTGTCATAAAGCTCACTTCCTGTACTTCCGTCGTAGCAGGTGCAAGATTTCCAACAGGTTCATTGGAACTGACAACGCTCGGCGAACTTTCAATCATTACTAAGTCATTGGGCTCGACTTTTCGAATCGTAGATGACGTTTCCGGAAGATCTGCTGCCGTCGCATCGTCATCCAAATTTAATTTGCGTTTTTGCACGCTGCCACAAACTGCGACTTCCGGTATCTTACAATTTCGTTTTCGTTGAGTAACTGTCTTCGATCTTCTCTTTGGCGTCTCATTCTCACTTATCCGTTCAACTTTCAATACCTTTAAAAGACCAACGCATTCACCATGATTCTCAGTCAGAGTATGAATGACTTCCTGTTGACTTTGAACGTCCTTCAGGTCGATGACAACGCTCGGCGAACGTTCGATCAGTACTAAGTCATCGGGCTCGACTTTTATGATCTTAGAAGACGTTTCCGGAAGATCTGCTGCCGTCGCATCGTCATCCAAATGGGATTTGCGTTCTTGCACGCTGCCACAAACTGCGACTTCCGGTCTCTTACAGTTTCGTGTTGGTTGAGTAACTGTCATCGAAGATCTTCTCCGCTTTGGCGTCTTATTCTCACTTACCGGTTCAACTTTCAATACCTTTAAAAGACCAACGCATTCACCAGGATTCTCAGTCAGAGTATGAATGACTTCCTGTTGACTTTGAACGTCCTCCAGGTCGATGACAACGCTCGGCGAACGTTCGATCAGTACTAAGTCATCGGGCTCGACTTTTATGATCTTAGAAGACGTTTCCGGAAGATCTGCTGCCGTCGCATCGTCATCCAAATGGGATTTGCGTTCTTGCACGCTGCCACAAACTGCGACTTCCGGTATCTTACAATTTCGTTTTGGTTGAGTAACTGTCTTCGATCTTCTCTTTGGCGTCTCATTCTCACTTATCCGTTCAACTTTCAATACCTTTAAAAGACCAACGCATTCACCAGGATTCTCAGTCAGAGTATGAATGACTTCCTGTTGACTTTGAACGTCCTTCAGGTCGATGACAACGCTCGGCGAACGTTCGATCAGTACTAAGTCATCGGGCTCGACTTTTATGATCTTAGAAGACGTTTCCGGAAGATCTGCTGCCGTCGCATCGTCATCCAAATTTAATTTGCGTTTTTGCACGCTGCCACAAACTGCGACTTCCGGTATCTTACAATTTCGTTTTGGTTGAGTAACTGTCTTCGATCTTCTCTTTGGCGTCTCATTCTCACTTACGCTGCGACTTTCGGTCTCTTACAGTTTCGTGTTGGTTGAGTAACTGTCATCGAAGATCTTCTCCGCTTTGACGGCTTGTTCTTACTTACCGGTTCAACTTGCAATTCATTTAAAAGATCAAACCATGCACGAGGTTTCTCAGTCACAGTATGAGTAATTTCCTGTTGACTTTGAACGTCCTCCAGGTCGACGGCAACGTTCGACGGACTTTCGATCATTACTAAGTCATTGGGCTCGACTTTTATAATCTTAGATGACGTTTCCGGAAGATCGGCTACCAACGCATCGTCATCCAAATTTGATTTGCGTTCATGCACGCTGCCACAAGCTGCGACTTCAGGTTTCTTATACTTTCGCTTTGGTTGAGGAAGTCTCTTTGAAGATTTTCTCCGCTTTCGCCTCTTATTCTCACTTACCGGTTCAACTTTCAATACTTTTAAGAGACCAAAGGTTTCACCAGAATTCTCAGTCAGAGTATGAGTGACTTCCTGTTGACTTTGAACGTCCTCCAGGTCGACGACAACGCTCGACGATCTTTTGATCATTACTACGTCATTGGGCTCGTATTTTCGATTCTTATATGACGTTCCCCGAAGATCAGCTACCGTCGTATCGTTAACCAAATTTGATTTGCGTTTTTGCACGCTGCCACAAGCTGCGACTTTCGGTCTCTTACAGTTTCGTGTTGGTCGAGTAACTGTCTCCGAAGATTTTTTCTGCTTTGGCGTCTTATTCTCACTTACCGGTTCAACTTTCAATACATGTAAAAGATCAAGCCATTCACCAGGTTTCTCAGTTATAGTATGAGTGATTTCCTGTTGACTTTGAACGTCCTTCAGGCCCTGCTCTGTAGGTGATTCCTCCCTTTTAAACCATATCTCAAAATCCTCACTTGCGCACATCCTCGCGCAGTGATTCAAAACTTGAAAAACATTCTGCAACATGTCAATTCGACTCTTCTGCAAAGCTTCCTTTTTGAGCAGCATTAATTTTTGGTTTTCTGATACTGTTCTATTGCGCCTGTTTCTTTGACGTGCTTTAGTCGCATTTAACATATTCTTCATCGCTGATGGCATCATCTTGTCTTGTTCAACCACCCACGGATTAGACTTTTGTCGTTGCGTTGTCTCTGGTACTGTTTGTGGCATTTGTCCCTCTACCTGATGGACTTTAGACTTTAGATCTATTAATTCTGAGATTGACGACTCAACATCAGCACTATCTGGCACTTTAGATGGATTTGAATCCTGGTTCGTCGTATCCATTTCAGAAGATGGTATTTGTATGCCATTCATATTTTTTGGTGTACCTACAATCTTTATTTCCGGAGATTGTATCTGTAATAGATCATTGGTGCTTTTTGATATCATTGTGCTTACAGGTTTTACCTGTACAATGTCATCGGTGCTGCTTGACACACCAGTTACACCTTGTTTATTACCAATGTCTGTTCTTACGTCAATGATTTTAATGTCAGAATACTCCTGCACAGGTTGTATCACTGGGAGCTCCTTAGTTTGTTCAGCAAGTGGCAGGATGAGTGGGCATGAAGTTTCATTGAAATTTACATGCATCAATAAACTGATTGGTTTTTTGTTGGCGTTATTTTCAGGCTGCATATTTGTACCACTGCATAGAGGCTCCGTGTACATGTTTATATTATTTAAGGAAACTGCTGTCTCACACGAAATCTTAGGTGCTATCCGTATTTCTTTAGGGCGTATCTGATTTCTGATTTTCTTTAACTTGGTACGTCGTTTTCCAGTTTTTTTTGGTATGGATATACTTTCTAATTTTTTTGCAAAGTAATAGCAATTGTATGGATAGTTATATTGTTGGCTTGACAGAAGGGCTGAATTTTCACACTTATCCGAAAACTGTAACTTATAAAGTGGTTGTTTGAGAGTGGGATAGAAATATAACTGAGGTACACTTTTGTCTGAATTTTTTGTATTCAAAACCTTCGCCTGTTGGGTCTCGTTTAAATTAACTTCTGTCGATTTGTTTAAAGTGGTTGAATCATGAGTAGTGTCGTTAAGGTTGGTACATATATTTTCTGATAAAGATACTACTTTTAATTGGGTATTCTTGTTGTCTGTTATATTTGTTGAATTTAATGTCACTGCTGCTGGTTTATATACACTTATACTTTCTTGGACACTTTGAGTCTTCGCAGAGCATATAGTTTCCTGAACTTCTGTGATCTTCTGTACCCCCGGTACCGATTCACTGATTACAGTCGTTGGATGCTCTTTTTCTTCCATACTTAAGGAAACTGTCTCTTGTGATGGTACTTTGTCAGAGTTTGTGAGAAGAATTCTCTTTTCTAAAAATACCTCTTCAATTACTAACCTGTTATTCATTGGTTCAGAAGCTATACTGTTTGTTAAGCAAATTTCTTTTCTTTTTTGTTTTTTTGAGTTAAAAGGTAACATTGCTAATACGTTACATTTCACAGCTGCTTGTTTGAACTTTATTTCTTCAGGCGTGGGTGTCACAACAGATTCATAAGGGTTACATTGTTGCTCACATTCCTTTCCTTGTGAAATTTCAGGTACTGAAGATGTTAAGGACTCATTACTTTTTGATGCTGTTGCAGCAGAGGGATCGGTTTGATCGATTTTTTCTTTTTTCTTTATACTGATATCAAATGCTAAATATGCCTTCTTGAAATGTTTCAATGGTTTCGAAGGATTTTGTTCACCTGTCGCAACACATTCATTTTTATTTGGAGTTTTTGCTTCGTTAACTGTAGAGATGACTGGACACAACATGGGATTTACTGCGTTCAAAAGTGTATCATTTTTCATGTTTGATGATACCCCTAGGTTTTTATTTTTATCAAAACTCTCCAACGAGTTACGGTGTTCTGGATTCATTTCAGGGCATACTAACTTATTCTCTTCATTGAGACTTACTCTTGAAGAGCAACGTAACTTTTTTCTGGTTTGCAATGTATCCTGTGAGATGCATGTTGAATTCTGCTCTGCCGATATTTGTTTTGTATCTTTTGTTGCAGCTAACATATCTTTCATCTCATCTGAGCAGTGTATATCAATATACTTCCGTGAGTCTGACTGACTTTTCGATTCAGTAAGTACTTCTTTCTTTGATTGTACAATCTGTATACCCTTAGAGATTTCACTTGCAAATGAATTCTGTGTACTTATTATTAACAGTTCATTGTCATGTACTGTAACACAAGCTTCCTTTTTACGACAGGCTCTTAGTCAATTAATGAATCTGGTGCTGCTTTAAAAGACAGACAATCTAAGGAAATGAAACATAGACTTTATATTTTGTCTATCTGTAGCCAATCAATAGTGTGCACTTTTAGTAATTACTCAAAAGTATGTATTAATTTCATACTTCAATATATGAGCAATATCGTTTTTTCCTTTGATAATAAGATAGTTTTACACATGTGTATGTTGCTGCATTTACATAGTCATCTTGTAAACTGTTTACTACTTTTATGTTCGAAACCAATGTTTCTTGCAAATCTCATGAATGCACCATTTTATGTTTTCAACAGCGCTTTTAATAAATACCTGAAACAGAATTATATACATCTTATTCATAATTAACAAGTCTGACAGTTAACATGTTATAAAAATACAAGTATAAATATCACATACATAAAATATCCAGAATAGATAAACAGTACCCACAAAACTATAACCTTAATAATAAAATCTGCAATACGCCTAAGAAATTGCTACAATGAAAAAACTTATGAATAATAATATTTAATGTAAAAGAAGAAATAATAATAAAAAAAATATGTCTTGGTATCAGCTTTTCTGAACTGCTTATATTTTTCAAAACATAACCTTCCACGATATTAATCAACAGTGTATCATACTTCATATCAGGAATGAGTAGAATAATATACAAAATATTAATTACTGAACTTACAAAAGCTTTGGAACTCTCGATACAAGTATTTAAATCTAGCCAAACTAACATTAATACTTACTTCAATTGAGCATCATTACTCCAAACGACCTTTCGGAGTTACAGAAAATGTATGTTTGTAATGTTTTCGCGACTTCATATAAATAAAACATGGTAGATATGTAACACAAAAAGTAATATTTCTAATTAAATAAAGTGTTTTGTTTATAAAAACAATTTTTTAAATTTTCAATTATTCATTTTACCGCTATTCTATTCATTTTTTAAATAGTTTTCAACTTTCCAATAATAACTGTATGTAGCTACACCACGGTCTTGTATACAGATCTGAGCACTTTGGCGAAAAACGCGTAACGATATGATGGCCACTACCGCAAGAGGCGTTAGTGTTGAAAGAGCCTATCACGTGGTAGCACTACGCTGCGCAGTTATCTCTTTCCATAGATATAGAAAGAACCTAGATGTAGCATAAGCTGATATTTTATGCGAGGGTCGAGTGGCAAAATGAAGGGGGTGGAAGTTCGCTACATAACCAATCAAATTCAAGCTGACCCCTACCTTACTGTGTCTTAACATGATTGGTACTACTATTCCTTGTTTCACGTAACACTTTTACATCACTGCGCTTGCTTGGAATAGTAACCAATCACAAGTAGGCTCAGTGTACCTCAGTACTTCTCCCTGGACGGCTTCACCCCCGCAGGGTTATGCTACATCTATGTCTTTTCTATATCTATGCTAGGGACGATTTTCTATACGACCCTCTCATTCATTGTTAGTGGTGGCTCACCGAGTTTCTCTATCGCATATAGGAATGTCTTGCTTGCTCGCTCCCTATGTATAAGAGCGTTTCACTCAACCAGTTGGGTCTCTTCCAATCAACCTCTTCCTTCCAACCAGTTGGGCTTCCACCAATCCTTAGCCACCGTCAAGGACGTTGCGCCAACTGAAATATAGGTATACTGGAACGCTTACACTTGTATTCGAAGGTAACCCGGCCAGCGCGCGGCTGTCTCACTCACTTCATGTAGTAGGTTGTCCTTTTCGAATTGAACTGTGCATGTGATGTACATCGCCATCTAGTGTGGAACTTTCAAATACGACCAGTTACTGACGCACGATGCCCATTGGGGATGCAACCATAAGAAAAGGGAAAAAAAAGGAGCTCGGTATACGAGAGTTGTCAAAAATAGAAAGAACTAGCATTTTCTACTAGAGGATTGTTTATTTAGAAAGGTTTGAGAAGTGTCGCAATGGGTAAAGCCGGGCATTTATTTAAGGAAGAGTAAAAACACAAGGAATAACAATGGATGATTTGTACACGAAAATTCAAATCTTTCTAATGAAGAAGGATCGTGAGTACGGACAGTTAAAATTTCTTTCCTCACGAACAACAGAGGATAATATAAAACATATAGAGGATGTATGCTGCTCTATAACAAATATTTTTCAAAGTTATGGTATCAAAGTTAACGATCCAAATAAGAAGGATGATTCAGGATGTATACAGTCCTTTAAATACCTTGTCGTCAATACGAATTTCAAGGTTCAAGAGCAGTTGTTGGAAGACATTGTGAATGGACATTTGGTTGATATGTGTTTACCTCTATCTCCGTATCTTCTGATGGAAGTATTGTGGTATCTTGAATATGATGATATTCTTGCGGAATCAATCCTGCATGTTCCTGTGGATCTATGTGTGGAGTTGCTAGCTATTATAAGGAGATGTATAGAACTGTTGGAGTTTGAACGAGCATCAAAACTCATTATTACGTTAATAAGGAATGTTTATAAAATATTTATAAGGGCCAAAGAGATAAGGTTGCAAATGTTGAACGAGGTAGAGAGTCTCAAAGAGTTGATGCTTAATGTAGGAGAATTGATTTCTATGCTTTCTGACTCCAAGTTTACTAAGGTGGAAGAGCTGAAAGGTTTAAAAAAATATGAACGATATGGTATTTTACTGAAGAAAACTCTGCAAGTGGCAAAAGATTGCTTTCAAAATACCAAAGAAAGTACTCCTATGGAATCTGATAAAGAGAAATTTTATAAACTCACATTCGGTAGAAATTTTATAGTACAGTGTGATTTGTCAAGATTGGATGAATATATACTGGAATTTCATCAAGCACTGGTAAATGCACTTTTGAAGATTATTAAAGAAATTGACTGCAATACTTACTTGGGATGGGCAGAGCTCTGTGATCCTAAAAAGAGCAATTTGTCTCTACAACAGTCAATAGGATATGACTGTTACTATTTTATTGAATCTGTCAAAGACATCGAACACCTAGAACAGTTTCAGCATCTATCTGAATGCCTCAAGCAATTGTCTTCAAAACCTGGGCCAGTGATTACACCTACTTCGATGAGTCTGCAGGACTTATGTCAAGGTGTTAACAACAAAAAACCAGACTGTCTGAAGGAACTAATTAACAGATACAGTGAATGGGATGAGTCAACTTTAAGTTACGTAGAAAAGAACCTATCATTACTGGATAGAAATGATTGCTTCAATTTATTAGACATCCTTACATATGTGCTCAAACACTCAGATAAGGAAAGTTACAAACAACAAGTGTACTCCGTCACTATGAAAGGTATTCTTCTTCAAAATATACCAGATGTGTTTCAGATCGTCCTAGAGTATATTCTCAAATATGATGCAAGTGCAGACTTGGAATCGCAGTACACTGAAAAGAACTTTCAACATTTTATAGCTCGCAATCCAAATTTTAAATCTCCAAAGAATCTTCGAGTAATTTTATTTTTTATCGTTCAGAATCCTAAAAAAATAATACTAAACTTATTAAAAATTACAATTGGACATCCTGATTATCCAAATATAATGATCTTGCCAGATGATTTACTTCTTCTATCAACAATCATGCAAATACGCATCAATGATAAGGAGACTCTATTAGTAAATGCTTTAATGGAAATCTGGAAGGAATGCAAAAGTTGGAATATGAAAAAGTTTACAGATTTAATTCAAACTCTAGTGCACAGACAACTGTACACGGCTAATGACATAATCAACAAGATTTTTATACCTTACCTGGAAAGCGACCAATTTACAGTAACTAATTTAAAATCCCTTCTAAACTGTGTTCGAACAATGAGAAATTCTTATACAAGGAAATTACGTGCCCATACCTTTCTTGTGGCAATTGTTAAGAAAATTTTTTTTCTACGAAAAGACATTAAGCTTCCAAAGTATCAAAGTTCCGAGTTAATCTGCCTATTAATCAGGACAATTGAAGATCTTTTCAACGATGAGGCAACGTGGCTCGACCAAAACAAAAGATTCGAACTTATTGAGCGTTTATCAGATTTTCCAGAACCTGTGGATAAATTACATCTAGCACCTTTATGGTACATGACCAGAAGTGGAGTGGACGTCACAGAAATAATACAAGATTACGAACGACGTTGTTTCACCGTAATGAACAAAGTGAAAGAAGACCAAAAGCTTAATGAAAATTTATGTAAATTCCTGAAAGACTTTAGCTTCCTGCGAGACGACTTCCTGCGACACTTGATCCTCCGTTGCACTGAAGCAGAGTATATGACATTGGGTAGCCAAGCCACAATAATACATTGGGAATATTTTAATTGGATCAGGGAAAATGATGCCTACAATAATTTTCTACGAATCACCATGGAAGCATGTCTCCTTTCTCTAGAGTATCCAAAGTCCATTTCACCAGAGACATTTTCCTTCCTAATAAAATGTTCGGTTAAATTCACAAAATGGTATTCCAGTATCAACGTGATGATGGATTACGAATTTGTGAAGGAGTCTTTGATCAAGAATATTAAAATCCTAGAGGACAGCATCAAGCATTCCACCTTCTCTGACTTATATATTCAGCTAATGGTATGGATAAGCAACACGTCCAGAAATGAATCAGCAAAGGAATGTCTGCAGGAGTTGATTCAAGCTTTGCAGAATTTTGGGAATCAATGTCTGGAACTTAATCACGAATCTATATCCTATGACAACGCACCATCTACAAAGGCTAGAAGATTTCACATTGCACAGGAGTTTATTTCATTGTGCATGACAGTGCATGCACCAGAAGTTTACAAATGTCTTTCAGTGATGGACAGAGTTTTGTACCCAGAACATTACAGCGAGCTAACATCAAAGTGAAATTTTTTAAAGTGATAGAATAACTTTCGACAGCGTATTTGACTAAGCAGCTGTTTAAATGTATTCGATGAATAGACTTTCAAAAGCAGTGAACGAATTCACTAAGTCTTATAAATAGACTGTTCCTAATCTGCTATAAAATATTTTCTTAAAACACGTTAAACTTTACTTCTTATACCAACTCAGTGTACATTATTCAGTTACAAAAATGTATCATAAATGTATCATTTTCGATAAAACATACATGTACGAGCTAAAGAGTAATTTGGAAACGATCCATTAAAATTCAAAAAGGTGAAAGAAATTATTATAATTTTTTTTCTCAAAGATAAACGAGCCTCGAGTATTTTATAATTTTATGTATTATATATTTCCTTAAGTTGCGAACAAATAATTGTTTGGCGTTATTAAAATCACAAGCGCAATAATTAATCATAAAAATGTTGCTATGACGTTATCAATGTAATACAACTGTCGTTTAGGATCATCAGTTATGCAATGTGTATTATTTCAAATACACCATTGATTCTTCTAACAGGAAAATGCTGAACATATTTGAAACCACTATCTTCCCCGTCCTATCACGTGCTGTTATCTTGCTTTCCTTCCTTTTACATTATTATTAGACGAAAGAATGTAAAAATCTCAGCTCCCTTTTATTATCCAGGGTATGAAAGCAGCTACAGTCATACCGACCAGAAAGTAGTCTTTGTTTCAAGTACAATATTTTCCATGTTCATTATATAAAACAACTGGTAACGTCCACTTGAGTACTCTCGAGGGATAAGCCCAATTAATATCACTATCAAGATGCGTGCGTAAGTGATAGGAAGAAAAAAAAAAATTTTTAATTTCTCAAACGAGGTAATAATAAAGTAATTCCAATTAATTTTTCTAAGTCTTATTAAACGATAGAGTACACCAAAATGCACAGTATCAATCAGCGAAAAGACAAAATCCTGTATCCTCTATCAATATTTCAATTCGTAACAAATATTTTCCATTCAATAATCCTAATAGTTTTTGCCTAAGAGTTTGATTAATCTTAAATTCATCAATGTAAAATCTCGCTCTACGTGTGTACAAGAATTCGCACAAAATTCTTTGGTTATTAACGGTATGTCGCTGTTTATGAAATGTAATATAGCTAATGTCAACTAATACGCGTCAAACAGTTAGTTTTGCATACAACAAGTACACCGTGTATATTGCACCGTTATTGTATACATAATACAAACCACGTCGAATGGAAGAAGCCAAAAGAGAAGCAATAATTTTCAACAATAATTACAGTCCTCTCTAATCGGCTTGTAAAATTTATAAACGTACTTCGGATACACTAAGTGTCCAAACATTTTGCAAACGTACAGCCACCCATCATACGTGTACATACACATGGATACGAATGACGTGGACGTAATTTAACGGATATTTAAATATTACAATCAGTACATTGAATATTACTTACTCATTTTTTTGTTCTTTTAAATCGATCGTTATTGTCATATCGCTCTTCTTAATACGGCTTATAAAGAAAATTAATATATAAATTTAATAATCGAACATCGCGACGTTAATAACTGACTACAGTGCTTTAACTATGGAATTAAATCATAAATCTATAATGATATCGGACGATTCAAAGAACACCGTGCGCCGATGTACCATTCCGTCCTTGAAAGTTTTTTTGGATTTTACGTTGTCTCTAAATATAACGTGATTACAACACTGGGCAACGAAAGATAGAATAAACGTAAGAAAAGCGGCTGTCGATAGGTAACGAAATGAGAAAAAAAAAGAAAAGTTTAAGAGAGTAACAGTACAATTGGATGATCGTATGGAACAGCCAATATACGTGTTAGGGGGCAGAGTCAGTTTACAAAAAAGTATGTATAAATAATGAGAAATCAACCCGATAATTACACAGGATCATCCAATAGTCACAAGTTAATAAGTTTCATTTCTATATTATATTTGTGCGATATTGCCAAAATGCCATTACAATGGTTAATAATAAAAAATGTGAAAAAGTTACGTACAATGAAAAAATGTGCGGTGGCCTCCGAGCTGCTGGAACGTCATTGAGTTAACACGTGCACGTCGCGTCTCTCGCCTAATGATCTCAATGTTTACGACCAACTTACAGTGCAATTCTAATTTGCAATTTATATTGTTGCCATTCGATTAATATACGCCAACGAGTTCTTTTGACATTAGACGTTTCCCGTAACGACATCTGACGACTCTTATTGGCATTATCCACGGAGAATTCTAACGTCTCACTATTCAAATCGTATTTCGCAGTTCTTCGTGTCATTTGAGTCAACACAAGAGTTTCGTAATGACTAGATCATTGCGCTGGCAATCTCAATTGGAATATTCGAACTGCACGTGAAACAAATATAATATTCTTAACCGAGCACTTGTAGCACCTGCTGTACGAAGCAAATGGCCCAGAATGCCACGCAGACTCGAGTGCAGACGCCTTTTTAGGAAAATTCTCATAGCAATAATTTTTGTTTCCTTTTTCCTCTTCTAACGACCTAACGAACAAACGAACGTATCGAGAGAGAAAGAGAGAGAATTAAATAATTCTCAAGAAGAATATTCCGATTCCCTAGATGAGTCTAGATCCTTTATGTATCGCTCAGATCTGGAGTGACGCACATTTTTCCACCGTAAGTTATTCACCGTCGTCTTTTCACATGTGAGATAATTACTTTTATTATTATTATATATATATATATATATGTGTGTGTGTGTATGTATATATATATATAACTTGACACTATAATATTTACAGATTCTTCACATTGTAAAAAATATAACATATTTCGTACTCAATATCATACGCAGGTAGTACTGAAAGGCCGATATACATCTAAATTGTGGTGTTTTCCAATTAATGTGACCCAGTTGCATAACAAATGTGTAAATACTTAATTAGTTAATTATAACGAACAAGTTCGTTAGTCGCGTGATCTCAACGTTTTACTTCTTTCAATATTTTCATATATTTCGCTAAGTATCAAATAGGTAATTCATCGAGTAGACAGTTTTTAAAAAAAGTCTGGTCCTTGGGATGATATGCTGGCTGACGCAGGCGTGGGCGCAACAAGAACAACAACAACAACTATCCGGACATTGGACGTTCCCGATAGTTCCCCAAGTGTGAGGAGTATATTTTCATTTACTTTTTTAATTATTATCCCCCTCTTACCCCCCTTCCCATTTTTGTCTTTACGTTACAGTAAGATGCTATTTCCTTTTATCTACCTTCCTTTCCTTTAAACGTCCCATTCCCTATTTTCCTCTCGGCACCTTTAGAAAAATATTATGCAATTTCGACTTGGGCAAGCGACTACGAGCTAACGAATTTCTCGTACAAATATATAAATAGACTTTTTGTTTCAGAGTATTCAGTACTTGGAGACCTATCCGGATGCGGTATGTCTCAGCAAAATGTGCATCGTGAGTGCGCGATGATTTTGAGAATATGCAACGGTACGAAAAAAGAATATATATATAAGAGAGGAAAAGAGAACAAAAAGAATAAAAGAAAGCAAGAAAGAAATAAGCAGGCAAACGTAAAAGTCGAATAACGAATGAGAACGTTAGCGATTAAGAGGCCTTTTTGATGCCCAACAGGCTTTATTAATAATTATTATTATCATCATTATCATCATCAATGTTAATTACAAAAGTGCAATTACGTCTACGGGATCACAGCAAGACTATGTGTGTTTCAAGTGATAAAATAGTCGATTGCGAGTATACCGGGAGCTTTCTCGAGTCGTATTTTTTTTTTTACGAAGAGCATTCGGGCATAGTTAGATCGTGTGCGCTAATCATTCAAAAATTAGATAAAAGAAAAAAGAAAAAAATTTTTTTAAAATGGCATTTACTACGAGACTAATTTAAATTCCCTTGTGGTTTCACTACTCGTATCTCGCAGCTGATAACCAGACGTGTGATAGAGGCGCCTTATGATGATGATGATCGCTGTACGGATGATACAAATTCGCACGACCGTGCTCTCAATCGCTACCCTGATTTTCTAATAATTTATCAATGATAATCGCTAATCTCCAATATTACAGCAATAGACGTGCGATTTGGTTGTGCTTATTATAAATTCATTCGCATCGCTCTATCATCAGTTTATACATTTATCGTTTTAATTTATCACTGATTTTTCGAAACTTTTTCGCACGCACCCAGAGACTGGTTAACGGGGAATATCGTGTGCACCACGTGTACGAATAGGTGTAGGCATGCATGCCAATGGAAAAAAAGAAGTTCTCGCACGAGGATGATAAATAAATTGGAAAACTGTAACGTCGACTATATCGTAGGGTGTTTTTCTTCATTAACAATATAAAAGAAATCAATGACTGACAACTTTTAGTTTGCGCAAGCTGCGTTACGCACAATCATTACGGTCAATCACTTCGACGGTATATTAAATAATATATTGAGCTAATATAATGACTGCTATGGTATCGAAGCGATATTTAACATCAGACAATATGATTTTGGTCACTTGAGAAAAATTACACACGACCTACTACCTAGTACTGCACGGGAGGCATTGCTTCTTTACGTATGTCATCATTCTTCTGTTTCTTTTTTTTTTCTTTCAGCGGGCTACCAGCGAACGCACGTGGCTTTTAATCAAACGTGATTTTTGTATGCACAATGGTAAACATAAAAAAATAACGGATAGTCTCAATCTTGTTACGAGCAATCTAGTTAAAAGTTTTTGCAGCCGAAGGAATCGATGCAACGTTTAGTTGCGAGACAATCGACCATTTGCTGACCTTTTCTCATCTTTTCGCCTTCGAGAATGTGTTGTAAATATTGTAACAGTGAAATAATCCTATTGTGTCATATTTTCGTGCTATACATATCTAATCTTGATGGACTCTGGTGCAATAAACGTAAACTTCCAAAGGACGCTATGCGGGTTATGCTTTTATGTGTCTATGAGAACTTATTAGTTAGGTTTTAATGCGTGTGTCACTGTATAGCTTGCACCACTCTGACGTGTCTTGTGTTTATATTAATGTTAAGAATTCTCTAATTGTGTCTCATCTTATTTCGTATGTCTCTTTGCGATGCAAGATATTTGACTGTGCTACTGTAATGGTTGAACAATGCATCTGTTGCATCTGGATTCTGAATAGAGAGGAACAGTGAACGTTTAGTAAAAGGAAGTAAAACGCAGTCTGTCGTTCAAAAGATTTAACCAAGTTTTCTGTAACAGAAAGAGAAAATTTATCAGAAATTGCTTGGTTGAGCGTAAAGACTTCTTATAAAAGTTTGTCAATTCTTTGACCACGTATAAATGTCCATTATTCCAAGGCTAGCTTGTTCAATAAAGAGTAAAATTAAGGGCAGTTTTCATTTGATATATTGCAATATAAGTGCTCTTTAGTCGCAGCCCAAAACGCATCACGAACGCGTTACGTAGATGTTTAACGAATATTGCTAATAAAAAACGTCTTGATGATGTAAATCATTGGATTTACCAGACTGTCTAATTTCTCTTGGCTAATAGTTACAATAAAGATTCGTACCTAATGCGATTTTTTTTCTTTTTGGTACCTTGCCAAAAAGCGGCGACGAAGGTCTTCTCTATCCTAAATCCAGCGACATAGAGAACGTATCTCTCCTTCTGGTATTGAGGCCAACCGACCGCCGCAGCAGTCCCTTCAATATCTGCAAGCGACTTCAATGCTTCATTAGTCAGCACCTAATTTGTGAGTAATAACGGCGTGCGGCCGAGATGGACGAATGCACAACGGGTGTTTTGAATTGAGCAGAAAGCTAGCGATATCGAGTTTGGTTTTGCCGTTAACAATTAATAACTAACGCAGGGCAGTTCAGCTCACCCTCCATGCTGTGTCGATATCTCTCTGCCACGAATTGGTCCTTTACTATCGATTCACCTCTCGTTGCCCGCTTATATCTAACGTTATATATTACAATAATATTACATATAATACTATCCATGTATATTAAAATATTTGTCCGCAGCTGTCGCTATCTGCGGTTTTCCATAGAAAAATGAGACGACAATGCCATTGTTCACCCCTGATCCAGCCATTGTCAAGTCGTAGTCACTGAGTTCATACGTCGTTAATTATTCTTACAAGTCGTCGAGTTCACAGCACATCCCAGCTGAGTCTTAGGGTCTATCCCATATTTACCTAGCACGGTTCAGTCTGCTCAGCTGGGGTTTTGATTAAGTATTAGAGGACGCTGCAACAGCAGTAGCTCTTCTTCTCTTTTTCTGGACTGAAATTCATCTCACGCACAATCTCTGCAAACATCTCATTGACATTGGTACGGTTCTTTGCAGAAGCTTCAACGAAGGGACACCCCCATTGCTGCGCAAGAGTACTTCCCTCAGCTGTTTCAACTTCACGCTGGTGCTCCAGATCTAGCTTGTTTGCCACAAGTAATACAGGTACCCTTTCAGTACCCTTGACGCGTGTTATCAACTCCTTCATGGCCTTGATGTCTTGAAAGGTCTGATGATTAGTCAGACTATAAACCACGACGAAGCCCTGACCATTCTTGATGTAAAGGTCGCGCATACTGGCAAACTGCTCCGTACCCGCTGTGTCCAGGATCTCAAGAACACACGGCGAGTTATCCACCTCAATTTCCTTTCGGTAGAAGTCCTCGATCGTCGGGTCATACTTCTCCATGAAGCAACCGGACACAAACTGCACGGTCAGCGCGCTCTTGCCCACCCCGCCCGAGCCTAACACTACCACCTTGAACTCGCGCATTTTGTGCACACCGCTCTTCTCCTCGTCCTTGTCGTACTAGCTTCGGGACTCTACGAGATGAGCCCTCCTGCTCCTCCTCCTCGTACGTCTGCACCTCGGTCTCCCTGACGGTCTGATCCTACCGCCTCCACCGCCACACCACCGCCAGGACCAAGTAAGAACTTCGCGACGATCCACCGTCGAACAAAGGCATCGAAAGGAAAAGGATCACGCGGAACTTCTCGCACAAAGAGAGTCGTCACCACGACTTGAGTACATGACACCCTACCGCACTTATTCACTGTCTTTCCTGAGCTCTCTGTATGCCTTAATGACTAGGTTCCTGGCTGTCTCACTGGCTGGGCCTGTCTTCCTGTCTCTTCGTGCCCCTTACTCCTTCGCCAGACTGTTCGTGTGTGACGCCATCTTATCGTACTTGGATTTTCTTCGAATGTGCCAACCGGGGTGCCTTTATCGGCGGAGCGTGAGCTGTACAGAGCAGACCTGCGTAGACTGAGGCTGCGTTCGTAGGTGGTTCCGAATCGCCTGCGCTCTGATAACGCGGTAAGCTTGCCTATTGGTTAATCTCTTCCTTTCCGAGGAAACTCTTCCAATAGGAAACCAGGAACCGACGAGATTACTTTTGTCGTCCGCTCCTCGAGCAAGGTGTTGCCATTTATTGACGGTCGCGGAGACTATTCTCTTTAGCCAAAACGTCAATCATTCAACTTGGTAAAGATCCTCGAGATCTGTCACTGTTCGTCACTGATTCTGCTGAATCTGTTACAAAGAAATTGTGTGTAGTAACGCGACAGAATCACCGCGTTGAAATCGAATAGAAGGAAATCTGAGCGAGGGAGTGGACCAGTACTTAAATATTCATTTTTTTTCTCGGTCTTACAGTGATCAATCAACCGATCATTTCGTTTCTCAATTGGTCGAGCATGAAATTGTTGGAAATTTCAGATCTCACTGTTCTCGATAATTATACGTACTAAATATCCTTGTTCTCGTTCATGCACTCAACGCCATCAGTGACGGTCTGCGGTATTAAGGAGGTACAGCTATTAAATAAATCCAACTAATCGATTTGAAATTTTTATGTCCTAAGCAGAGACATAATCTTCGTGCGTGTAAAGTTTCTAAGCATTGACTGTACCGTTTTTTAAATATATGTATACAGTGAAAATAACCTCAAATTATACAATGCAAATATCCTTGCGGTGTTAATGTCATATGTATTTCGGCTTTTGAACGGTAAAAATCAATTTTTATGAGAATTATTTCATATAAAAATAAACTACCAATTTTTTTTATTGATTTGAAATTATTTCTCCAACTTTTTACGACAATATTTAAACAGTGTAGAGTGAAATTTAAAAAATGCATGTCTCAGCCCTTCGGCTTGGATCAATAATGATATCTTTTGTAGCAAATATTTTAGAGAATGATAGTATACCGTTTATGCGCGGAAAACACTACTATCTTTCTTACAATTCCACGAATATTCCGAACTGTTTCTAATTTATAATTCTTTACACTTTCTTGCGGCACCGTCAAGATTTTCGACGAAATTAGTGCGAAGGTATGGCTTAACTTTTGTATAATTATTACTAAGAGTTTCTGAATATGGCGTCTAATCACCGAAAATTGACCCTAAAATCGCGCACTGGGATACAGCCATTCGGAGGGTACAATAAAAATTAAATTCCAGTACTTTGAAATGGTTGCGTCTCACTCAACTGCAAGTATGTAAACAGACACACGACGATACTCATAGTACTGACAGTGAATACCGGACCAGAGTATAACTACCTAATGAAATTATACAAAAATTTGTCTTAGAAGTCGTGTTTGACACTTTCGGATTAAGCCGAAACAGAATATATAATTTTTGCAATTTCTAATTATCAATTTGTAGTGCTCATGAATTATTGCGTTATTCAGAAAAGGATACAACAAGAAAAATTGCATAGGGTCCATTGAACGCTAACGTGTAGTTCAGAAGTATGATAAGGAAGCGTGCATTTCTAGGCTTAAGTGCAAGGCATTGACGTACTAAAAATAAATTCCTTAATTTGAACAGGAAGTACACGTGCACAACGTGAAATGGCGTGTAACCTAATAGCTAATAACGTCCATATTCTAGCATATTTCAGCAGGCTTTACATACTGTTACACAATATGCCAGCATATTTTTGGAAAACATAATTTTTTAATATTTCAATAGTTATTAATTATCAGTAAAGATATGTGTCATTGAATCCACGAGCGCGCACGGTTTCTACGCCTTTATACGTGCATCCATTACATACAAATGGAATTAGGAAAGTATCCTGTTTCTTGGATGATGATATCATCCAATGAAAGTGCAAATAACCGAGCGATGTATCACTTGTCTCCCTCTGCGATGGTGAATAAAAATTTAGTTTCGCAAAATTAATTTCCTCTCCAAGTACTGTATTTTGGCCAGTAGAGTGCACTAGTGGCGTCCCTCTTGTCGGGACTGAAATTTGAATACAGTTTGAATTCGCGCCATATTTCCTGGAGCTTAATGACTTTAGACGAAAATTGAAAAAGGTTCAGTTTCGAAATTTACTGTTAGTACTGTGACGTGCCCTTTGATCTTATTTATCTATATGGATCTAAAAGAAATATAACTACTTTCTCGATAATAGTAAAGTAAATTTTAAAATACATCCCATTTCCTTTTTCTCTTCTCATATCTGTCTCTCTCTTTCTCTCTATCTTTTTCTGTCGAACAAGAATCATACGGTTCGGCTTGAACAGGCGTGTCGTGACCTTCGTAATGATGTGAACGTATTTATCTCCCTCTGGTTTCCTGTTACATACAAATGAGCTTAAGCCTTGTAATACCAAGCAGTGTCTAACTTTTCTATACATTCTTTCTTTTGACTACAAGAAATAGATGTATTTTATCTTCGCTATATTCATATGACTGACATTATACTTTGACGAACTGTACTCTTCTACATACTTTGAATAATTATTTTGCTAATAATTTTACTTCTAAATAATAACTAGCGTCGACATTCCGCCAATCGTACATCATGAATTTTAATACGTATGTATAATTTATTTTAGTTAATTAAAATTTTTTGAAATATATAAATATCACAGTTACTGGCTTTACGATGAAGATTCAAGTTTATGTCCATATATTGCATAGATACATACTTGCTGCTGTTACAATCTTTGTTCAGATGAGTATGAATCTTTCATAATAATTTATTTTCTTCGCCGAGGTAAGCATGGGGATGTGTGTGAAGTACATAGGTTCGAATACGTGACGTTCAGTCATTCTAAGGTACTTTCAATATGTCTTCAACAAAGATAATATCATTCAGCTTCTAACGGTATGTACCTTTCTCGGTGCGCTGTACCTAACCAAACCTTAACAAAAAGTATACCTAGCAGCAACAGTCGCTACTACCCTAACAATTCTTATTGTCCAAATAATCATATCTTGTGTTGATACGGATTTTTATAAATAATGACTTGATAAAAGCCTAACATTTTTTGCATGATCGTTCATGACACATGTACTCTATGCTTCAATTAAAAATTCAGTATCAAATAGACAATGAACATCTATTAAAGTTCATTGTAAATAAGCTTCAAATCGACCATGTCGAGAGCACGTAGAGAAGATAATTTAGTAATAACAATGTGATATCGTTATCATTTGTCTGTCCCTACCACAACTCCTGGCACAAGTCTAATGACCTCTAAACTTAATACTGATAGAACGTGCATGAGCAACGACCTGGCATTTTAATGATACAGTTTGTCATGCTGTTCATCCTTTGCAGCAGAGTGGTGATTTTCTGAGCTAACAGTTTTGCTGTTACTGGATCGGTAAAACAGGGAGCTGGCTTTACGCGTTCTTCAAGGTTCTCCAGAGGCTTTTCGTAATCCAGGTATCGGATCGAGAATTTATATTGTATTAGAAAAAGAATAATGATTAACATATGCTCATACATAATTACAGATTCTTTTTGAAAATCAGATATGGCGTGGCAAACTCCACAAGAAGCTGGATGGCCCGTAAAGGATCCTATAACGACACAAGCGATAAAATCTGAAGAGGGACTGAATATGCCCTTGCTAGCAGGTACGTCTCTCGAAATACCAATTGATCATGGCTTTTTTTTTTTAAAGAAAACGTGATTTTTTTAAATATTTCAAATAAACTTTAAGTTGATATGTTTTTATATTTTTCTTATTTTGCCAGTATATCAGTGAATATCTTGAAAGAAAGTACGCCATTGATTATTGGATCAACACAAGGAAGATTTTGTGATACTAAGAAGTGTGGAAAAACGTCACTCAGTACAGGAAAACATTTAAGAACAACCGTCATTTCTAACAGAAAAATTAAATAATTCCCTTTCTGTTGCTTATCCGAAACTCTAGTACTCTAAACTGTAAATAAATTGTATTGTCATTTTAAACGATGCTGTTGTATTTTCATCTAGATTTTTCAAGTCATCCTTCAGGTCCTGTACGTATTACTAATACCAACTAGACTAGATTACTAAGTGACAGATAACTACATAATGATTGTCAGGAGAGCTTATGGACTCGTCGGGATCATTGTCGAGTTCCCCTTGATGCTCCAGTGTGTTATCAGTCTGTGCAAACGTGCGTTACCTCAGGTCACCCTCCCAGAAAACAATTTAGACACCGATTCAAGAAGTGACAATTGTACCTCCCACTCATATATACTTAGTCTACCGAACGAGTATCGGACATCTCGGTGATCCTCTTCGTTGGTTTTCTTGTACTGGACGTTTGACGTCGAGTCAGAATTTCACATCGTTACATTATTCATCTCTGCGCTTTAATTGTATCGCTGCGATATCCTCCTACTTGTTTACCTCTTGAGGAAAGCATAAAGAGGGACTTCGGAAAAATAAGTGTTTCACTCCTTTCGCGAAATAGCTACGTTCCTCATCTGCGTCACTGTCGTAGATGGTGACTATTAGTGTTGTCTTTGGTAACGCGACTTTAATTACGTTTCGCTGCGGTTGTTCGTTGTTTCCTCTATTCGAGGATTCAATGTGGCGGATAAATAAAGTTGTTCCGTTTGTGAAATTCGCTTCTTTGACTGAACGGAAGTGCGTGGGTGATTCCTTGTAATTCGTTGAGCAACTTTGACGGGCGTCGAGCACTTATGCGTTATTGTTCTTAAGTGGCCCGGATAAGTATAGTGCACTGAATAAAAAGAAATAATAAATAGCACAGAGAGTACTTGGTGAAATGTTCTTACTTTATTTTGGCTAATTTACGTGTGCATTGAATACACCATTTGTTTTGTATATTGTGACACGTGAGTCAGATTAATTGTAAGGAAATAGATTGATCGTGGGAAGCGAAGAAGAATCCAAGCTTTGAATTTCGACGGCCAACCGCAAATTTCCGACGAGCTCGTTGAGAAACGATTCAGGATACGGCGTGAAATACCGGATTAATATTCTGATTATTGAAAAATGACTTTACGACTTATTTGTCAATGATTGTTAGAAACGACTGAGTTGTAAGCTTCAATTAATCGCAGGCAACGTGTCGGATAAGATATTTTCACACTGCGTTTACAGTCGTGGATCAAGTTAATAGCGATAAACCGATTTTAATGAACGCGAAAGAATCATTATCATTACTTGTCAATTGATACGAGTGATGGAGTCGAAGTATTTTGAAAGCTCTTGGAAAGGTAAACTTCAGCAGCTTCGTAGGCACGTGAGAAGCTTACTGAGAGGAACAGTTAAAAGGTACCGGAAACGGAAGGGTTACACGAGATTTCTGACAGAAGAGGAACAAAGGTTTAACAATTTATTTTAATTATAAATAGAAAGTAGAATGTTAGAAGTGAATATTTTTATCTTTACAAATATTATATTATATAAGGATTTTTGCTATGGAGGAAACTAATAATTAATGAAGCATAAGACAGTCGGACGAGCTTGAAGAATAAATACGTGTAAAGTACTAATCAACACAATGGCACCAATTTTAACAATGAATTGTCTGTATACTTGGCACTGCTCAGCTTCCACTTGATGTTGATATTCACTATTATTTTCTATCTCCTTCCAGGTTCACGATAACTGATATCAAGCTGAATTCTGGAGTAAATTGTAATTAATGTAATTTATTTTAGGTGGCTCGTCAATGCCAAATTCGAATTGTCCAACAGGGTTGGAATGCCTTATGACCCTCGATATGTTTTTTGTGCAACAACAAGTGGAGATCCTTGAAGGTATATAGTAAATTTCACTTTCTATATTTATTATTTTGGTAATTAATTTATTGATGAAAATTTATAGTGATCACTGGATGGGACACGATTAATAAGTACATTGTTAAGAATGCCAGTGGACAAGTACTCTTTCTAGTTGAGGAAGAATCTAATTTTTGTGCACGATGCTGTTGTGGAAAATATCGACCTTTTATTATGAAAATCACCAACAATACCATGAGGGAGGTTATTACACTTTGTCGACCGTTCAGATCCAGTTCCTGTCTGTGTCCCTGCTTTTTGCAGGTACAAAGTCGAGTTTTTAATATCACAAGAAAAGATTGATACCATATTTATACAATAATTGTATCCTGACTTACAGGAAATGGAAGTATTCGTCAATGCTCTCAAAATAGGAACCATTGTGCAAAATTGGAATCCCTTGCGTCCGTCATTTTCAATTTGCAATTTAAATGGGGACACTGTTATTAAGATAAAGGGACCTTTTTGCCGTTGTCCTTTTATGACTGTCAATTTTAAAGTAAGTGTCAACCAAATAATGACAAATATTCGTTTGCTTGATTTCTTCTTTACCAATTTATAACACCTACTGATACATTTCTATTTTACTTACATAGATTTTTTCATCGGATGGGAAACATGAGATAGGACGGATTTCAAAACAGTGGTCTGGTATTGTTCAAGAATTCTTTACGAATGCTGACGTGTTTGGAATGAGTTTCCCGATGGATCTTGACGTACAGACTAAGGCTTTGCTATTGGCCAGTTGTTTATTAATTGTAAGTTCCAAGTATTTTTCGTTCATTGTGCTGAATTTCCATATAATCGAGTTCAGATAATTATATTTGCATTTTCTTATTTTTTTAGGATTTCATGTACTTTGAAGGTTCAGGAAAGAAGATATGTTTGTAATCACAGCAAGGTAGTTACAGTATAATATGTAGAGATCCCACACGTTTATGCAAATTTACACAATTGTTTCATTTTTTTGAGTTCAGAATTAAGAATTATTCCTTACATTTTAACTGAGGATATATTTTAGTCTAGCTATACATCAGTTGTTTGTCAAAGTCTCATTTAATAATTGAACATTGTGTATAATTTTAGGATGTTGATTACTGCTTTGATGCAGAGAACTTCTGAAAGTAATAATGTAGTTTATGATATTGTTAACATGAAGGTGATCTATATATTACACCGAGACCTATACTCAATGCAAGAGTCAAGTATTCAAAAACAAATTAAGCTAATTAAGCGCCATAAGTTATAATATACAATATATAGGTCTTTTCTTATGGAAGAAGAGAAAAAGGATACTATGACAACTGTGCGTTAAAGTTAAAAGTGAGAAGAAAAATACTGTCAAGCGTTATACCCATACGGTACATGTTCAATGATGGCACTGTTTTGATGAGAATTTATTTTATAGGGCATTAGATTTAATCTCACGAAGACAATAATTTCATGTGATAGACCTATATAATAGTTTAACTTACTACTACATATTTATTTGCAGATATTAGTATTACGCTATACAGAATATATTATTATATACATTATATTTAAAGCTTACAGTACTATACAACTGTTTACAGCATGCGTGCTATTAGATTTATAATATTTTACATTAGAGGGAATATTTGCAAAGATTATACAAGACAGTCTATTCTGTTAGCTACTACAAATTGATAACTGATGAAAGTACAATGATGCTGCCTACCTCAACTGTTAAGCCAATACAGTCTTTTTACAATGTTCAACTAAAAAAAAAACTATAATAGTATTTTGATCAAACTGTTAACTCGTTAAATAAAGTATATTGTTCCTCTAATCCTATATTATATTCTGTTCTGATATTATATATCTGCATCAAGTGTTGTTCCCTTCATGATGGTTCCTTTCACGAGGGCAGGACGCAGACTGCGGGTGACATAGCCGCAAAACTTCTAACCGTTTGAGTCCCCAGCAGCGCGATCGCGCTGCTTAAAATTTCATATCGAAAAATCCCAGTACACTTGAACGCTATGGACAATGATATTGCACTGGTCGACATTTTTCGACAATGCTTTTTCAATGACCCCTGGAATTCAAACGGTTAATATAGTACAATACTGTACTCCAAGAATATAAGACTAAACGACCAGGAACCAACGTTCCAGCTACCACACTGTCGACCTGAGTTCGACCCCCGCTGTTCATTGTACTTTTCTTGCAACCTGTCAATGGATGTTTATTGATGTAAATTATCATCAATTGTCTTTATTCTTCAAAATGTTCACCTAAAGTATTCTTTTTAAATTTACTCACGAAACTGAACATGACTTTTATTTTACTAGATATAATAATGAAATTACATTGGTAAGTGGGACAACTGAAATACATGTATACTGGAAGGCGTATCGCCATAAGAATAGACTGCGCCGGTGCGTTTCAGGTTTTTTTCTGTTTATCTTTGGATGATCATCTGCCGTTTGCTATTGCGGACTAAAAGTTACAATTCACAAGCATACTGAATTTTGCTGTTATTACGGCTGAACATATGTACTCTCCATACTAACTTTTGGCAGAGACTGTACAATCTGGGAGAGAGAGAGAGAGAAAGAGAGAATCTTCAAAAATTCTCTCTCCCGGCACGTGTAAACGGGATCCACTACGCATACTATATTTTATAGGGTGGGTCCGAATCGCACGTGATCTGGTGTGCGTTGCGGTTGCTCTTAAAACTGGCATTGAACCTTGAACTATATGTCTAATAATACAATGATAAGCATGTGTGTTGGTTCGATATAAAAGCTAGTCAGTAACCGACGATGAGGTTACTGTCGTCATCAGTTTCTCGACGGAGAATTTGGCATTTATTAACGCTCGCGAATACACTTCGGCGGAACCGTTAAACTTTTCACTTGAAAAAGACCTCAATGCTCGTCACCGATTGACGTTGAATCTGTTATAAAGAAATTGTGTTACAGTAACACGACAGAATCACTGGATCGAAATCGAACAAAAGGAAATCCAAGCGAGGGAGTGGACCAGTTTAACCAGTAAATATGGATTTCTTTTTTCACATTATTACATAACGCACGTGGTCTTCTTGCAAGCGAAGTTTATTAAAATAGACCATCCCATTTCTAAGATACACGCAATGACGATAATCTAAAATTGCACGATACAAAGATACTTGCTGTATTTATTTAATGTCATGTATTTTGGCCTCTGAATCTTCGTGCATGCAAACTTTATAAAAATAGATCATCCCATTCCTAACATGCGCACAGTTAAAATAACCTAAAATTGAATGACACAAAGAGACTTGCTGTGTTAATTTGATGTCATGTATTTCAGCCTCTGAATGGTAAAAATTAATTAAATTTTAATGAGATAATCAATTGACATGAAATATGACTACCGTGTTTTTTCTTTAATAAAGCATTCGGAATTATTATTGCAAGCTTAGCTCTTCGGCTAAGATCAATGCACGCACGCAGGTATTGCTTAACATCTGTGTAATTATGGCCAGGAGTCTCTAAATCTGGCGTCGAATTACCAGAAATTAAGCCTAGAACCGCACCCTGGGGTTAAGCAGGCCCATTTGAAGAGTACGTTAAAAAATTCAGTCTCAACACTTCTAGCTGGTTGTGTCTCATTAAACTGTAAGTAGGTAAACAGTAAGTATTGACAGTGAAATAATTGATCTCGTTCTGAATCACCCAACAATCAAAAGAGTATACAACGAGGAACATTGAATAAGGTTTTTTTGGACGCCAATGTGTAATTTGCAAGTATGATAAGGAAGTGCGCAGTTCTAGGCTTAATCCGGGAATAGCCGCGCGATTGTTTCACTATTTGAAAAGCATTGGGTTACAGTGATATATCAGCGCCTGTTCCCGGATTAAGTATAGGGCGCTGACATACTAAAAACAAATTCTTAAATCCCAATGAGAAATACACGTACACAATGTGAAATTTCGTTACCCTAATAGCAAAAAGCGTCACGTTCCAGCATAATAACGGACACTTTACACGAAGCTGTTTTACTGTTAATATGCTGGAGTATTTGGAGTATACGGTGGTGATTTTCTGAGCTAACAGTTTTGCTGTGACTGTGTCGGTAAAACAGGCAGCTGACTTTACGCGTTCTTCGAAAATCTCCAAAGGCTTTTGGTATCCCAGATACTGGATGGAGAATTGACATTGTATTAGAAAAGCAATACTGATTAATATATGTTTATATATCATTACAGATTCTTATTGAAAAACAAATATGGCCTGGCAAAATTCACAACAAGCTGGATGGCCCGTGAAGGATCCTATAACGACACAAGTGGGTGCTGGTATGACAATGTCTATGGATGTCACTCCCGGTTTAAATGAAGGTGGACAAGGTGGTCCAGCTCCTGGAATATCTGAGGCACAATCTCAATCAGGTATTTCTGCCGAAATACTTTATTATGACATTTTTAAAGGAAAAGAAGCACATCATTCGATATTGCATCAGTTAAAGGATGATTTTGTGGTACTAAGACTTGGCATTGCTCAGTTTCTATTCGATATTTATATTTACCATTATTTTCTATCTCCTTTGAGTTTCACGATAACCGATATTGAGCTGGATTCCTATGGAAAATTATTAGTGCTGTTTAATACATCTCGACTTCAGTACTTTAATGAATCTAATTTATTTTAGGTGGTTGGCCAATGCCAAATTTGGTTTGTCCGGCAGGTTTGGAATACCTTATGGCCCTTGATACAATTTTTGTGGAACAACAAATTGATCGTCTTGAAGGTATTTAGTAGAATTTATTTTTTTAATTCATTTTATCAATAATCTATTTGGGAAAATTTATAGCGCTCACTGGATGGGAAAAATTAAACAAGTACATGGTTAAGGATGCCAGAGGTCAAGTGATTTATCGTGTTAAGGAAGAATCAAGTGCTTGTTCACGATGCTGTTTCGGAAATATGCGTCCTTTTGACATGAAAATCGTTGATAGTAGTATGAGGGAGGTTATTAGACTATCTCGACCATACAGATTTGATAGCTGTCTATGTCCTTGTTTTCTACAGGTTCAAAATACAATTTTGAATATTGCAAGAAAATTGATAAAATTTGTACACAGTAATTGTATCCTCATTTACAGGAAATGGACGTATTCACGGGCGATACCAAATTAGGGAGCGTTGTGCAAAATTGGAGCCCCTTCTATCCGTCATATTCAATTAACGATTTGAGTGAGAACACTATACTTACGATAGAAGGTCCTATGTGCATCTTCTGTCCCTGTTACGATGTAAATTTTAAAGTAAGTGTCAAGCATATAATAAATATTCGTTTGCTTATTTTTTCTTTACCAATTTATAACACCTACTAGTACATTAATTTTGTATTTATATAGGTTTTGTCGTCGGATGGGAAGCATCAAGTAGGGCGGATTTCGAAAAAGTGGTCTGGTTTTGTTCAAGAATTATTTACGGATGCTGATATATTTGGAATAAGTTTCCCAATAGATCTCGACGTGAAGGTTAAAGCATTGCTACTGGCCAGTTGTTTATTAATTGTAAGTTCAAAATACTTTTTGTACATCATCCCAAATTTCCAAATCATCGAACTTAATTCTAATTGCATTTTTTTTATTTTTTAGGATTTTATGTACTTTGAGAATTCAGGAATTGCCAGACGTCGTTAATTACAGCCAGGTAAATTTTTTAATTTCTTTGAGTTCAAGGTTCAGAATTATCGTTTATATTTACAACTGAGGATACATTCTAGTTTAGCTGTACACTAGTTGTTTGTTCAAATCTTATTTGATAAGTGAACCTATTTTATCATTTTAGGATGCCTTTTGCTGCTTTGATGCGCAGATCATCTGAAAGTAATAATATACTTTGATATAAAAGGCAAATCTTAAAAAAAAATTAACGTGCTTAAACTAATGAAACGTCACAAGTTAAAATATGTAAGGCATAGGCTTTTGCTTGTGGATGGATGAAGAGAAAAGAAATACTGCCATAACTGTTCGTCAGAGTTAAAAATGATAAGAAAAATAGTGTCAAACATTATATTCATACCGTACGTGTTCAACGATTGCATTATTTTGACAAGAATTTATTTTGCAGGACATTAGTGTTTTTATCACAAAGACAATATCATATAACATAACTATATAATAGTTTAATTTAATACATATTTTTCAGCAGATATTAGAATATACAATATTTTCTCATGTAATACAGAATATACTATTATATATATTTAAATCTTACGATACTATAAAACTGCTTACGACAAGCATGCTATTAACTTGATATTTTATATTTGAGAGAATTTTTCACAGATTTTATAAGACTAACAATCACTTTGTATTCCCTTAACTACTACAGATTGATAACTGAAAGTACAATAACTGTGTCTACCTCAACTGTTATGTAGTTTTTAAACTATGCATTTAATAAAGGACCTTACTCCTTTAATCGTATACTTTATTCATCAAGTGTTGTTCCCTTGACAAGGGAAGGGTGCAGACTTGGGATCATATAATCGGCAAAGGTTTTAATGTAGTATGTACAATACTGGTACTCCAAAAGTACTTATAGGAGGATAATTTTTGACAGAAACTGCTCAATTTCCAAGAGAGAAAGAGAGGGAATGACTCCCCCACCGCCAACGTTCTCCCTCTCGGCACACGGTACGGATTCCAGTTATGCATAACGTATATTTCAGTAAGTGGATCTCAATCGCGTCTGGAGGTAAACAAGGACACAATGATAATCGTAGTATTGGCAGTGAATTTTGGAACATACTCCTGATAACGCGGTAAGCATGCGTATTGGTTTATCTCTTCCTACCTGTAGAAACTCTTCCAATAGGAAATCGAAAACCGACGAGGTTACTTTTGTCATCCGCTTCTCAAGCCGGGAGTTGCCACTTATTGACGGTCGCGGAGACACTTTGGCGAAAACGTCAACCATTCCACTTGGAAAAAATCTCGAAGTTCGCCACTGATTCATTTGAATTTGTTATGATCTGTTATAAAGAAATTGTGTTATAGTAACGCGATAGAAACACCGAGTGCAATCGACCCAAAGGAAATTGGAGCGAGGGAGGGGACCAGTAAATATTGACTTTTTTCCACATTCTTACATAAGGCACATAATCTTCGTGCATGCAAACTCTATAAAAATAGATCATCCCATTCCTAAGATGCGCACAGGTTAAATAACCTAAAATTGAATGACACAAAGATACTTGCTCGGTTAATTTGATGTCATGTATTTCAGCCTCTGAACGGTAAAAATTAATTAAATTTTAATGAGATAATCAATTCACATGAAAAATGACTACCGTGATTTTTTAAAATAAAACATTCAGAATTATTATTGTAACTTTTTACAACAATATTTGAACAATATAGTGTGAAAATTATAATATGTATATGTCTGCTCTTCGGCTAAGATCAATGCACGCGCGCAGGTATGGCATTAACATCTGTGTAATTATGGCCAGAGGCTTCTAAATCGGGCGTCGAATTACCAGAAATTAATCCTAGAACCGCACCCTGGGGTTAACCAGGCCCATTTGAAGAGTACGTTAAAAAATTCAGTTTCGACACTTCCAGCTGGTTGTCTCTCATTAAACTGTAAGTAGGTAAACAGGAACACAACGGACTCGTTGTACTGACAGTGAAATAATTGATCTCGTTCTGAATCACCGAACAATCAGAAGAGTATACAACGAGGAGCATTGAGTAAGATTCTTTTGGACGCCAATATGTAGTTTACAAGTATGATAAGAGAGTGTGCAGTTCTAGGCTTAACCCGGGAATAGCCGCGCGATTTTCTTTCACTATTTGAAAAGCATTGGATTACAGTGATATTTCAGTGCCTGTTCCCGGATTAAGTATAGGGCGTTGACGTACTAAAAATAAGTTCTTAAACCCCAGTGAGAATTACACGTACACAATATGAAATTTCGTTACCCTAATAGCAAAAAGCGTCACGTTCCAGCATAATAACGGACACTTTACACGAAGCTGTTGTTTTACTGTTAATATGTTGGAGTATTTGGGACGGGAGTCGGTTTGGCTATCTGGGTAGTAATTCAAGCGTGAAGGCCAATTATTTGTCAGTAAGGCTAAGTCTTTCGATCCACGAACACTCGGACAGTCGCGTAAGTGATAAATAACGATTTCATTTCAATTAAATCAAATTTAACCGATATACGTATATCCGATTAAAGAAATCCTGACCAACTAGATGCTTTTCTGCATGTTATGTGCGCTCATGACAAACGAGCGGAAGCAGGAAAGAATCGTGATGCTTGGTTGATGATATCATACAAGGAAAATGCAAATAACCGAGCGATGTATCCCTCATTTACATATTGCATAGACGCACACTGACTGCTGTTACAATCTTTGTTCAGATAATTACGAATCTTCCATCACAATTTATTTTCCGTACTGAGGTAAGCATGGAGTCGTGATAAGATACTTTCAATAGTCTCCAACAAAAATAATATCATTCAGCTCCTAACAGTAACGGTTGCTACTATCCTAACAATTCTTATTGTCCAAATAATCCTAACTTGTCTTGACACAGATCTTTATAAATAATGACTTGATAAAAGCCTAACGTTTTTTGCACGAGCGTTCATGACATGTGTACTTTATCCTTCAATTAAAAATTAAGTATCAAATAGACAATGAGCGTCTACTCAAGTTCCTTGTAAATAAGCTTCAAATCGACCCTGTGGAGAGCACGTAGCAAAGATAATTTAGTAATAACAATGTGATATCTTTAAAATTTGTCTATCCCTACCACTTCCTTCCTTTCTTCCTTTCCTTATGGCTGTATCCTCAATGGGGAACATGTGACAAATATTCCTAACACTACTCCTGATATAAAAGTTTAATGAGCTCTCAAATTAATACTGATAGAACGTGCGCAGTCGACGACCTACCATTTTAATTGTGCTGTTCATGTTCTATACGGTGGCGATTTTCTGAGCTAACAATTTCGATATTACCGTGTCGGTAAAACAGGGAACTAGCTTAACGTGTTCTTCAAGGTTCTCCAAAGGCTTTTGGTACTCCAGGTATTGGATGAACATTGATGTTGTATTAGAAGAAAAATAATTAATATATGTGTATGTATAATTACAGATTCTTTTTAAAAAATAAATATGGCCTGGCAAAATCCTCATCAATCTGGATGGCCCACAAATGATCCTATAACGACACAAGTGGGTCCTGTTGTGTCAATCCCCATGCATGTGATTCCTGGTTCACTTGAAGGTGGATCACCTTATCCACCTTCTGGAGTACCTGGGGTACAACCAGGACCTTATCCACCTTCTGGAGTACCTGGAGTACAACCAGGACCTTATCCACCTTCTGGAGTACCTGGGGTACAACCAGGACCTTACCCACCTTCTGGAATACCCGGAGTACAGCCAGGACCTTATCAACAACCTGGAGTACCACCAAATGCGCCCCTGCCAGCAGGTACGTTTGTCACAGTAATAATTTATTATTTTTTTTTTAGAGGAAAAGAAGTACATCATTGGGTATTGCATCAGTTCGAGGAAGATTTTGTGGTACTTTGTAGTACAGGAACAACATTTAGGTACAATTGTCATTTCAAAGACAGAAATCAAATATCTTCCTCTCTGATAAGTACCTCGTTGCGTTATTTCGATATTGCAATTGGTTAATCCAATCTTACATTAGTTAAATCAAGTTACATCTACAAAAATATATATCATGCGCTGTATAATTAATCTTCTTAAAATCGTGTAGCATGATAACGAAGAACACAAGCATTATATACGATGACAGTTTCAATATTGAAATAATTTCCATAATCTTTGACTCAGTTGATTCAATAACGTACTTTTCCGTTTAACAAAACCAAAACTCCAGTACTTTAAACTGTAAACAAATTGTATTGTCACTTTAGACGATATCGTTGTATTTTCATCTAGAATTTTCAAGTCATCCTTCAGGTCGTGTATGTACTATTAATACCAACTAGACTAGATTACTAAGTGACAGATAACTACATAATGATTGTCAGGAGAGCTTATGGACTCGTCGGGATCATTGTCGAGTTCCCCTTGATGCTCCAGTGTGTTATCAGTCTGTGCAAACGTGCGTTACCTCAGGTCACCCTCCCAGAAAACAATCTAGACACCGATTCAAGAAGTGACAATTGTACCTCCCACTCATATATACTTAGTCTACCGAACGAGTGTCGGACATCTCGGTGATCCTCTTCGTTGGTTTTCTTGTACTGGACGTTTGACGTCGAGTCAGAATTTCACATCGTTACATTATTCATCTCTGCGCTTTAATCGTATCGCTGCGATATCCTCCTACTTGTTTACCTCTTGTGGAAAGCATAAAGAGGGACTTCGGAAAAATAAGTGTTTCACTCATTTCGTGAAATAGCTACGTTCCTCATCTGCGTCACTGTCGTAGATGGTGACTATTAGTGTTGTCTTTGATAACGCGACTTTAATTATAAGATAAATAATGCTGTTCTATTTGTGAAATTTGCTTCTTCGACTGAACGGAAATCCGTGGGTGATTCCTCATAATTCGTTGAGCTACTTTTTCACGGGCGTCGACCATTTACGCGTTATTGTTTTTAAGTGACTTGAATGAGAATAGTGCACTGTAAAAAGAAAATAACTAACACAGAAAGTTATTGACATTCCACTCAACATACAAACAGAGTTGTGACAGTTTTGTCAGTTTAATTGTAAGAAAATATATTGGTCACGGGTAGCAAAGGAAAATCGAGGGTTTGAATTTCAGCGGGCAACCGCAAATTTTCAACGAGCTTGTTGAGAAACGATTTAGTATACGGCGTGAAATATTGGATGAATAATTTTGATTATGGAAAACTGACTGTAGGAATTGTTTGTCAGTGATTTTAAGAAGCGACTGGCTTGTGAGTTTCAATGAAAATGATTTGCGGGCGACGTGTCGGATAATAGTACATTATGCAACAAGGGCTCTTGCCCTTGCCTTGTGAATAAAATATTTTGTACACTGCGTTCAGAGTCGTGCATCAAGATAGTGGAGATAAACTGATTTGATATCGTCGGACTTTTTAATGAATGGGAAAAAATCATTATCATTACATGTCAATTGATACGAGTGATGGAGTCGAAGTATTTTGAAACCTCCTGGAAAAGTAAACTTCAGCAGCTTCGTAGGCACGTGAGAAGCTTAATGAGAGGAACAGTTAAGAGATACCGGAAACGGAAGGCTTACACGAGATTTCTGACAGATGAGGAAGAAAGGTTTAACAATTTATTTTAATTAGGAATAAATAATTGAAGAATAACATGAATAGTTTTCTTATAATTAATTAAGTTGTCGGATTTTATGAATGTTTGTATGTTTACAAATATCATATTGTTCAAGGACTGTTGGTATACGGGAAATTAATATTTAATGTAGTCTAAGAAAGCCGGGCGAGTCTTGAAGAATAAATACGTTTGAAGTACTAATCGACGTAATGGCGCCAATCTGAATAATAAATTGTCTGTAGACGTGGCACTGCTCAGTTTCCATTCGATGTTGATATTTACCATTCTATCTCCTTCGAGTTTCACGATAACCGATATCGTGCTGGATTCCTATGGAAAATTATTACTGCTGTTTAATACATCTCGACTTCAGTACTTTAATGAATCTAATTTATTTTAGGTGGATGGCCAACGCCAAACTCGAATTGTCCGGCAGGATTGGAATACCTTATGGCCCTTGATACGATTTTTGTGCATCAACACGTGGAGGTTCTTGAAGGTATTTAGTAAACTTTATTTTCTTAATTCATTATTCTGTCAATAATCTATTTGGGAAAATTTATAGCGATCACTGGATGGGAAACGTTGAATAAATATATGATTAAGGACGTCAGAGGTCAAGTGATTTTTCAAGTTGAGGAAGAATCAAATGTTTGTTCACGATGCTGTTGCGGAAATAATCGACCCTTTGACATGAAAATCATTAACAGTAGCATGAGGGAAGTTCTTACAGTCTCTCGACCATTGAGATGCAATACTTGTCTATGTCCTTGCTTCTTACAGGTACAAAATACAGTTTTGAATGCCGCATAAAAATGATAAAATGTTTATACAGTAATTGTTTCCTCATTTACAGGAAATGGAAGTATTCGCGAGCGGTACCAAATTAGGGAGTGTTGTGCAAAATTGGAATCCTTTCCGTCCGTCATATTCAGTTAACGATTCGAATGGGAACACTATACTTATGATAAAAGGACCTATGTGCATGTTGTGCCCCTGGTACGACGTGAATTTTAAAGTAAGTGTCAAGCATATAATAAATGTTTGTTTGCTTTATTTTTTCTTTACCAATTTATAACAGCTAACGATACATTTATTTTGTACTCATAAAGGTTTTGTCGTCGGACGGGGAGCATCAGGTAGGGCGGATTTCGAAAAAGTGGTCTGACTTTGTTCAAGAATTGTTCACGGATGCTGATATATTTGGAATAAGTTTCCCAATAGATCTCGACGTAAAGGTTAAAGCCTTGCTAGTGGCCAGTTGTTTATTAATTGTAAGTTCAAAAGCACTTTTCATACATCGTGCCAAATTTCCGAATCAACAAGCTCCGTTTTAATTGCATTTTCTTATTTTTTAGGATTTCATGTACTTTGAGAAGTCACCGGGAAAGTGAATTTATACCGGAATTACAGTGTAATGTGTGAAATATTCAACATGTCATAACATTAGTGAAAATTTACACAAGTCTTTTGATCTGCTTAAATTAAAAATGAAGAACTATTATTGACGTGGACAACTTAGAATATGTTCTAGTCTAGCTGCACACTTGTTCTTCCAATTCTCATTGGATACTTTAATGTAATGTATACAATGTTAGGTTATCGATTGCTGTTTTTATGCAGAGATCTTTGGAAAGTAATGACGTGGTTTATGATATTGTTACCGCGTCAGTGATCTACATTACACTTAGCCATTTACATTTAGAAGAAAAACCAAATATTGAAACGAAAACGAATTAAGCTGTGTTTCACACGAAACACACTCAACTCATGGAAATTTCTTGTGGGGCGGAGAGAAAAAGGATACTATGATAATTTATGTTAGAGTTAAGAAACAAAAGAATGATACTGTCAAATGTTATACTCGTACTACATGTATTCAACTATTGGATTATTTTTATATGAATTTATTTCGTAGGTCATTCTTTTATTCTCACGAGGACAATATTCTCACACTATATACCTATATAATAGTTTTTACTTAATATATTCATTTCTTGCTTTAGGAATATCAAATGTTTCCTCATGCGATGCAGAATTTACTATTTTATATGATATTTGACTCTTATGATATTGTACAATTGCTTCTGAGATGTATTTGGTGATTTTTACATTTGGAATATTTTACACGGATTTTATAAGACTGACATTTTATATCCTGTTAATAATTACAGGTTGACAACTAAAAGTCAAGGATATTATAATGTCGCTGTTGCATACCTCAACTGTTAACCACAATACAGTCTTCACTATGTTCAATTAGAAAAAAAAATGAATTGTATTTTGACTAAGTTATTTACTCATTAAATAAAATATCTTCTCACTGTAATCATATATTATTCTCCGTTTTATAGCTGCAGAATATTGTTTGCTTGAAGTGGAATCCATTTATTTGTACACATTGACAGTGTACGACTATGGATTTAAAAATATATGTTTTTATCTCATGTCTGATATTAAAATATATTTTTAGCGTTTTCAGACATCAAGATAACACCACTGGAAATATGTTTAATGACTTTTAGGTATAAAATAAACATTGCAAAATGCAGTGTAGTAACGATCCTATTTTATTTGCATTAATTACATAGCTCTAACATGTTTTTTTGGTGAAGAAACAAGACCTATAAGTACACAATCAGCTTCTAAAAGTGTTAAATCCCTTTTTGCACCCAGAAACTTTGATGATAATTCTAAATCTTTTATCCTTAAGCGTACAATGGCACCTCTGACATAGTCACTAAAATAAGACAGACTAAAATGATGTACAGGATCTAACTTATTAAAATCATATGTAAATATACATACTCTGAATTTCGTGGTGGCCTTGAACATACACAATGGAACTTCCATCCAAAATCAATATACAGATCATCGCCAACAATATGGTAAATCTTACCAGTCACGACTTTGTCAACTGGATTACCTAACTGTAAAATTAATATATAAATTATGAATAATAATTATCATCAGCGATTCAAATGTATTACAACAGTACGATAAGTCAAACAGAAAGCTTATTACATCAACAAATTTCGAGTGACGCAGTAGAGCAGCAAATGTTTGTTTTTCCTCAGTTTTGGTGTAATCTACATCTTTACTACCAATATTCTTGTGTTTTTCAAAGGCTTCTGCAAACCCACTCAATTTTGGTTTTAAAGTTTTCTCTTCCTTTGTTGCCTGTGATATTTGTTGACTTGACTCTCTAGACTGCAGAGTCTCTTCCGTACTATAATACCTGAATAGCACAGCATTCTGACGAAAAATATTATTTGAACAATGTAACTGATTAAATATTCGACTAAATCGTTGCATTTTCTTAAATTATAACAAACAACGATTAGGAAACTATATTTTTCACCGGTTTAGTTTTAGGTTATTGCTGTATATGTATTATGTATTATGTTGGACTAGGTTTATACAAGCACATGGCATGTTGGGTTGGGTTGGGTTAAGGTTTAGAAAACCAAATAACAGATGTCACCTAAAAGAGTATCTGAAACCGACCAACTTTCTTTGTATTATAACCTATAACTTTAATCCTGGATTTATCCATTTAAGAAATATTCTATTTTCTGTATAGAATTACCTTACCAGTGTTCTATTCTAAAGCCTTTAAAGGTGAGCCATAAAAATATGATAAACAAAACCATAAAATGTGTAGAATATAATCGATATAAAAATGATTTTTCTTATAATGATTTACTTATAAGGGATTATAAATGATGGAAGAACTATATGTTTTGTATTTTATATACGGACAATATTATTTTGTTTTATTACAGAAAAATGGCTCTACGTAATACCATGATGAACTTCTCTTCGAGGGCTATTCACACATCTGCCATTTGTAATCAAATAATTAAATTAACGCGCCTGAGAGTTGTTGATAATAGCGATATTGGCAAGCAGGCTATGGTTGAAGGAAAACCACCAAAGTGTATTCATATTTATAACAAAATTGGAGTTGGATACATCGGTGAGATGATACGTTGTTATTTGTTTTCTTTAGTATTTTCAATATATTATTTTTAGGTGATAAGGTGTTGGTGGCCATAAAAGGTGAGAAGAAAAAAGGTATTTTAGTTGGGCTTAAGCAAAACCAGAAGACGAAAGTCCCAAAGTTTGACAGTAATAACATTGTCCTTATCGATGACAGTGGAACACCACTTGGTACTCGTATACATGTACCAATTCCTCATATCCTTAGAACGATACTAAAGAACAAAACACATGCAAAAGGTGCAGACTATACTAAGCTTATTGCAATCGCAACAAGATTTGTATAAGCACAAATAGCGCGCATCTAATAATTTGTAGATACAATGTAATATAAGATTCCATCGAATAAAATGTTCAATATAAAATTAATATTTAAGTGCAATAACTCAATTAGAACAATATTTCCGAATATTCTAAGTATTCGTTTATTTGGAATTAAAAAACAATTTAATAAACTTCGAAGAATTTCGGAAAACATGAAATTTTCAGTAAAATACAATTATTATATCGTGAAATAAAGAAAATGACAGAGGCTCCATCTAAGCTGAGATGCAAGAACTTCTATAAATTCCATTCAATTTCCGGTGTTGATCCAACTCTATCTTTTACAAGATATATGCCTCAATTCATAATCCACGGCGAAAGCGATAGGCTATGAGAAAACTCGTGGTCTAAGTGGCAGTGATTGTCCTTTACAAATGGCGACTCACGGTTAAACACGCCGCCTTGTGTAATCGCGAGGATATTTGGCCGTATCGGTGTAAGTAAGTGTTAACGCTGATAGTGTGATACATCAAGTTTGGAAACGGAGTTCAAATTAGTCGGTCCGCTAGAAAATTTAGAAGAGCAATAAGAAATTGAAGAATGGGAAACGTACTCGCAGCCTCCGCACCTCTTGCACCTCCACCACCACCATCACCTTTGCCTCCAAGTCCAGGATTCTCACCGAGTTTATCGAAACCAGATGAGGAAACGGGACTTGGTTCGCCCGTCGAGGCTTCTGATCGTCTCGAAAATCCGGGAACGATCGAAGATCTTCACAAGAAGTGCAAAGGTATACTTCAGGAAACGTGTCATGTATCTGGAAAGCCAGACCATCCATTTCCTACATTCATTGCAAGACTTTACGAATTTCTCATTCATCACTTAGAATTTCTTTTATAGTCTTATTCGTTTATCAAATAATCTCTTACTTAATACAGTGTCATTCGAATTATTGATTTTTGTTAACGTTACGTCTAAATATGAAATCTGTTAACAGTTAGAGTAAGTTATGAAATTCTGAAGAAAATACGTATTTTCGTACGTTCTTGTATCTGGTATTTCTTATTTTGATATATCTCATTTTGGAAGAAACTGTATCTTTGATTGATATTTGTTAAAGTTGGTATTTGCCAATGCAATGTTTGAACAAATAGGATGTATGGTAGAAAAATTTTATTAACTTCTTGTTGTCATATGTTGCAGATGTGTTTCCTGTGAATTTTGAGGGTGCAAAGTTAATGCTCAACAAAGGCCTCAGCAGTCACTTCCAGATTTCCCATACAATAAATATGAGCTCTGTAACGCAGTCTGGATATAGGTAAGTTGCAACACATTTTTTTATCTAAGAAACTGTCTTATTTTTATATCATCCTCTTTACTTTGTAGTTAACACATAATTCCTCTGTTATAGATTCGGAGCAACATATGTAGGAACAAAACAATTGTCTCCTACAGAAGGATATCCTATATTATTAGGTGATATTGATCCAAATGGAAATCTCAATGCCAATGTTATTCATCAATTTGGTTCAAGGATCAGAGGAAAACTTGCAACACAGGTTCAAAGAAGCAAATATACTGCTGTACAAATGACAAGTGATTATCGTGGAGATGCTTACACAGCTTCGTTAACACTAGGCAATCCTGACATCCTTAATAACTCTGGTGAGTATCTTAACCTATATTTTCATTCCTAAGATTTTCTTAAGAATTTGGACATCACATAATTACCTTCTTAGGTGTACTGGTAGCACACTATCTGCAGAGTATAACACCATCCTTAGCCTTGGGTGGTGAAGTTGCATATCAACGAGGTCCTGGAGTTCCCGGTGGTCATGTTGCGGTAGTGTCTGCAGCAGGACGCTACACAAATGGTGAATCTACAATCAGCGGCAGTCTCGGTAAATTAAACAGGCCTAACAATTATTCCGAAAATCTTTGCAAGTATCATAAAACCATTTGTTCACAGGTCTGGCGGGATGCCATATTTGCTTCCACCAGAAAGCTAGTCAACAACTACAAATTGGAGTTGAACTTGAAGTCAATTCAAGAATACAAGAGTCTACAGGCACAATCGCTTATCAAATCGATTTACCCAAGGCAGATTTAGTGTTCAGAGGTAAGCATGACCCTTACAATTCTAAAAAATCATGTTGAAACTCTTCGACAACAAATTTCCCCTATACAAAATCCCTTGTTGTTATTCTTTGCAGGAAGTGTAGATTCTAATTGGACAGTGGGTGCTGTTCTGGAGAAAAAGTTGCTGCCATTGCCATTCTCGTTTGCACTAAGTGGCATGATTAATCACAGCAAGTCTCAATTTAGACTTGGATGCGGTCTAATCGTCGGCTAAAGATGATTGATTGTTCAGTCGCATAGCCCATTTTTACCATGCAGAGGGAATCGGGTGTTTTCCGTTTCCTGTCTGACGAGACGTATGACGTAACTAACACCCATACCATTCTAACTTGATTTTCTTACTTGCATTCGTCATTTCTCCACCAGCTATTGTGAATACATTCGTCTGACGCGACCGTGTTGATCTATATTAAAGAATTATATGAGGACTGCATAATTTTATGTGCGTTTATTTTATAGTAGTTAAATGCTGCCCGAACTTTTTGAAAGGAACGAAATCGTTATGGCAGTCTCAAATTCGAATTATTCGTCATTAAAATCAGTGCGCTTCGACTTTTCGCCACGTATAACAATTACTGAACAAAACTTCAGGGAATATAAAAAATTGAGATACACCACTAGCAACAACGTACGGTCCAACTGATAGTACCGTTTTGCATTAAATACGCAAGGCATTTAATTTTATAAATATATATTATCCAGGGACGATTCTTCCTGAATATCATACTTGACAGATCTATTTTTTGCGAATTACGGTACCTCATAGCGTTCCATAACCGTAAAACTCAATTGGACGTTGTTTCCCTTATCTACTTACGTAAACGAACTAAGAATTGAGATAATATTAATTAAGCTGCATGAGATTATACAATTACCGTGATTCGTGTAAAGAATCGAAAAGGTAGACGGTGCAAATTAACAAAAAATTGTTTACTTTTCGTTGCGTCATTCAAACTTTTCATATTTTGCTAGACTACGGGTACGTTTCGAAATTCATTGCCAGTACTTCGAGCATGGTTTTATTTCACTCTATTGGAACCAGCTAAATAAAAATACGACGATAGTTCATGGCACTAGCTTTGAATTTTTGAGCGAATTCTATATTTAAATATCAAAATCGTAGGTACTATTGTTTAATGGAAATTCGGTAGCTGTAGAATCGCGTGTTAGGTAACAGAGAACGAAAGATAGAGAATGGTAATAATGTGTGCGATGTTGTTAATAAATACACTATATGATGATTATATATAAGCTCAATAATTTTTATTTCTCATTTATGACAGAGAGATCGCCCGGTTGCCCTTTGTGTGATTTTATATGCGTCCTAGTCCATTGTCTCTAGGTTACTCAAATAAGAGTACAATACGATAAAAGATATATTAGAAAATTGATTGCGATACTTAATCGTTACCAGCGCTACCATCCGAAATATATAATGAAAATGTATTTTCTTGCAAATCAACGCTGTCATCGTATTACATAAGAATTTAATCACGAGCGACACAGTCGTACTAGTTATTTGACAAAAAAATATTTAAATCACGAACCGAATTAGAGGAATTAGTCTGGAAAAGCAGTCGCAATGATCTTAGAACGACAGACATAATTAGTCATCACAATTATTCATTAAGAAACACCGACCGAATATTTTAAATCTTAATCAATTGTCAGCTTCATTATTTTATTATTCTCAATATGCGACGGACAATGTCTGATTGTCAATGTTAAGTTTTAAAAAAATTTATCCAAGTTGTTCCCCTCCCCCTCTTGATCGATTTAAGAAATAACAAACAAAATATACAAAAATTGTCAAAAATCAGCATGAAATTATGTCCCGCCGCAATTGTACACAAGTCGTAAGTTGCCAGAGAATAAAGAAGTGACTACAATTGTTAAAGCAAACAGGAAACGGTAAGAACAACGACAGCAAAACATCGGTGCCCACCCTCGTAAGCTTGTAGTACAGTGTAAAGCCGTTAGTTTGAAAAAAAAAAATACAGTTTTCCAATAACGACCGACAAATGCAGGTCAACGATGACGAAAAGTCGCTCGTACACGTCACCTGGACTAGAAAACAATAAGCAATTAGTAAGAGGATCATTAAAGGCGTAAGAGGAAAAAGGAAGGAGAGTCTTAAGACATACACAGGAGTGAGACGAACGAGGAGAATAAAGACGTGTAAGCTTGGGGAGAGTCTGGTGTATACTGAAAGAGAAACATGGCGAACGACTAGGAGAAGAAGAACAAGAGAGAAGAAATGAATAAGTAAAGTGCAAGAGAGGACTTGGAAATAAACCGATGCTTGCCTTGTTTCTTGAGGTCCGTGACGACGTCGGCTTTACGCTCTCCACGTCGTGCATTATTGCCAGCGCGTAGAGACCACTGTGCAAGGCCTGGTGCAATAGCCCTTTATGCTCGCGCATACCTACGATCTCATCTACGGGGTGTTCTTGACGGAAGTCATTAAACGCAACCTGAAGATATTTGGATGAGGCTATAGTCGGATTAAAATATTTAAACTGTATTTGATAGGATAGGATGACTCCCAGGAAGATGACTCATGTCAGAGGACGACGTCGAGGAGGTAGGTATCCTAGAGGAAGAAAGAATTACAAGTATACATGGGGAGAATGACAACGTTTACGATCCTCAGGTTGACCCTGGGCATAATTAATGTCTTTGTTTTACCTTGGGTTACTGGTACTGTATATCCTAACTAAGGAGTACGTGATCTTGGCGGCAGTTTCAGGCGATTTGAACGCTCACAATGGCTGCTGCTGAATATGCGTTAGAAATCTAGGAGTTAAAGCTATTGTGAGCGATGTTACAGTAACGCGCGTGAAATTCACTGCACCAATTTCAATCACGAGTTTGATTGGTATTTCTCGGTGGTTAATTATCGGTAATATCGGTCGATGGATCCTTGATTGCGTATAACCTCAATTGACGACGACGACTTCTTCGCTGGACTTTATGTTGTCTCTCTTGTTAGATCGTTTACTCGCATATATATTATTCACCTAGAATATTATCGATTGTTAATATACGATTTAATGATGAATGAATGGACTATCGATCGCAGGAATAATGGAATGAATGAGCAGCCTTGTCCTTGGGACGCTAGAGCGTCTGTAACCCAGCACTCTCGATACAACATCCATAGGCCGGGTGGTTGTGAATCAGCCTAGAAATTTCGTAAACAATCTTTTCAGCAGCACACTGCGGCACGTGCACTACCACTGCAAAGAAACATTGGTCTTGTATTACCTCGCGGAAAGGAGCAGCGATTAGCTTCCATTGAATTTCGCCTACCTGAACCCAGGGCGCTCAGTGCTCGAGGATTTATTCTGTCATTTGCCGTATCCCTCTCGCCAAGTATTGTCATCTTGTTTATCCTTACAACTATTTATTGTCACTGTTACCCAAAGAGGTGGCAAGGTATACCTTAATGATTCAGAGAGTACACGTCACTGAAGTGAGTCTTCTGCTAACGGTCGGTACGAGCGAGTGAACGGCAGCCATATTGTTTTTCATCCAACTGTCATAAAATTCGAATAAGATTTTCCCGGTGCTTTAGGACGTTATAAAGTATTTCAAAAAAACAATACAATGTATCCATCTGTAATATTCCGTGAATCAGAACGAGCTGTGCTTACATTCCATATAGTTGTATTATTGGATTGATACGTAAATGTCGTAAAATTGAAAAACTCTAAGTAGTCCTACGCCAACTGTCAGTGAGTGTTGAGGTTCGCAGGTCTCTCGAGGCCGGTGGACGATAATTCCAAGTGGTGGTTGCTCTTTGGCTACAAGGAAGGGGATTTCTGACCGATAAGGATATGTACGTACATAGTTTCTTGGCTATGTGTGCACGTAGTTTTCCCGTGGCATGATTCGCGCCTCCCACCATCGGGTCAGCAGGGGCACCAACTTCCCCTCTCGTGTCTCGAAGCCCTCCAACACGAGCACTCGCTCGCTCCTCCGGCCACTACTCTATGTACATAATACACGAGCTCACTCCCGATCATAGCTCCAGCTCATATAGCCGGCAACCGGACTTTTATTTCTTCTCCTGGAACGACCGACTCCCGTCGTCTTGGCCGGCTGTTCGTTTCGCTGAAGAAAGTGCGTGCGCGGCTTCCTGCTTTCGTTGCGAATCAAACCGAAAGGAATACCTCACGGAGCAGCGACAGATCATTTACGAAAGGCGAAAGGTAGTGCTTTAAGCTCCTGTTTCACAATCCGCGTTCTCCTCGGACTAATCCTGAATCTTTCGGAAGAGTGTGCGACGACGTTATCGAGGATGAAGAGAAGAAGGAGCTCCACGGAAAACGATGGCCAACAGGTTAGCAAGTATCAGAGGCTGCAGCGTGATTACGGTGAGTACCCTTTTTTCTCAATTTCTTTATACGCGATCGGTAAGTCGTTTCATTTTTAGGTTATTCCTTTGCTCTCTTTCGCTTTGATACACGATTACTTTTATTTTTCAATCTGTCTTGCTCCTATTTCTCGACCTCGAGAATGCGGCCTGTCACGAACTTACCGGGTTTGTGTACTAATCGCTAACTGGGCCGGTGGCCCGCGAGTTACTGCAGCCTAGGGGCCGCTTGTGGGGGATGTATATACGTTGGATATCAGAGTGATAACACCGCCCCTGCTCGCGATAACACGTATTACGTGTAGCCATGGTACAGAGCCGATGTACCTAACAGACTCATTCTCATTTGCCTTTATCGTTCTCTTCCGATTCTCGTCATTGATATGATTACGTCTTTACTACTTACCTTTCTCAAAGAATTCTTGTATTTCAAAGAGACTACTTTCGCGCCTTATCGCTGACTGATTGTCAAACAGTTTATCGGATGCTTGGATATTCCGTCGAACCGTCGTTAGATTTCACTACAGTTTCCCTAGTGTCCTGATAATCACATACAAACAATGTATCGTGCGTACATTGTTTTGCGTATGAAAAAAAAAATGAAATTAATGCAAATAGGTTTTAAAAAAACAGCGCAAAGAACCATAATGGTTATTATCCTCCTATCTATTCGTCCAAAGTGATATATTAGTCTATTGGTAAACATGATATACATATACTAACCATACAGCTACTGCGCTACATAAATACAGTCATTACAATAATTGTCAAAGGTAGGGCGCAGTGAAAATGACAAAATTATCAATAACCTAAAAATAACGTATTCAATTGAACAAGTACAGCAGTACGTTACACTGTAGTGTATGCATGGAAAAAGAAAACTATAATAAAAACTCAAGTGATCCTGAAACAAAGCAAAGGAAAGGCCTCCCCGCAACGAAATACAAAGTTCTCTCTGACTCAGTCTCTTACACACAGTACATCGGTACCTGGACTGTTTACAATTGACTCTTGCTTACCGAGCAGAGTGACGAGTCGATTTTCAAAAATCTCAACACCCTCTTAAAATATCTCTGACAGTTAAAACCTATTTCAAATCTCCCGCTCTTTCTACCGTATACGCACTCTGTCATCATAACAAGTCCGTAGCTGTTTTATATACAATCTATTCAAATTAAAAGAACTGCTCGACCGGTGCACGCGTCGAAAGACACCATGAATGGAACCGATCGCACGTGTCGATCGTTTAACCATCGACGATCGATCATTGATACGTGAGAGAGACGTTCGTTTACATTTGCCAAGCGCGACTCCATAACAGCATAACAGCCGCGAGCTCTCGTTTATAAAACTTCACCCGTACTCGATTCGTTCGATCCAAGAGGACCCGACGGTGCGATCCAGTTAGTGTCACGCGAAAAGCTATTTGATTTTTCATTGGATTTCGCGAAAGAGGATCGAGCCGACACAAGGGGAAGGTCGGGCCTTGTTTTAGTTATACGTGATATGTCAAGAATGTGGCAAACTTGCCAAATATTATGACGGTCAACAAATCCATGCCTATTTCCATCATCGTGGCTGCTTATCGGTCCGAGACAAATGTTTTTATGTCGATGAACGATTTCGTAATCGTATTTACGTAAACGCGAGAGACTGGAACTTTCAGATGATACACATCGATTGGTAGAGGCTGCTTTTAAGAATTCGAATGATTGTGACAATTTTAATTTTTCTTTTTCTTCCCTTTCTTACCTCGTCCCACGGCGTTCATTTACGTTAGGCTGCTTTGACCTCTGTGAAAGTCACTGGCGGTCGTCTTCGCTGTATATATATATATATATATTTGGGTGATCTCTTTTTTTTAACGTACCCAGGCTAAACAATCAAGGGCACAGTGTCGGAAAGCTTCACGAGAATCCATTAAGAAATTAACAATGTTTTCTTGGGTGATCTCTTTTTTTTAACGTACCCATCATTTACGTTAGGCTGCTTTGACCTCTGTGAAAGTCACTGGCGGTCGTCTTCGCTGTATATATATATATATATATTTGGGTGATCTCTTTTTTTTAACGTACCCAGGCTAAACAATCAAGGGCACAGTGTCGGAAAGCTTCACGAGAATCCATTAAGAAATTAACAATGTTTTCAGTCAAGTCGAACCTCGTGGACGGACGTTTAGTCGTTATCGTGAGGATGCGGCTTTCTCTGTACACAAGAGTCTCACCCCTCGTTACTGTATATTCATGCAGTATACGAAATTCCTCGAGTATCGTCATACAGATTGTAAATTGTATTTGTGGAATTTTTTTCATTTACCGAAGGTCAAGGCCATTAACATTACAAGGGGGTGGTACAGTCTCGAAAAATACAATCGACGCAGGTCCCGTCTCGCACGCGAATGCGATAGGTCGATGAAAAGTTGCGTATAATTATTTTATAAATGACAATGAACGTTTTTTTGAATACACCCGGTATATGGTTGAATCTTTGATAATCGGATCATTAGCCAAAGTTATAAATGTCTTTACCGAAGCAGTCATTGGCCGTCTTTGCTACAGGGGTCCGGGCTCGGCGTTCGTGGACCGTTAAGGGTCATCCTTGAGGTTACGTGGCACAAGAGTCAGGGTTCATGTAAACTGATGCATTAAATCATCCGAGCGCTCGTCATCGTCTCTTTCCTTTATTTCTCTTCTCTTCAGTTTCACTTCACCTAGTCCATCCGATCGTCATTCCCCGTTTCGCATCGGTGGCTGGCACCCTTCTCATTACTTTGTTTCCTCTTCTTATTCGTATTGCGCTGGCAATTAACTCGAACCGATAGCCAAGACCGTAGCTGACGCTTGGGAGGATGAAAAGTTAACGATAGGCTGATTTATGAAAATTATTTGTTGCAGAAAAACATACATATAAATTCGTTTGATAGAACAGACAAAAATTTTTGTCCAAGACTGTATTGGAATTAACACGTAAAATTGTACGAAGCCGATCGCTGATCTCGTCGACCCGGATCCGCCGAATCGATATTGTGAAAAATGCCTCGAAAAATCACGCCATCGATACAATTAAATCTCGGCGACCTATGATCGAGAAGATCGATTTGCTCATGCGACCGCGATAGATATGCGAGTTATCGTTCTATTTAGCGTACGTTTTGTACCAGGCAACGTAAACATGCGTCTCGCACGAACGGCTATCGTGTCTGGGTGGGAGTTTGCGAATAAAATGGACAACGATAAGGAAACGGATAAGGAGCATATAGGAGTTTATATATATATTTAGATTGGATGTGCAGTATCAAAAATCTTTGTACGATCGCGATCTAATGAAAGGAGAATGCCAAGGGAAGACGATACGTGACGTCTGGTGTAATAAATCGTTAACCTAACGGACAGAGAAAACAAGGTGGATGCGGAGCGACGAAAGAAAATATTTCGAAATCAAGATTATTTACTTAATCCCGTAAACGTTTGACACTTACCATGTGTTTATTTGAGAACCATCGCAAACGGACGCGATACGAACCACATCCGCGTCTACGAGCCCACACGTAACCAAAAGCAACCGTCGCGCACCGTCGATGAAATTTGCCTTTGTTTCCTCGTATGAATTTCTTCTTCGCGACTCTTACGTCCCGATGGAAAAGCATTGGCTCTGCGAGATGACGTCACGGGTTACACAACTTCAGCGAGTATCGTTTATGACAGATACCCTGACTCGGCGTCACCCTATAGATCAGATAGACCGAAGACCTTTCTTTTGTTTAACCTACGCGATCTCAGCCTGGACTACGAAACTTACGTTACGGCACCGCGCATGCGCGTGCGCGCGCAGCACTAGGACTAACATGGCGGAACCTGAGTTTGTTTGCTACGTTTTTTTATACCCCTATTTATTAAGTCACGGTCCATGCACGCTTGGACTATTAATAAATGTTCAATGATCGATCGATCGCTCGCACGATCCTCTTTATTGTTTTATTTGTGATATATATGTGTGCCGTGAGTTATACGTGCCGTGCGGTTTTGCGTAGGTTTATTTCACGGTAGGCAGGTATGCTGTTCGAGGTGTAAATAATTTAATGGCGATCGTAAGGGTTCTAAACGCGACTTTATTTCACTGTCTCGTCTACTACTACGGGCCGTGAAAATCACGTGCGATTGTGTTGGGGGGGGAGGTTTTTATCACTTGGCATTATCATTTTTCGTCCGTGACGTATGGCAACGATTACACGTAGTTGAAATTATCGATATCGCGAATAACTTTGGAATTATCGCGTGTGCGCTCGATAACGATTATCGTACCGTGTGTATGCATTGTCTTCCATTATTTACTAACAATGCACGATGGTCAATGTGACGGATGGGGCAAGTGCATTTGGATTTTATTTAGGAATTTCTTTTATTTCTTTATTACTCGTATGACATTTTCTCGATACAGTTTACTTTTAGACAGTCTTCGACGTGGAACGTGAACGTGAGTCAGGGTCCATGTTCTGAATGTTTGGATGACTCTTGGACTCTTGCTCTGACGCGCTTCGTAACGCCAGTCGATTGCTTTGCTGAAATTTGTTTATTTGGGTAAATTCCCTTTGAAATTTTTGTTTATCTTAGTTTTTGTAATTTTGGAAATTTTCGGGTGACTCAATTATCGCTGGATTTGAGGCTGGATGAGAAACAAGTCCGCGAAGGCGTGTCTCCGTTGGCTGGATGGCTGAAATTTTAAATAACGATTTTTAATAGCCATAATGACGTAAATGGAATCTTGTAAGAATTACGTAACACGGAATGAGGAGATCAATAATATACCAAAGTGGGATGAATTTGAAGAATTATTAATAAAAATTAAAATGATCGTCGAATGACAAAAAATTTTTTCAAGCTTCACTATATATGCTCCGCCCTGGATAAAACCGGATTCAATGATTCTCAACCTGAACGCGTCTTGTACCTGTTGTATGAAGGAGTGCAGGGAAGAAAATAAAATTGAAAAAAAAAATATAAT